TCTTCTGATATTCAGTCCGTAATCTCCCAGGCCTGCCTGACATGCCATGAAATTTTTCGGCAACTAAAGTAGATTATTTCAGATGATTTGTGGCCTCAGTGCTACACACGTGCTGACAAAGGCAGGGTGATGAGTGAACCAAAGAGGGCAGCACTAACAAGGACGCGGGTGGCTGAGTTGGAAGGCCTGCCACCTGGGAGCAAGGGTAGGAGGAATAATAAGAATACTAATAAAAGAGAAAGAGTAATATGGTGAAAGGTTTCTGAAGGAGATGGGTAGGGGGATGGGATGGACGTAAGGTGGGTGGGGGGGCATGTATTACACGTGAGCAACAGGGGGTCAAAATGTGAATGCTGTCCCGTGGTGAGATACTGCGTCTCCTTCTGGGTGTTGTAATCAAAAAGAGATGGAGTAGTTGGGGGTGGAGGCAGAGGAGAAGAGGCAGGACCCCCAGCTTCGCAGGTCAGCTGTTCAGACCGTGTGACAATGGTGTGCCCTGCCCCCCACCCACTCTATGATTTCATTCCCTGCTGTCTGATGGAACGTTTACCTTCAGCAAAGTGGCAGCAGCTATAACATCTGCTGGACTGAGACCCTCAACACCACAGGTCGGAGCTAAAGCTAGTTTACACTCTCTTACCAGTAGGGGCTGCTATAGGCACATTTTGTATGTTGTGATGCATGAGCTAATTTTGCTTGTAAAAGCAAAAAGTTCTGTGGCCTAAAAAACTCAAATGATATAAAAAAACAAATTCTATCAAATAAAAAGACGGTAAACAAAATACAGGAACAAACAATAACCAAAGATGAATCACAGTATGTAGTAGAGCCATTGCACTTCGTACCATAGGTCTGAGTAACCAGTGAGTTGAATACCAGGTGGCGCTGTGCACCTACACACAATAAACCAGGCCCTATTTTGAGTTATGATTGAAGGCCATCACGTGTTAAGGACTGGACTTAAGGAGTAGATGTTGTTCCTTTTACACAATGTACCTCTGAAATCCACATGTTAAACCAGAGGACAGAGGAGACCCACCATTGTGGCACAAACATGTGGTGGCACAGTGACAAGAAAAGGAAACAGAGAAGGCATTCCTTAATTGCCTTTGCAGTCATTAACGGGGGCCCGACACCCCATGAAACATTAATTACACCAAGTACTTTAGAGATAGGGGCATTTAATTAGAAAGCATTCACTGTGTGCCGAGGACTAAGAGATAGCATTTCTTAAGGAATGCAAATTGTGCATGTGACATCTGGGGAAAAAGAAAGAAAAAAAAGGCAAGAAAAAAAATTCCTCAGTGTTGACACCGTGCTTATCTTGCATGTCATGTCTTGTGCAATCCCCTTTTACCAGCTAGCATGTAGAGTGAAGAGGGACACATGTTAAAACTCTCCTCCCTTTGCTCCTGTCGTTTGCCCCCTCCCAATAGCTTTCGCCAATCCTATATCTCATAAATTATTTACAAACCTTTCTCCCCCACAGACAGGATGCAATTAAAGGAGAATCAGTCAATTACCCCTCCATCTTAGCTCCTTACATCTCAACTCTCCTCGGTTCCTCACGTTTCTTTTTTATCTCTCTTCTCACTCGTCTAAAGGCCCGACCAATAACATGACATAAACGCTCTTGATGAGAAATACCCTTGACACTGTTGCCCCCTCCTTGCTCTTCCAGGCGTTTCCCTTAATCCCCAGTATGACTTGAAAAATGGACTGCTCCACCCTTTATCCCAGGTGTATTGATCTTTCCCACCGCCAACAATTGCCACCACATATCCCTGTCATGAGTCCGGTACTCGTGTGTGAGTGTAACGTCCTTCCTCTCACAAGATCAAACAATGGAGCGGTAATAATGTCACTAGACTGTACCTAAGGTAATAGATGGTCCTCACCGTTACATGCAGGGCTCAGGGCAAAAGTGCTGGCCTTGGGAAATGTCAGTTGAATCTTAGGCAGCCAAGCAGAGTGCCGAGGATTAAGGACGTTATATATCTGAGACTGAGGAGCAGCAACACACATTAGGAGACATGTGCAGAACCCATTAAGGGGAAGGGGGGTGAGGGCAGGAAGGTTGAAAACAGAATCATGAGTCTGAGAGGAAACATTTGTGAACCAGATATAATGGACAGAGACTCTGGAGATGGAGCTGAATGTCTGAAAAAAAAAGCCTTTTAAATCTATCAAAACAAATAGACCAACTTGTTTTTCTTTGCTTATCACCCTTTCCTTTTGGTTCCAAGAATCAGTTTGAAAGTCCTATCAATGTGCTCTGTGCAGTTTGTTTAAATTCTATTTTCCAGAAAACACAATGCACTGTGTTGTCCATCAATGACTTCCTCAGAGTGTCAAGCCCTTTAGTAATCAGATAGTTAACAAACACAACACTCAAATAGCCTTAGAATACAAAGTCCTATCACTGTTCCCCTGCCAATTACCAAAGGATTTGAAGAAACAATAGAAGAGAATAAGAAATAAAATGTAGAAAATGTGAAAATCTGACTTTATAAAGACAGAAATGAAGCCAAACAAGAACCTATTACAATATCTTGGAAAAAAGAAAATTGGCCCTTCAACTGCATATTCACAGAAGCCACAGGAGTTCAAATCACTGAATGATTTGATGTAATGCCTTGTCTGTACAATTAACAATTTAGACCTAAGGATTGTCATGTTCCAGTGGACTCACCACCCGCAGGAAGGTTTACGGGGTGTTGGTATGGTGCAGTGTGGTAACGGATAAGCGGATGAAAATGGATGGATGGATGGACTGTCATCATCATTAATTAATTAAAAACTTGAGGTACAGTCAAAGTTTCCTCGTTTTCCACAGACTTACATTTACAGTAAACTAACTTACTTTAAAGACCCGTCCAATGTGTGTACAGTCCATAGTTTAAGTATGTAAGAAGTATCTAGTTTGCAGAGATATGTTTTGTGTACTTTAAGTCACAAAAAAGTGTTGAGAAAAAGTCTCACCTATTTATACTATATACCTTTCACTCACAGTCACATACACACAGTTGGCAAATAAAGTAAAAAGAACTAAAGTCAAAGAAAGTCCTCTCTTTGAAGACCATCACTTCTTACAGGTGAAACAAGAATGCACTGCCTTTCTTCATGTTTTCTTTGTAGATCTCAAACCACATTCTTTTTATCGCCAATCTATGCGATCAGGGTATTACATATACTTTACAGTTTAAGCAATGGAAATCATACAAAATCATACAAAAAGAAGAATGTGTATTTACTAAAATGCATCAGGTAGAATGTGAGGACCCTCACCTGTTCTTCAGATGTTGGATGCTGCCCAGACACTTGAAGGCACCATTCACCATGATGGCCATGCGGGTGCACAGCGCCTCACATTCCTCCATGCTGTTGACAAGATAAAAAATATTTTATTTTCTGATGGATATTTTTCTGCCCACAGTTTTTTCACCGTGCTGCTCAAATGAACTTGATCTCAAAAGAACACTAAATCCAAAGTGTTGCCTTCAAGGATACTGCTCATGAATGAAAAGTCAAATGAATTTAATTTAAATCAATTTGATTCAACTGGAAATCTACCTTCCAGAAAGTTCCAGTGTGAATGTTTCAGTCCATGGAGAAAACATTTGGTTAGTACTGAGATGAAAAAGAACCATCTGCAGTTGTAAAGTTGTTTCCCTCATTTTTCTCTCTCTGTTGGACTGGAGTCATTTGTTACCGGGGCAAAACCTGTGAAGCCTTTCAGAGGAACGGCACATTTAGGATTATGACTGGGATTTTTGCCTCTTAACAAAACACCAGCACCTGCTTACGCCATGGACCAGCTCCGCCACGTTGCCCTGCACGACAACAAATGCTCTTGTATCTCCATGAAGGCAACAGAATTAATGTGGACAATGTATTTTAAATGAAAGCAACATTAAAGATTATTCGCAGGAAGAGTGAGGATCACAGATGATGCAAAAACCCGGGCGATTTTGGAAATGTAGAGGCACTTGAACTGCTAAATGTTTAGTTTCAGCTGTAAAAAAAGCCCCCTCAAAAACAAAACTTCTCAGTTAAGAAACTTAACTTGGCATCAGGAAAACAAAGTAAAATATAAAAAGAATGCAGGAAGGATATTGACTATTTTTCTTTTCCAGGAAGGAAAAGGTAACAGCCAGTCAATGCGCCCTCACGCTTCATTCAATTCTTAGCCAGTCAATGCGCCCTCACGCTTCATGGAAAGCCTTGAAGCAGCAAATTTTTCTCACAACCAAAAGTCACTGCAAAGCAGGAAACAATAGCTGTCAGCTGGAGTCTAACTCAAATCAATTATGACCAGAATATGTATATTATTTCACAGGCAGTGTAATGGTGTCTCTTCCAACTTAAAATAACTCCTGTGGTGTTGTGTAGTGTGAATCCATCAAAGACGGAGAAGGGATCGCGCACCTATGTGAAGTGAGAATGACAGAGCGTCCCTCCTTGATGATGCTGAGGATGCAGTCCCACAGGAAGCGTCGGGCTTTGGGATCCATCCCTGTCGTCGGCTCATCCTGCAAGAAAATTTACATTTTTTTGTACCTTTCTGGAAGGTATCATGTGACACATATGTCCATCCTGACATTTTTTATATAGTTCAAACCTTCACTACTTCTTATAATGTTTCTACACTTTTGGCTTCTGCAAAATGATGTGTCTTTCAGTTTCTCTACAAGCAAAACCAGAGAAATCTGGCTGTTTTTTTCATTTTTTGCCATTTTTTTTTATCAAATTCTGCGTTTTTTTCATTTTTTGCCATTTTTTTTATCAAAATCTCTTTTTGACTAGGTTTAACTTGTTTTCATGGTAAAGAATACTAACTTGAACTGGTTAAAGTCTTCAGACCTACTCAGCAACATTGTCATTATTCTTAAACCTCTAGATTTCTTTGCTGTTTTTTATTATCTGTTTTAAAATGAATGGAGACTGAAATTCTTTGTCAAAATTGTGAAGCCTATTTTACATACTAAGTACACTTGTTCAAATGCAGCACTCTTTTGTGCCACGTAATTACAGTCTAAACCAACACAAGAGACGCAATTGGTTCAGAAATTCTTGGAATAGCCGGAACCGCAAATAAGGTTGAAGTCAAGGGAAATGAAAGTAACTTTTACTAACAGTATGTACTGTACAAGAAGCTGAAGTCAAAGAGAATCTCAAATCTAATGATACGAAGAAAAAAAACAAAAAAAAAAACTTTTGACTATAGAATGTCATGTAAAAATGGTGCCTGGAGTCAAAGAAGACACATTGATTCGGAATTGGGATGAAACTTCTCTGACATGGACAATATTCTTCCTTAAATTGAAATCAACCCAAAGATTGTGGGTTTTATACGAGTGTGTCTGGATGAAAATAAGTTTAGAAGATGGAGACAAAACTATGCCAGAAAACCTTGAGTTAGTTTTAGGACACGTTAGCTGCCAATCACAGAGTACTAGTAAGTCTCAATGTCGAACCTAGTCATCGAGAAGAGATAACAGTAAAATCTGGTTGTGCTGATACAGAACACACATGGGCACAGACACTGAAACTGTATCAGTGGTTTTTTTTCCCTTCCTCAGGGCTGGTCTGTCGGTGCATGATTAGAGAGTGTCAGTACTCCGTCCATCGCCTGGTTTCACTCCAGACCTGGGTTTTTCAGGATCCTACAAACCCCACTGGGCCTTTTCATCACTGTGTCTAACGTGTCCCTGTGCAAATTGTACGTGGCACTGGCCCCAAGGCCGCCTGTGCGGTCGCTGCTGGGTGAGCACACACCACAGTGGAAGTGACACAGACACTGACAAGGCATTATTCCACTGCCTTAAAGTGAAGTTCTGACCAGGCTGAGGCGAATAAATGAGGAGTTTTAGAAAGAGAAGAAGTCGAGAGTCTGTAGCTCAAAGACAAAGGTCTCCAGAAAATCTTCGCTGAACGCAGTTTTATGTGGAACTTAGGTAATTATTCAGGGCAAGTGTCAGTCAGGAGTTCACAAATATACCATCCACACATTTAATTGTGGGTTTTCTTGCATTTATTTAAAAGGCGTGGAGAGAAAAAAACAAAAAACTGTTGTCATTATTTAACCATCTGTTGTCGTGGCTGAAACTTTAACTTCTTAATTTGCTATGTAATTAAAAGCACGCCATGCAGTAAATTCTTGGTAACGACTTAAATGGTTTTTCATAAGTGACGAGCAGGAGTTTAATCCGTAGGAAATGTTGTGGGTGCCGTGAAAATTGGTTCATTTCTCAAAAATATAAAATGTGCTGTTTGGAAGATTAGAAGTTTATTATATAATATGTTTAACGTCTCTGGGCAGAAACAACAAATTTAAAATGACTTTGAACTGCCACAGGAAGTTTATCTATTTATTTCTTTTTAGTTTAAAATGAGATTTTTCCTATTTATATTGGACTGAAATGTAGGATTAACATTAAATATAGCCCATAAGGAAATTTATTTAAAAAGAAATTGTAGAAACAAATCTCCCAAATACACAGATGTGCATATGGAATGTCTACTGAACACCATCATAACCTCAATAATATATTATTGTAAAATGTAGACACAGCAGCCTGTGGGAAACACCTCACGTAGTAATTTTGAATCATTTTAATATGATATTTGTATCTTGACTTTAAATATGTATATGTAGCCTAAGGTAGTTCACCTGAGCTCCAGCTATCGTCTTGTCTGTGCACACTTATAAAGAGAGAATAACTGATCTACAGTACTATGGTACCAACATACACAGTACATAAATATTGATTCAAAGTATTACACTCCGAGTCCTTATACCTCAACCTGAACGCCACACCACATCGCTGTAACTGTATCTCACCAGAAAGATGACTGGAGGGCAACCCATCAAGGCGATCGCTGTGGAAAGTTTTCGTTTGTTCCCGCCGCTGTAGGTTCCTGCACACTTGTTGGAATACTTGATCAGGCCCAACTTCTGGATACCCCACTCTGCCACCTGGTGAAGAGAGAGAGAAAGGCAGGAAATAAATGCTTAATGTTATTACTGTGTTAATTCTGATTAAAAACAGGGTCGCTGTGGATTAAGTATGATTAATCATGATCACAATTATTTGTGATTAAGATGTCAAGAAGAATGTAACAAAGTATAACTCAAAATTCTGCTCCACAGTGTTGGTTGATAATGGCTTGTGAAACGTGTTAAGAGTGTTCCTACTACGATGTAGTAGAGCAACAATAAGATGATAGATGGTTGAACTATTGGATCCTAAACATTTTAATCTGAATAATTACATATTATTGGTGCATAATATTGACAGCCCTAATGATAATGTAGACAAAAGTATAGCATGCCATCTATTTTGTTAATGAATATTTTAGTGTCTGTGGTTTTCAAGGACGAGTCACGACAGCTGGCCTCACTGTAAGACCTTCATCATCAAACAGCAAGGTTCAAGACCGCTGCCAGTGATCACAATTTCACCAACAGCTCTGAATGGACATGTTTACATGTCACAATAGTTGCTTGCATGCACACATGAATACAGTAAAAACGCAAATTGTCTGCAGTAAAAAAGGCATTTACATCACAATTGGCGACAGGGAAATATAAAACCACGGTAGCAGAACAAAATTTCATCTCAATGCATTGACGTAGATCAAAGCTTTAGCACCAATTCTCAGGTCCTTGGTCGGCACCAGAGTCTTCCTCGTTTGATCTTCCAGTTTTAGATGAGGGCAGTGCAAGAGCATGAGCAGGCTGCACAAGGCTGGCCATCCTATCAGCCATTGTTGAATAATGTAGAGCCATAACCCACAGCTGCTGCTTCTCCACCACTGGCCATTTTTCATTATGTATGGCTTCTCCCATCGAGGTTATCTATCACTCTGACGTGTGCTACAGCCCCCCCCTACATGTGCTCCGCTTGAACAGTATTTGTATTGGATGGCTTAAAAAAACAACAACAATAAAACAACAAAACAATCTCAAAGATGATAAACCTGTTCTCAAATGATGTCTGATTGGCATTTAAAGTGTCAACATTTTACTGTAGGAAAACAGAGCCCATTAATCTACTCCGTAATCTTCGTGGAACGTTCATCTTGGTGAACTGCCTTTAAAAGGAACCCCACAGCCACGGGCTAAAATTGAGTTATTGCTGCCATTTTCTGCACATGAAGTAGAAAGGAGTCATAGTTACCATGGCGACCTCGTGTTCTGGTACTCCTCGTAACCTGGCGTAAAACTGCAGATGTTCCCGCCCCGTGAGCAGGTTATCAATGGCATCAAACTGTGGACAGTAGCCCAAACTCTGGTGCACGTCCCTCATTTCAGTCCGTATGCTGGCGGAAAAAAACCCCGAAAAAACATACAGTAGATGCAGGTAATGGTTGAGTCACTGCATGAAACATGAAAACCAAACTCTCTCGCATGAAATACTAACATGTGCATTTCAGTGGTTTGAAAGTTTACTTCAGAGGATTGGAAAATAAACTACACTTCTGTTTCCAATAACCAGGACAAGCAGTGTTCTTATGCACGGAAAACAACATTTCAAAATACTTACCGAATCATGATTAACCATGGCTGTAATTAATCACAATTCATCATCAACATAATTCATCATGATTAAACGGGATAAACAAACATTCCTTTATTGACATATTGGTGGATTTTAGTCCTAAATGAGCAAATGAAGCTGCTATAATGAACAGAAACATTTTACCAATATTTCACCATTGTTCTGCCAAGACTTTAAAATGTGTTGAAAAATTGACACTGATTAACTTCACAGTATAATTAATGCTATTAAAGTAAATAAAAGTAAAATAAAAAGGTGCTTGCGACCTCTACAGGCAATAATGCTAAGACATAAATACATTTTCTTTATGAATTACAATGTATTATTATTATTGAGGGTAATTGATTCCTCAGTTTTTTTCATGGATGATATTGAATCCCTTAAATGTTTTTTATGGCAGTGGTCAACATCAGAGAGGTGAACAGTATGTGTGAGGTGTCCTAATCTGGTACGACTGAAAGCTTTATTGACGTGATACCACGTTTGTTTTCAGTCCTGATAAAGGTCTTTGATAAGAGTAGGTTTGCTTAAAGGAATGTGGATGTTATGTCTGCCCGACTCTCTTTTATCTCAAACACTCTTAGAATTCACATTTAAAAGCTACACAGCAGACCTGCTTCTGCCTTTAAATAAGATTTGTAACATCTCATTTTCTAGGAATTTTTGGTGTAAACAGCCCTTTTAAAGTGCAACATCTGAAAGTCTGCACTCTGATTGGTCCCCTGGAGAGTCAGATTTCAACTCTTTTGAAGTAATTCTATACCCAATAACTTGATGTCGTTGTCCCTCGTATCAGCAACATCTGACAGCCACAATGACATTAACATGTGAGACACTTTGAGAAAGTTGAAAATTCATTTCTTCTTTGATAATGTCAAGCCGCTCAGGCCCAGAACTTCACCGCTGTGGCGATGTTTTCTTTTTTACACTTCACCCTATATAGGGTGCTGTAAGTTCAACCTACTTTCTGTGCTTCACAAAACTTTTTTTCTCAGGAGTGGTGTGGAGAGTGTCAAGGTGTTCTTTTGCAAATGTCAGACACCTGATGAAGGGTGTTTGGAGTTTATTTCAGAGCGTGTGTACTTTGTGCCACCGTGATTTGCATATGGTTGACTCTCAAAACAAGATCCAGTGATTTCTTTAGGGCTGCAGCTGTGCTTTTGACATTTTCTCCTCCATCATATGCATTTGAATAATAGTGGGGGTATCCACATCTATCTTGACCTCCTTCACCTTGTTTCCACCAAAAGTCTCTGAGCCTCTGATCTGGTCTCTATGGCTCACGCTAGTCAAATCTGTTGTATACACAAATGGCATGTGTTTTTTGATTTGTGATGATTGATCAGATTCAAACTCATTTTAACACTTAGACAGAATGATGTATAGCCAATAATTTCACCAAACATCTACTTATGTTTTGTTGCTGCTTAAACTTCAAATACCATGTCAATGCTCAGCATGTGTTTGCGGAGGCTTCAGCTTCAGGTCAGTGCCCAGCTAGTGTCAGACCAGCATCACTGAGCTCAGGACGATAAGGGAGTCTACAGGAGACAAGCTGACTGACACTAAAATGATAATATGTTTGCTTCACCAATGTTTGATCAAAAGCATTTGATTAATCTAAAATGATGATTATTTGTCATTACTTATTGCAATTATATTCAATCATCACGACTATTGATGACAGTTCCACCACTCCCTTGTGACCAGATAAGAACCTGGGGAAAAGGCTACAGCAACTGCAGAAACTGAACCAACCGCAGCTCCCACTCAACCACACTGGGACACACCACCTCACAGATAAATTCCGAAGCAAAGAGGGACTTGTTTGTTCCTAAAAATAAGAAAGTGAAATCCTTTTTCCCCTGCTCATGCTAGCGTGTCTCATATTGCTGGTGTCAAGGTATTTTTTGGCATGTACAAAGATTTCTTGTGTCTGATTCTGGGAGTGGAGGAAAAAAAATAGAGAAACAGCGGAGGAAGGTACAGGGGTGAGAACGTGAAAAGGAATGATAGATGTGAAAGCTGTGCAAGGTGCAGGAAGAAAGGCAGAGCAGAGTTTTCAGCACTTCTGAGAATATCGCAATGCAGAGACATGCGAGAAGTAGAAAAGGACAGAGACAGCAAAATGTATAAGATATCAAAAAATTCCCCGCCTGGATTAAGAAAAAAAAAGTCTGAGTTTGAGAGATGGAGGAATAGAAAGGTAAGTTACACAGAACAAGAGCGAGTCAAGAAAATGTGTCAGCTGTGGAAAAAAATCTCCTCGGCTCCATCCCCACCTGAACAGCCATCTTGGGTGGCTAATTATGATGAGTTACTGGGTGCACAAGTGGGACGAGGCACCTCACCTGTATCCGTTTAGGAAAGCCTCTCCACCAGAGACTGGGATATCTCCTGTCAGCATCTTGAAGGTGGTGGTTTTCCCAGCCCCATTGATTCCCAGCAAGCCAAAACACTGGTGGAGACAATGAGGAGTTTATTAGAAAAGCAGTGTAGTGTAGACACAAGGCTCATTGGAAAACAAACGCTGTGAGGTGACATTTCAAATCACCCCGTGGACACTTGTTTGTTTGTAATTCTCCTGTGTTCCTGCTGCTTTATTTCCTGTTGTTTTCTTTCTAGAGAGTAAATTGTTGTCCTTATTTTAAATACTGCACCTAATTGACTAGTTTACACGCGATTATGTGTGACTGGTTTGTGTTTATCAATAAAACAAATAACCCCGAATGCACACAACGCAACACACATTAAACCAACACGACAGGAACAAATCCATAGGAAAAAAAAAATCCCATTAGCATTTCTCCCTGTCTGTGTAAATTCCGACAACAAACATTATCCCAGCTTATTTCTTTTTTTCCCTCCCTGACGCTTCTGGTTGTACTTCTCTCCAGAGGCCTGAGACAGGAAGTCGCCTCCGTGACACACTGCGGTCACATGACATCACCCTAGGGGCTCCGGCTATGGCATGAATATTTGATTCTGGTTCCTCATTGATCGCAGCTTGTTTGTGACCTGTGCTGGTGAATGCATAGAGGAGGGCTAATCTGGATGTAAATAATGCATGGGAATGTGGTGTGTGATCAGCAGAGTCTTGTGAATCACAATATTCCACTGGCATTTACACTGGGCTTTGAGTAAACAGTGGCAGAGAGGATGGATATCAGCAGAGAGCCCACCAATCACGACTTCCTGTCAGCTTTTGAGATTATGTTTAAATCACCCTTCCAGCGGTGCTGCCTGTGTGTGTGTGTGTGTGTGTGTCTGTGTGTGTGTGCATGGCAGGGAGAGTAAAGATGCTTTACGCAGCCAATTTAAAGGTTTATTTGTCCAAAACTCTGCTGGGGTTTTTTGTATTTTCTTTTTTTTTCTGCTGCCAATTTCACAGGTTTACTGAACTTAACACGGGCCCTGAAGGCAATTCGTGCTGCTTGTTGTTTTTTTTTTTGGGTTTTTTTTTCTTTTCTCTAAAGCACAAGACTGGCTACAGTGTACAATCCCCTTTCCTAGAAAAGTAGGTACACTTTCCTGTACCAATAGAAAAGGTTTTAACTGAATACAGTGCCACTGTGGTTTGTGCTCCAGCCTTACAGACCGCTGCCCTTTCTGTTACCACTAGAGTTGACTATCAGGGTTCTACCAAAAACAACCAGGATTGAATTAAGTGCTGATGATATAAGGGTATTAATATAAAGGTTGTATAATGGTGGTTGTTTCAATATGTGGCCCTGTGATACACTAACAGACAGTTATTACAGGATGTAATAATATTGTGGCCTGGTCATTATGGGATTGGATGCTTAAGCCTATCACTACTCCCCAGGAGTGGGCTGATGGATAAGAGGCAGACAACTTCTGTTGTGTGTATATGTAAAATGACAACATAGCTGATTCTTCTTCTCGATTCTTCTTGTACAAAAAAGTGTGTTTGTATTGTCTTATACTTTCTATCATGGGTACATCACATATCCTAGGTATTAAAGGTACAAATGTTCCAGTCAAACTTCCCTGGACATTTAAGTATGGTTTTTGTTTTGAATGATTGAATGCAAAAAGTTATTCCTCAACATCAACATTGTTGGTGATTGTCAGAAGGGCTGATATTCAGTATGAAATTGCAGAAATGTCTGCAACCATGTGCAGCTCTGGCTTCAAAGAGTCCTGTGTGTAATTCTGCGGCTCACCTCTGCTGCAGGTACACCCACACATATCCTGTCCACAGCAGGGGTTTTCTTCCGAGGGTACACCTGTAGGGAACAGGCAATACAATGAATCATCCTGCCACGGAAGGAGAGTGAGGGAGGCGAGGAAGGAGGTGGTGAGGGAGCAGACAGTGAGAAAGATTGCGGAGATGATGGCTCGAGAAAATATGGAGCGATAGACCAGAGCAGCAGGGAAGGAGTGAGATGAAATAAGCAGGTGGAAAAAATGAGCACCGAGGAGAGAGACGGGGGAAAGAGAGAATAGTGGGAAAAGGATTTGTTTTTTTCCTGCAACAAAAAGGTAATTTGGACTATTTAGGACAAACCAGATGGGAAATGTATTTCAGAAACACAGTAGTGCAAGTGCACAGGGGGGGAACGGAGGACATGAACATTATTATGTGTGACCTAAGTGACAATATTCATGAGAAAATGTGTCACCGTTTTGAGGATCACTTCACTACCCTTACCTTCTTAAGTGAAGGTACTTACAGTAAGTCATCCCATATTTTATGTACAGACACCAACTTTGAGCATGGCTGCATTCAGTGACCTTAATATACAGTTTGATGACTTTAGCAAAAAATAAATCTGTCCTTACTATGATGAAGTACTGCACGGTGCTGAGTGTGGACAATAAGTCCCGATGAGTTCCTTTAAGGACTAAATGCTTACCACACACTTGAGGCAATGACCACAGACCACTTTAATGGTTAGATGAAAAATTGTTCAGCTCCCATTACATTTTCTCCACCTGATGAAGGTGGGATGTTGTGTATTTATTTACAAATAAGCTCTCTTTAATAGAGATGCACATTGACTGGAATCAGTTTTCTACGATTGTCTCTGACCAGCAACTGGCCGATCAGTGCACGATTTAGTTTTGCAGCTGATCATTTTGCACATTTTCTCACCGTTGGAGAGCAAGAGAGGACGCTCACACTCATACGCTGAAGATTAACATGTCATTATCTTGGAAGTACTTTACAGTCAGGCCTAAAGAAATATTTTATATATTCTCTTAATTAAAGGAAAATCGGAAACACAAAAAATACGAATCAGACAAAAAAATCTCCATCAGTGCTTTTTGTCGTTTTGAGTCTCAGGGACACATGGAAGTTTTTTGTCTTCAAAGTGTTTCAATTATTGCTTTTATCATGTAAATCTGTTACAGTATAACAATCAAGTAACAAAGTCATAGACAGTTAAAAATGATGCAGAATAAATAAATAAACTGCAATATGTAAGGAAATACAGAATTCCAGGATACGGAATAAAAAAACTTCCCAGAGTTTGACTGTGAGTCGGTATCCTGCCAGGATCATATAAGGGAGCTGGAAATGAGAACGCTCTTGATGTATTTCACATCTGACTTGAAAACCTTTCACGCCAGACCAGTTTCATCTGCACAAGTCACGGGCTGAAAAAAGAAAGAAGAAACCCTGGGAACTCCAAACCAAAGTGAAGTCACCTCTGCTTTAAGAGAAAGGACTTTATTAAGTCGGTAATAGAGAGAAACATTTGACAAAATGAGGTTTTCCTTGTGTGTTTCTTCCCCCACTTCCAAGACTCAGGAAGTGTTTGATCTTATTTCAAAGTGATTTGAAGAAGACACGAGGCTGCGGAACAAAAAAACACAAAGTCTTTGTTGTTGCTGCTGCCACGTGTGACGGTGGAAACTTTTAACATTCAAACTCAAGGACGTTACATTTGCCCTCTGTGAGTAACAACCTAATTATGGTGGTTTGTTTTTGTCTACGTTTTTAAAAGATGGAGAACTGTTTTTTATACAAAGTGGAGAGAAATGCAAAGCTGACAGCGCAGCTTTCAGTATATAAAAAAAAAACACCCAGCTATCAACCTGTCAACAGTGAGCTGTCAGACAATGTTTACACACAAGTGTGAGACAAATGTAAATTCCAAACTGCCACTCAAGCCCAAACAGTGACACTGCACTTCTTATGGAGTCGGCACATTAGAGGCGCTTTGATAAAAGCAGGAGTTTCCACGGATCCGTCATTATTTCAGAACCATCTGGAAGCTGCACTCACTACTTATCAACCTGAATTACACATCCACCTCCAATGTTTAAGTGACATCAAAGCAGCACATGAGAATATGGAAGAAGGCAATTACAGGATGATTCTCCTCTGACTGCAGCAACACAGCAGCTGTCATGATAAGCAGGCCCACGTCTAATCAGACCAGACAGTTAAAAGAAAGTGGTGGCAGCCGTTTGAGCAAACCTTGGGTATAGACTAGAGTTGGTAAAAATCACAAGCTTTCAGTTTGGCAGTGTGGACACCGATGACAGTGAGGCGTGATAATGACTTATTTTAGTGAGTTGTCATCAATAGGTGATCCATCAGAACCACGAATGAACATCAGTCAGGAGATGTGCACAGAACTGGACCGTAGACAGTGGATCGACACCTTACTGCAGGAGTGTCAAAATCAAATCACATTAGTTTTTGTCAATGACTCAAAAAAATAATACAAGGATATTGATAAGGAGTGCTTGTCCCGTGTTTTCATATGGGAAAAATTGATTTCCTTCACACAGGTCACTGGGAATAAAGGTGCATTGTGGGTCATGTAGTTTTTTTGTGCTTGATTCAAATCCAGAGATTTAGTATTGTGACGTTCAGCTAGAGACTCTACACTATTGACGGTTCACCAACTATATCTGTCCATAATAAGGGCCATAATTTTTTTCTGTATAAAAAACAATTTCTGCCTAACATTATTATTTAATGTATATTTTGGGATCAAGTCGCAGACTAGATTGGACGGTTCGGCAGGCTGGATTCAGTCAGGAGGCTGACAGTTGATGATCACTGCTGTAGACTTTTATTTTAAGCACCAATGGGCATAAAAAGACATTGTACACTAATCCTGTCCTTCCTGTTTATTCCAAATGAAAATCACAGAATCTTCAACTTTACCGCCTTCTTATCAGTCTCCAGTCCATCGCACACTGCCAATGTCTCGCACTAACCACTTTTGAACCTCCTCAACAAAACTGGTGTTGAGTCTCCATCCATTTCTTCACATTCTTTTCATTGCACCCTCCTATTACTGTACATGGATTTCATATTCTGTCTAAGCTGAGTTTTCATCAACATAATATTGAAATAATAATACTAATGAATTTCTGTCAAACCTTAGCTGCCAAATCAGCTATTTAGTCCATAAACAGGTGTAAAAAACCCATGGACTAAACATTAACAGAACAGACTGTACAAAAGGAGCTCTGGATGTACAACAACATCCCCCGGTGATTCACTGGGGATCTGAGCTGGCAAAAAAGGGAAACACAGACAACAAACCACTGTGCACTGTGCAAAAGTTTGTTTCGTAGTTTAAAGCTCAGCAACAATTGTTCTGCAGCTCCCTCTCCAGCCGTTACCTCATGTTATAACGGCTCCAGAAGTATATTTCAGTCAAGTGGGCCCACTCTCATTTAATGTGCCACATAAAAGCAAATACAACTCCCAGCACCACTGTACGCTAGCCAGACGGCGTAGCTTGCCATGGTCATCCATTGTGTGGTGTTTACTCACACACCCACATTACACTGTCATTAAAATCCATTATAATCCAACTTGTCCACACCCACACGGTCCTCAGAAAAGCACTGTGGGTGGAGGGAAGCTGTGCTGCTGCTGCCGTACCATGTTCGACACGGACCAGATATTGATTTTTAAATAAATAATATTTATGGAGCCATAAGAGTTTATTTGCTTTATTCGAGATTGGATTCTAAACTCACACTCTACAAACTTCATATTAAAGGGACTACTGCCGAGTGTTCTTCTTTATGTTGTAAGTCACATTCAGTGCACAGCAGGTTGAGAAATGTGCTTAAATCTTTCTGTGTTTGCCCTTGAAGTGAGATGTGTTCCCTGAGTGAATGACGCCCAGCTAGCATTCCGTAGCAAATACTACTTCACGTCTCTTTCAAGTAAGCTGTATTGTTTCTATGTGTACTGGCATTCAATTATATATTAGACAGAAATAAATCCTGAATGTTAATATATAGTTTCAGTAAAGTAGGGGGAAATATAGTGGTTATTTTCAAAGATAAACAAAATCAGAGAAATCAGAGTCTGAAACTAAACTGCTATAATAATTAAAAATAATTTATATTAAAATTAAATTAAATGTTTTTAGATTAAATCACTTTCTCTGTGTAAGTTCTCAGTTATCCAGGTCATCTCAGAAATAGTTGCCCTCAATGTAACTATTTTTGGAATAAATAACTTTGTAAAGGGCGGCAAAAATAACAGAAATGTTTTTCCTAAGAAAGCTAAATATATAGCAATAGAGCTACAAACCTTACAACAAACAAAAATAAATTTAAATGTATATCAATTTATAAACGGTTCCTTGAAACCTGAGGAAAAAATTAGGTGAAAAACTTTTTTACCACTTTTATAACTTTTTTACAAACTAATTTATAGTAGGCCTAAACATCTAAATTAATTAAATCAAGTCATGTTAACTACAAACGAAGCTAAAGAATGTATTTCAAGATTAACTGGCTAATAAAAAAGTGCAAAAGCAACTGGTTAAAAATACAGACAGATAATCAGTTTCTTGACAACTGATTTAAAAAGAAATACCTATTATATGTCAATATATGTTAAAGGATAGATCAACAGGAGAATTGGAAAAACTATATAAATATTGGTCAAGTATATTAAATGACAAGACAACTGAAAATAAGAGTAAACGTTTTGCCAAAAATAAAGTTAAAAATGTAACTAGAGCTGAAGTGGGAAACTGATGCAGTATGTGCACTTCAGGATACTGCACTAAACAAACATGACACAAGCACCAAAGTAAATCATTTTAAAGCGTATACATGTTTATACTAAACCTTTTACTTGGGAGAAAAATCGACTCCTAAGAAGTCAAGATGCTGCGTGTCATTTTTTTGAAGTACTTTCTCTGTCAGATCAGTGATTGACTGCAAAATGACAAAAAACAAGACAAAATACTCCCAGACAGACACACTTCTATTACACACTCCATCTGTTACAATGTCAATGCTAATGCAGCAGCTAAGTGAAGGCTAGCAGGTGTGGCGCGCGGCAAACTCTCCTGCTTAGTGCAGCAGGAAGAGGAAGGAGAAGGAACAGGAACCTGACACATGACTGATGGCCTGTCGATCGCTTCAGAGGCATGTTGAGATTTATGACAGGGTCCAGCCTGTGGTGCATGGCCACCGAAGCTGCGCGCCCATTGATCAATTTGTTATCTACACCCAAAATGGATGAGGCACAGCTGTGGTGGGAGTCAATGAGGGCGCCGCAGGAAGGAGCCCGATGCCGTCTGCCACTGTTTTCTGTGATGATGGGCCGTTCCCGTCTCATCTCTGAGAAATGTTGTCAACCATGAAGGTGCACATTAGTGATGTCTGAGCCGCTTGTCACAAACAGACGGGCTGGGGGTCTTCTAACGCTTAAAATGGAGACACAGTTTGAGTTTTATTTTCCTGTGCAGTCCCAAAAAATGTGGTTGAAGTCTAAAGTTAAGGACTGAAAATACTATATGAGTAAAACCGTGGACCGTGGTCTACAATTAGCAATTTAACTGACTAGTTTGGTCTCTAAAAGCAGTGATGGCTTTTAGTTAACAAACCTTTTGGGTTGACGATTTCAAAATACAAATTTACCCAATAATATTTAGTGAAAATATTTTGTGATTCAGAAGAAATAGGAGAATAAAAATAATAATTTTTCAAAAGACATTATGATTAAACTGCTGTTAACAACAACATTAACACCTCCTGCAGGTCAGGGTGAGGCTGTTATTTGTAATATCTGTAACAATAAGCATTATTGTTGGTTAAAAGTAATTCCCCCCAATTTGTTAGGAAAACAAAACTTTTCTCTCCAACTTTCCCTGGGAAAGGAACATTTCTCTCAAGTGTTCTCACCTTGAGAGATGATGTTCAACATATAACACATCCAGCTGCTTTACTCTGCACTTGCTCTGTAATTACCCCGGGGAGTGCAGTGCACGTCTGTGCCCATGAGCAAGAAGTGACACATTAAATATGATGCGACTGTGAAGACGGAGCAGAGGAGGGGGGTGGAGGTGAGGAAAGGTGTGATAAAGGAAGAAGGGCTGTTAGATTGTCCAGCTGTTGTCACCGGGGCCGCAAAGCGGGCAGCTGTGGTGACATTTCCTGCTGCTGCCAGCGCGCCTGCAGGGAGGGAACATCTGTGGATGGATGAAGCGTTAATCTGGGCAGTGGTGAGGCGTGCGCTCTCACAGCATGCTCCACTTCACCCTCCAATGTGGGGAATTGTGCGAGCTGTGGAGGAGCCGGACCTTTATACTACTATAAACACCACTGGCTCTGGTTTCCATGTCCTGTTGTTATATTTGTGAATGTTGAGAGGTGCACTCACTGCAGCAACCTGCTCTGCAAATGCAATGGAGCCAAGTGCATGGGAAAATATGAAAAAAAAAAAAAAACAGGCTCCACCCACACTCAGTCAGTAGACAGGAAGTGATTTTTCTAATTTGTCTTTCCTGTAAAAAGTGACGATGGAGCTGAAATAATTTTTACTTTAAATCAAGTAAAAAAAACAAGTTCTTGGAAGAAGTTTAGTTGGAAAAAAAAACCTGTAGAAAAAATCATGAAATTCAGTCCACTGTACCTTAGTGAGGTCATAGATTCGCAGAAGGTCGCTCTGGGCTTTTCCACTGTACACTCGATCACGTTCCCGAGCAACATCGATATCCTCCTCCTCCGCAGATAATGACTTCCCCGAAATGAGCCTGGTGGGGAAGAAGTCAATTGCAGTTGGCTTGACACTCTCCATCACAATTAACATGAAACTCACACGACAAATTATCATGTTCAGAGTTTAAGACCAGTCACACAACCATGGCAATTTTCATAAAAGGTACAAGCAGTGGAAGTAGTAGCCACGCAGACATTAGTTTCCATGGCAACCTGGGTTTAAGTCTGCTCATTTAGATTGAGACGAGTTGGAGGGGAAGAAGTGACACATGCAAACACATACTGAAGAGAATTACACGTGTTTACTGGGGTCTAATGGACAGTAACTCAATAAACTACGACTGATAATAAAATGCCTCAGTTTCAGGTGTCGTCTGAGATGAAGCCCAGGCACTTGACTCTGCTTCTTCACATTCTATTATTTCTATGTTATTTCTACATCAGTGTTCATGTTGGTATTGTGTTGTCCATCTATTGTGTACTACAGCAGCTACAATATTCTGCCTACTTTATGTTTATTTTAGATGTCCTTAAAATAATATTCTGTAGGAAAAAGTTTCAAAAAACTACACTGCACAAAAGGTCAAATAAGGTCATTCTCTTCTTTTCTACTCTTTTCTATTATACTCTATTATGTCCTTCCTTCGACTGAATTCAAGTCAGTCCAATTCCAATTCAACCTAATTCAATAATACTGTTTTCTTTCCTCTCCCTTCTGAACCATCACCTCTAATGAATATGAATCAATGAGTTATTTTTTACTAGTAAAAGTGAAAGAACACAGTTGTTAAGATTTAATCATAATAAAAGGAATTATTATCATCTGAAAAATATATATTTTAATGAACCACAAGACATTTCAGGAGAACCCATTTCCAAGGTTGATACACATGAACACTGAAGTAATACCCCTGAGTACTGCTCCTATGGAGCTGGAAAATATGTCTAATGAAATGTCTCTTTTTTCTGAGCCACTTTCTCCCACGATTTACTTTGGTATTGATTTTTAACCTTAATGGCTGAATGGCTAAATTCACAGTTCTGCGTAGACTTAAAATCTTCAATATATATAGCAAATACTTAATAATCTTACTGCTGGTATACACTGTGCTTTTTTCAACTGTCCCAGACTAAAGAAATGTGGAGATGTATTTGGTCATGGCTCTTAAACGAGCCTGTGAGACAGGTTTAACATTCTAGTTGTGTCAGAAATGTAGTATGATGATCTCACAATGTGACAGCTGTGGCAACCTATATTGACTAACCAGCCAATAGAAATGCTTCTTCAGATTGCAAAAAAAATGCCACAACATGGGCTTCATTTTTCATGAAGCTGAACAGTCTTGGTAACTGCGATGGCGCAGATAAAGGACACGTGCTGATGACGTGGTCTTAGACGGCTAAAATGGCACAGTGTACAGAGGCCATGAGAAAATAAAAGTGGGCTCTGACTGTGAATGTTCTCCACCTTGGTTTGCAGAAGAACTTGTACTGGATGAGGATTGTCACAGCAAACATAACTGCTCCAAGAATGGACATGGAGCAGAGATTCCTTCCCACCATGTTCCAACTGAGAGGATCCTTAAAGCGGTCTTCGCCTGGAGGAAAAATAATAAAATACCACATAATTACTGAATACACTGTCGGTTAAACAAACATCGACAGCAAAATGTATCTTTACGCCAAACAAATACAAAAACAGTATCAATTGTACGTGGAAGGATTTTTGAGCCTTGTAGAGAAAACTGTAAAACTTTCATCGATGATATAAAAAGGAGACCATGTCATTTTCATGTCAAAGCCCTTTTCTTCTGATATAGACATAAGTGAAGGAGAACCCTCTTTGTTATTCTGCTATTCTCCTCCCCTCTCTGACAATCCTTGAGCCTAATGGGAGGATACGGGGAGACAAGAGAAACGAGAGCACTTTTGCTCTCATTTTCTGGTAAATAACTTCTCTCCACATCAGGCCTTTTAGGTTTGGATTGCTTTTCTCTTGCTGCTCTCTGCTGCTGCCACATATTATTCTTCAAACCACTATTTCCTGCTCATTTCTCCACAGATAAGACTGGCTCCTCTTTCATGTGCCCCTTTTCCTCTGGATTCCCCCCACCCCGCCAACCCTATACTCCCCAATTTCACCTCCGTTTTTGTCTTCAACCCCTCAACCGTTTACTTGTCTAAATTTAATACATGCAGGTAGTGGGGTGCAGGGGAGAAGCAGTGAGGCCAGTGTTGATGGTTGTGTAGTTTGAGCGGCAGTCAGGGTTCCCATACATATCTTTCAAGAAGAGATAGGATGTTGGAAACCTTTTATGACAATGTTTTTAAAATCCACTTTTCCCCACACTGAATAATGCAGACCTGCCAACCTGTTAGCATTTTGCACAGCAGGTACGCAATTTGGCATACAAATACGCTGATACCATTTGCCTCTTTAAACAATGCAAAAAGCTGCTGATCATCGGTGAGTTCTGTGCTTGTTGTTATACTCATGTCTGACAGCACAATGCGGTATTGTGGTGGAAGCAGTTTCACACAATCATCGCCAAGCAGGGGAAAATAACGATGTCTGATGAACCTGTAGTTTAGCCACACTTCCCTCCTCCGTCCTCCCTCCTCCCCATCCCCCTACTCACAGCAGCTGGTGATTAGAAAGGTGTGCGGGGGTATGTTAAAAACGTGTCCCGTTAATAATGTTACCTTCACGGTGAAAATACCACGTCAAACCAGCACTACTTTGCTTTCTGGACTTGGTTGCACCAGTGTATAGTTGCATAAATCAAAATGATATGTCGTGATGATGTGTCGTGAAAAGTAAAAAATATGTGCTGTAAGTCAGTGTAATGATCAAATTCTTGGAAAAAAAAAGTTATTGCATAATACAAAATAACTTACTACCATTGTAACTAAATTATTCAATGCTGTTCATTTTCAGCTCGTATAAACACACATAATGTGTAAAGTGGTTACAACAGTCGGAAAAAAGCTGCAGACCACAAGTGGTACTCAGTACTCAAGTACTATGCCAAGGTTGGCAGGTGTGATAATGTTGTAAATGTTGGTAAATAGCTGTCCAACTTAAAATTTTGAATTTGATCAATTACAGGGTTGGTGTGGATTAACCAATTGTGATCTTAATTAATAGTGATTAATCAAGATTTCAACATTCCTAAATAGGAAAACTTTGTTTTCTGCTTACTACACTACCAGAAGGATAAACAAAAGCAGGTAGATGAATGTGTTATTAACGTGTTCATTGAGACAGCCCTAATAAAACTATTCTAATGACAGAAGATTATAAACACAAGGCTGAAACCTGGATGAACAATGACATACTGTGATAACAGCAGCAAAACTACAATTAAAACAGTTCGCAGCTTAGCTTTAGGATAAAACTGTAAGACAAAGCTTGGCTAAATTTAGTGGGAAACAATGGAGAAATATATAAAAAGCAAACAAAAAAGAGTAAAATAGCTAAAGTATAGCCAAGGAAAGTACTTTTGAATACTTTTTACTACTACTTAAAACATTAAAAAGACCAAAAGATGACTGTTTAAGACAAACAAACTAGTTAGAATTATGTTGAAAAAACATAATAAAAATATCAACAGACATAAATATATTTACTATGACTATAACTATGTTTTTTTAAAAGACCCTTTTCTAATGATTTGTCACCAAAACACTTCACTGTTGGTAAGTTATGTCTGACTCCTCTGTGAAATGTCATGGACAGCGGGCAACATCTATAATACATTTGGAAATCTGCTTTGCAAAGACATTTTTGGCCAAGCCTGTCCTTGACATGCTAGTTATTTATCATGTGACGGCACATCGGGGGGCGGGCAAGGGGAGGGGGGGTTGAGAAATACCTACAAAATAATGAAAGACCAGAAGATGATGAAAAGCCTTTTACAAAATTACAAAGGGAAGCAAACAAATTCATAGGCTTCAAAGAGATTCTCTTTTTAATTTAGTGCGTTCAGGGTAAATTTCCTTCAGTTGGTATTGGGCTGCTTTATTGCTACATTTTTCATTAGGGAAATAGGAAAACAGAAAGACATAAAACTATTGTTTGTTTTTGCTTGTATTATGAGCTAAAGTGAAGAATATCCTGTTTACAGACCTGTGGGAGGAAGAAAAAGTTATTTCATAACAATAGCAGACATTTACACGCAGATTTCTTTCAATCTTTAAAACTGTTCTTGCTTTGATAAGCCATTTTCATCTTTACTGGTCTTGATTTTTGGACTTCATATCAGCCCTAAACCTCTTGATTGAATCTAAGCATGTCCCTGCAACAGAGATAAGGACTGGAGTTCAGGCCAAAGAAACAGTTCAAAAAGGTCTGGAGTTCAGGCCAAAGAAACAGTTCAGGCTCATATTCACGTTGAAAACCAACTCAGAAGCAAGTGTCACCTGTCCATTAAAAGGTATTTCTGAAAAGTTCATGAAATGAATAAACTAATATGAGAAAACATTTAAAAAGTACTGCTAAAAATATATATTTTATTTTCTTCTTTTCAGTTATGCTGTGATACTGGGTATGGCTTTTTACTATTTAGCCTGTATTTAGCCTGTTGAGGCTAAATACTTCATTCAAATACATCCGTCTGTTCAGTGCTGAGGCAGGTCTCCAGGTGTTTTATTAACTTTCTAGTATCATAACAGAACAAATCTCACTGTGGGTCTGCTGTCAGTGTTAAACTACTCAAATAAACTAAAATTAGACACTGAACTGCAATAGAGAAATAAACATCACTAGCTGGTCACTGTGTAGCTTTAATATTTTTATTTATTTTTATTATATTATTATATGAATCTCCAAAGTGTTGAAACTTTCAATTTGAAGACATTTTATGTTTGGTACAGAAATGTATTAAATCGTTTTTGTTGTACTTCATACATGTTGGTTTGGATTGAGCTCTCGTCTCATCTATATGTCACTGTCTTCCAGGTCATTGCATATTTATTAAACTCCACCAAAATAATTATCAGTAATGGTACTCAGTATCTTAGAATACACAAATAAAAATACTCATACTCTTAGGAGTTTGTAATACATTATGACAGCTGTATTTCTTACCAAAATTGCTGAAGAGGTCGGCCGTCACCTGGTTCGTGGCCATGTCGATGAGGCCTCGGCCAAGACAGAAGTGTGGGAAAATCAGCAGCACTTGCTTCATGATGTCATTGACGTGAGTGACTTCCTTCACGACATAGAAAAAAAAAGAGACAGCGAGCAAATTGAAAAATTGCAGCACAACATAGACACAGCCGACCCTTGAATCAGCAGGGCAGGTGCAGACAACGTGTAGTGCCCTGAAAAGCAAGGATAATGAACAAACATCCTGTTCTCTGAGTGGCGTTTTGTGCTGCAAGGCCCCGAACGTCACACCGTGGGGGGGAACACAGCATCTGAGTTCATCTACTCACTTGATATTGAAATCGGGCAGAATGCAGAAGACACGCTATAATCTGCAAGATGTCACAGATTCAGTGTGTACCAACAAAAAGTGACAGTGCGTTGCTTATGTAAGCATATGTTTATCTTTTTAAACCATCGCTCAGGTGGAGAACAAACAGTCGAGGACCAAAAAAAAAAAAAAGGAAACGGCAACAAAAAGAAGCTGAAGGCTCTCCTGTCTGTCTGCCTCTTTTTCTTCTATTCCATTATTGTACAGCACAACAGACAGGTACACACGATCGCAGAGCAAACACACAACGCTCCACTGTTTGACAAGGCAAACGCAAAAACGATAAGCTCATCTCAGGGTGTTTTGTAGTGATTTGTCCTTCACCCCACCACTGTTCTGTCTCCACAGGTCTCCACCTGCCTGTGAATGGGATTCAGTGCCAGGCTGGTGGAGCACAAAGGAAATAATTGTATTGAGAAACAATGGAAAAGAGTGTAACAAACTGAAAAGAAGGAAGTGGGGGGAGTTAAGGGGGAGGGAGAAAAAGGTGAGAGGAAGGAAACAGGCAGGAACAGGGGAAGACAAACTACGACTGGGTTTGGCCTGATGTGGTATTCAAAAGCAGCTTCATGCATTATGCATGAAGCTTCATTGCGGCATATTCTTCAAAGCTCCGGCACACGCAGAGACTACTATATAGATTCATCATTCCTGTTTTGGGGCGTGCTAAAGCAAAGAGAAGGAGGAGCAGGGACGGCGCTGTGTTTCTTTAAAGCCAAGCAGAAATTTGCAGATGTTTCCTTTATGGTCACTGGATCCTTTGACAGATATTTACATGCCACAAAGCACTCGTGATTTATTAACTTTGGTGAGCTTAATATCAGTAGGTAGTTGAAGACGAATGAAAGGAAGGGTGGGGAAACGATTCAAAAGTCAGAAACAACTTCTTATTGGATTTCTATACATTAAAAATGGACCTGATTTAGAAGAGAGTATTCTAATCCAGAACAGAAAATCAAGGTCAGCTAGCTTAGCTTTTTTAAAGTTAAAGTATGCTGCACAAATTTAAAAAAAATAATTAAAAAAAATTCACACTCTCTCTCATCTTGTAAATAAACTGCAGCCATGACCTTGGCCCATCTATTTAGCAGAAGGTGAGTGAAGCAGGACTTAATTTGAGATTGATATGTGAAGCAACAATCTTGTTTCTGGACTGGGTCTTCATCAGGGAGATCTAAGAGGCCTGTAGCTGCGGATGATAAAACTCTTTTTTTTCTTCACCCTTTACATTCATGCTACCTACTCATAAATCATTTTCAAATGACTTTCAAAGGTAGTGCAGTCACTGAGGTGTTTATCTGACCTACATCCCTACGTGAGGCCTTATTCCCACTGCAGGGCGTCATTCATAATGCTGGAGATAATATACAGTATTCTGTGAACTGCAACTGAAGGTCTGGGTTTTTATTAAAGACAACGTTCGTGGTTTTAGACATCTGATAATTAAAAACTGACATTTCAGGATAACTTTTCACATCTGTTTCTGTTGTTTCATATTTACGTCCCAGCTTCTGTTTTGGGGAGCAGAGACAAAATATTACTTTTTATGTCTAATATAAAGGCAGCTGAATTGCATCGAGAGTGTATGAGGCAGGCAGTATGTGGTCAGACTGCCGCACTGTTCCTGTGTCCTGCCCAATCAGCCGGTGCCTGCTGTGGTTATCTCTGAGTTGGCACGTGGTGAAGGTATTGACTCAGACTCTGCTTCAAGCTCACAAGGCAGCCTGGGATTGATGCAATCCACAGGGAGATGGACTGTCCTGGGGGGCTAGGGCAGGGGGGTTGAATCTCCCATTTTGTCTGGAAACAAAAGTGGGGCAGGGAGTCAGGAACACTGCCGCTCCGTTTTCTCACTCACTCTCTGTGGGTTTTCTTTTTTCTGTTTCGGGGAAACGGTTCCATGCCCAAGAGGGTTCAACATTCAGCCTGTGCTTGAACACAGAGCAGAGTCAAGTCTGCAGCTTTACTTTAACGCTACATTTTACGACATAATATAACAGCCGAGCTGGGTGACTATTACTGGACAACCAGGAGCTTGTCTTTCAGCTTTACTGGGGGACATGGGTTCACCACCAGTGTGTCCGCTGCATGTACTGCATGTCGTAAAGCATTTAATCTGCGGTACCCGTGTGGAAGAACCCGGGGAGGGATTTGCTGATTGATGCTGACCCATCAGGTTCCCTCTCAACAGTAAAATCATGTCAGATTAGCTGAATTATCATGGACCCCATGTCCCTGTTGAGTCTCATAGAAACACTATCTGTGTCCCTAATGCCTCGGACAAGAGAAGTGCACCATAAATCTGTTCCTTTACTCTACCCCGTGGACAAAGTGCTGTCCATTAAATTATCACCACTGGCGCCCTTTATGAGTAATGCGCTCCACTAACGCTGTATCAATAAATAAAGCCGACGCAGGGAAAACAAAAACAGCGACGATGACTTTGTTTGGGACGTTCTAGCTGGAAATAAAAACAGATAATGAAATCTGAATGCAGATGAGGCAGCCTTGTTAGGAGACGGTGAATGTCCCATGTCATCACAACATGGTGCCAGAGGAAACATCAAGTCAGAGCCGCACCGTCTGAGGGGACAGAGTTCGCCGAAGTCAGAACAGACAACACGCTCCATCTGAGGTGGAAGACTGAATCTGATGGATGAGTAGAAGGTCGTCAACTAAAGCAGTCGGCCGTGACCACAACGGCTGATTGTTGGGAGCTAAAACTAAAAAGTAAATAATGTGTAGACAAGGGAAAGTGGTGCACCCGTATAAATAACATCAATCACATCTGATAATTTCCAATCTGAGTCCAAAAGGAAAAATAAAAGGAAGATAAAAATGAAAATGAGGTGATACATTTTTGCCAATTATCAGCGCCAGCGGCTGTTTCTATGGAGAACTCAGGCTTTCTAACACATGTATAACCCTAACAGCCTCGCTTTTCAGAGTGTTTTTAATGGAATATATTTCAGTTTTAATCAAAAGTGAAATATGACTGACAAGCCAACATCACCTTCTCCTTCTGCTTCTGTTCTTCTCTAAACTACCCTCTCCGTTTCTTCTCTAGTTTCCCTTTTTTGGGGGGGGGGGGTTTCTTTGTCTTTTGAGTCTCTGGAGACGAAAGCAGCTTGCAGTTAAAATGAACACTCGGTGAAAGATAGATGAGGCGAGTTCTCCGAAGACCCCGTTCTCACCAAACGATTAAACATTAAGAAGAGCAGGGAGGAAAAAGTCCTTTGAAAAATCCTTGGGAGGATAGAGGAAATATTTTTCACATATTTAAAGTAATACCAGGTGGATGCACACTCCACCTACATGAGTCTGAGAAGTGTTGCTATGAAAATGCAGAGAGTTTATGAGTCGTTGGAGTCAATTAGTCATCTAAGGCTTCAGCTTCCACATCGAGTGCTCATACATCGTCTGCTATTCTATATGAGCTGTAGAATAAGTGATGCCTTTGTGCAAATATGGAAGTGAATCTTTTCAAGCCAGTCTGAGACATCGATTGTCTAGACATTGATTTCAATCCTTACCAACCTTGATTTTGTCGACAAATAATTTTCCTCAACGACTTAATCAAAATCCTTCCACTTTAAGATAAAAACTAAATAGAACGTAATGTTTCATCATTGCTTTAATTGCAATGAGGCAATGCTTTGACAAATACAACTAGACCAAAAAAAACTAAAAATCGAGGGTCAGTAAAAATGATTCATGTTTGGATGCATTTTGAGAGTGCCATCGTTTCGCAGTATCTGTTTTGCACAGCTATGCTACAGTAACCTTTTTAAAATCAGCCTCAGAGTAAGTTGGAAATATCCATACCACAGATGGAAACTAACTACATTACAGACAGGTGAGGAGTGACACACCAAAATAAATAAGTGAATAAAATTAAAATTAAATAAAGCAAGATTTGTGCAAATTTGAACCAAAAGAGATGTGAAGGTATTAAATTATAAAGAACTTTACTAATAAGGTAGAAAAAAAGCATGTTACTTCTATGTAATTTTTAATCGAGTCTCTGAATTGTTTCTTTTTTTAATAACATTGTTATAATGAAGCTACCCAGTACATAAAATACTTCTTACCATTAATGTGACTTCTGGAAAGAAATATCTTAATTTATCATTAAATGCAACACCTCTGAGGATTAGAGTTATGAACTCTGGGGAGCAACAGTCCTTATGTCCTTATGGTAGGTGAACAGCTGTCATTAATTTATTTTATTATTTTAATTTTATCATTAACTGTACTTTTAACTATTTCATATTTTCAGCACGAGACGTGTGTGTGTTGCTACAAAAAGGACTGACTTCGTTTTCACTTTTTATACCAGGAATAAAAGATGACGCAATTTTACCGCAATTATTTAACACAACGCGAAGAGAGTACACTGCTGACGTAAATACACAGGAATGTTATTTTTTAAAGATTATTTTACCGGTATAATTTCTGTAATGTTTTATTTGAATATCAGTGGAATTATTTATGAATTATTGTGTTAAGAAATGCTAGCTAAGATTTATCTGATAGCCAAAAAAGAGCCACATCCTGACCCCTGGACTAGACAGTACAACAGTACAGTGGGTGGCAGTATGCGCCTATAAACATATATGTAGATGTACGTTTCCACCTACCTCGTCATCTAAAAGCTCCATGAAAAAGGTGGCCATGCTGCCGTTAATGCCTATGAACAGGTTGATGCAGGTGAGCACCACGTAGGCAGTGCTGGGCACGCTGAAGACAAAGGAGGCGGGATACATCATGGGGGTGATGGACCACCTGGAAGAACCAACAAGGAAACGCGTTATTATGGCCATGGAACAAAATCCAAGAACAAAGAGTTCAGTTTTCTAGGAGCAAAAAAAAAAAGTCAATTGTATTGTTTACATGAATTGAATCCAATTTTGAATTATGAAAAAAACATAAAGGTCCTTTTTATTATCCTACTAAATATGAATTAAAAAATCTATAATTTATGTCACTGGTTTCTACTTTCAGCGTTCAATTTCATCCAAATGCAAACGTTTTATCATTATATCTTTGATTGATCTTTTATTAAATCTGTTTTTTGAACCTGCCAAACTGAACAACTTTGAAAATGGAGAAAATGTTTTTTTTTAATGAAAACTTGTAAAAATGATTAAGGCCTTTGAACATTTTTTTTTTATCAGTTCCCACAATTTGAAAAGAACATGAATTTAGTCCTTGATAAGGCAAAGAAAAATGTTTGAAAGACATCCACCAAACTTTCACACCAAAGGTATAAAAACAGCTCGCAAAGGTATTTTGATAAGATATTTAAAGAAAGATAGTTGTCATTTTTTTAATAAATGAAGGTTTTCAGCTTTTCTTAGAACTTTGTGACTGAGCCTCTTGCAAAATAAATTATTTACGGTATTTACAAAATTGAGATGAAAACTAACGGGATTGTCCTTTACAGTTTTCCTCCCCAAATACAACCACAATACAACAATAGTAATCTTCCTTTTTATGAACAATGTCCATATGTGAAAGCATGGATTTACCCTGACTACGGGGATGAGTACACTACATGTTACTCTCATTAAAAATGTATACCTGTATAGAACCCATACTAGTCTCACTTTAGAGTATTTCAGTATTAACTTGTGCACCTCCCATCCCCCTCCAAAAAAAAGGATTAGGGAGTATTTGAAGTACTTACCCGTACAAGAGCAGCAGCAAAATCAGAGCAGGCAGGTTGGCAGCAGAAACATAGGCCTTTTTTTGGAAGGCGATGAAGATCAGGACCACAATCAAAGAGGCCAAGATGTAGTTACACTGTCAACACAAACAGGCAAACCACAGATCCATGATTGATTTCCTCCAAATACGACAGGTTTTTTTCATCCAGCCAGTTCATTTTTTCTTTCTATTTTTAAGTTAAGGTGTGATTAAGAATCAGTGACTTGTTAATTAGTGCTCAGATATAACAGGTTTGGTTTTCAGTGAATAACACAGTCTTTTGTCTCAGTTTAGAGGCAGGTGCAAGCTGAATAAAAAAGGTGAATAATAACAGTTTCAGAAAGGTTTTTTTTCCAAATACAGCAGTACTGTCAAAATAATTTTATAATGATAAATTGAAAACAATGTTAAAATTCCTCTGTTATATATATATATACACACAGTATAAATATATATTTATATACTGTATATATACACACACCTTGTATAAACTAAATTATAGTTTTTTCACTGGTAGTCTAATATATTTCTGCCAATAAGATGTTATATATATAATAAAATAGCAATGATTCATTTATATTTCTGCCAATAAGATGTTATATAATAAAATAGCAATGATTCATGTGTCTGCAATTCCCAAAGAGGCAGAGTACACCAGAAATATTAATATTCCAGGACAAATATCCCTGTTTTACACCTATAATAGACAGAGCTGTTGCTGAAAGCTCCAGGCAAAAATCATTAGACTGGCTCCGTTTGCGTCATTTGTCTCACACTCAGACACTATTTATCTGCCATAATGATGAGTGACCCACTGCCGTTCCTTTAGTAAAGGTGCCTGATAAAATGTTTACTTGCATTGTGCCTCCGGGAAAGCGGGGGTTGGTGGGGAGGGGGCGGTAAGGCTGTTAAGCATGACCAGCAGGGGTGTCCACCGTTGATAATTACACCTTAGCCAATAACCGCAGCTCGGGAGAAACTTTTTCCCAGAAGCGGCTGGTGTCAGAGCAACATTATCAATTACAGTGGTCGGGTCTTTTTATAAAACATAGCCATAGGTGGACTGAAAAAAAATCACCGGCAAAGAGGGAGATGATCAAACTGGGGTAGAATGAGGCCTGCGGTGCAGAAGCCTGGCTCAGATAATCATGTTTTATAGGCGTTTTTTTTTCCCACAGCCAAGATTTAATTAATCGGGTAATAAAGTGGGAATACTGCGCCGTATCGGAAGGAGCAGTGATCTGGAAGGAGGTGATGGAACATCCTGACAAAGAAACAGCTACGTACCATGTCCCATGCAAAATTGGCCAGCCAGTATACAGTGGGGTTGACGCCGCTGACGAATTGCAGGTGCTTGGCTTTGCTCACCCGCTCCTGGATGAGGAAGAGGACAAAGCTGGCGGGGATGAAGGACATGGCGAAGATAATGCAGATGGACACCACCACATCTGTGGACGACCTGACCCTGTGATGGAACGCAGCACAGAAATGACATAAGAATCACTAATGTTGTTTACAATTTAATAAGGTAGAAAAATAATGTAAATAAGTTCAGCTTTAATTCACCAAAAACAGTTTGTCAGGAAAAAGTAAATAAAGCTCATGTCTTTAAAATGCAAGTAAAAATGCAGGAATTACTCCAAAGATATTAAAAAGTATTTAGGACGGTCTAAAGGGCTGAAAGTCTGTAACTAGAACACTAAAATATACTACAGTTTTTATGATACAGACCTAGAACTCAGTTCCAGTGTGGAACACCCGGGAAACCTCGAATCAGGACCAATGATCTTATGATCTGATCCCTCGCCTTCTGAGTCTTTAATTTTGAAAAAAGACTTGAAACCTTATACAGTACCTTAATCATTTCCATAACCACACTGTCACTCACATTAAGCCTAAATCAAACGGTCTCATTGTTTTAATGAAACCCAGCAAAAGACAACGATAATATGGACTCTTAAATTGACAAACTGTCTTCTATAAAACAGCAGATATCAGAAGAGTACTGAGTATTCACACTACTTAACAGTATGTGGCGAGAACACAACATTTCACATCATAAAAGAACACGTTCGGAATCTGTGATCCTGCAACTGAGTTGGGCGAAACGCAGCTCCTGTGCAGACTGCGAGAAAGATGGCTTTTCTTACACTGAGGACAAAGGAAGACAGAAACCTCAGCGTGTTTTGTGCAGAGAAGTGTTAGAATGTGAGGCATGAAATCATAAAGCTGAAGCAGCACTCATAAACACGAGACCATTCTCTCAAAGATAAACCTGTTCTGAGTACTTTAAAAGACGACTTCAAGACCACAGACCTTCACAGAAGCTCGAAGCACAGTGTGTTCTTTTCTCTCAGGTTCAAACTGCATCTTCTTTTCAATCTGATTCTCCTCGACTTGGGTCTCAAGGATCTCGACCAGGTGAGAACTACTGCCATGGACTGAGTCACATATAAAGCACATGGTGCTAAATATAGACTTCATCCACGCAGGTGGTGTTGCGTTGATTTACAGGCTCAAAAACATTATTATTCCTAGTGCGAGTGAAAGGAAAATATGCAGTGACCTAACAACAGGTCGAGAGCAATGAGTGCTCGCTGATTTTTTTTTATATCTGTGCAAAGAAAAAGAAAGACAAATGAGTGGATAAAAGTGAAGAGTGTCTCCTGTCTCCTGGAAACGAGCCAGATGACACTTATGGAGCGGCAGCAGCATTTACTTCATTTCCTGTAACGCAATAAACAAATTGGATTTATTAGTGTGGAATCCAAGGATGCATTTAAACCACTCTTGTTACACCTAGAGGAATAATCAATATAAATAATTTAGTTGTTATTGATGACTTAATTGGACAAGTATTACATACATTAATGGAAAGTGCTGCCAATGCTGTTTGTACATAATAAAAAAGCTTTTAAAGATTATGATGGGGCCAAACTCCTGCACGGAGAACAGAGGAGCCTGGACTTTTACATGTAACGCTCTCCCTCTGTCATGTTAGAAACAAATTATCTCTTTCCTCTCCAATATGCTGACCTTCATTACACTGTCATATATCTTCATTTGTGCCATCTCGGCTTTGAAAGTGTCCTTCGCTTTTTTTGCCTGCGCAATTAGTAGTGGAGCAAACCCGTCGGTGTATTCTTTTAACCCCCATCGTCGTCCTCGCCCTCAGCTCCGCGATAATTTCTCACCAGACTTCCTGCGGCGTCATTAGCATATTAAATAAGCTACCCTGTGTGGACACATAGCTGTATTTATCATCGGCGAGCAGACACAATTAGAGCACATGAATATGAAGTCGTTCACATGGGTGGGCGACCCCATCAATAGTTTTTTTTTTCTTATTTGTATGAAGCAGCACAGAAAGGATGCAGGTGAAGGTATAAATGGGAATCATCGTACGGTTGAATGGTTGAAGCTGGTTAATCAGAGCCAAGGCTGGGACACCAATCTGTTAATTAACTAATATTAGAAGAGCACAGAAGATGAAGAGCGGCATTAAAGTCATACGGTGTGGACCGCTTTAGTTCAGAGCCAACGATTATGAACTCGGACACAAAACACATCCAGGTCATTATTTCTAACGTGCAGCATTACGTGACTTATCCAGAGAACCATTTCAGTTCTGATGGACCCACATTACAGCCTCATATGAATTTTACCCAGATCGTGCATATATATGGGAAATTATACCTATCCACTGAGAGAAATGGAAATAATTCCCAAATATCAAATGGTCAGTGAAGTTAAGCATTTGTCAGCTTAATTGATATTCTTTAGCAATTAATTATTATCCGTTAAATGAGAGTATATGGTATTTTTTTGATATCTTGTGCCATCTCAAAGGAGTAGTTCCGTACCAGTTCCTAAAAGTCTTGACAAACCTTCCTCCTTATGTTTTTATGCATGTTGTACATCAAATACTGTGACCACTTGCTAGTTTTTCTACATTAGAAATGATGGAGGGAATCCCACACCCATTTAGAGTAAATGTAAAGTTAGGTGTTTATGTAGACAAAAAAAAGTTTCACTTCTTTATTTTCTGCAACACCAGTAACACTGATGCGCTCACTCCAGCTCACCAGGTGGCAGAAAAGCACCAAAACATTTTTTGACAAATATTGTTATTTAACTAAAAGGCAGGTCAATGCAGTTAATCAAGGACCAAGCCCATAAATAACGACATTATTGTTTGTTTTGACCATGTCCTGTTACTACTTTAGACATGTTCAGAAAGATAAAAACTGAAATATACTAGAAAAAAAACATTGAAACACCCAAAACCTCCACGACCCACAGAGAACCTCGGCGGACCTCCTAGGGGTCAAGGGGTTGGTTCATCAAATTATGTCAACAGCCTGTTTAATCTCCTCCTTCATTACCTTCTTCCTAACTATGGTCCCATACAGGAGAAATGTTGAAAACACACTGAAATCATAGGACATTCATTTTAGTCTGAGGGAAGAGCAGGTTCATATTCAATTCATAGTGGACAGGACATGGCAGTTATGTCCTGTCCACTCAGGGCCTGTTGTTAGCAGCTGGTCTCTATATAAATACATACAAGGGAGGAAACTGGAGCTGGAGCAGCAGCAGCAGCAGCAGCAGCAGCAGCAGCAGCAGCAGCAGCATGTGAAATAAAACCCATGTCTATGTGATGATTGGTAGCAGTCACAGAATTGCCTGTTTATTTCCAGGTCTTGTACTCATCACACTGTGTGGTAATTTGGCTGCAGCGCCAAAGATTTCCAGTGGACTTTCAGCCAAAAAATACAAATATGAACTGAATATTTCACCACCAAGAAATAACAAACCAATATATGTGGTCATTATCAGACAACAAAAACAGCTCTACAGTAAACAGAGAGCTGCCGTGCCCATATGGTAAGAGCTGCTCTGCTGTGACTTAGCATGCCATTAATCTTTGATTCTCAGGGGGAGATGCTCCCTTACCAGGCACTGGATAAGGCACGAGGTAAAAAAACAAAACAAAACTGCATGCTCTCAGGAGGCTGCTGAGTCTGAAAATCTGTGCACAGTCAAACAAATCCCTCATCCATCTATCTGTCTATCTTACACTTTCTCTTGTACTACCTCATGCTCATCAGTCCTCTGTTTGTCTGGGTTTTCTTCATGCTCTGCCTTTGCTCCACTACTCTGTCCCACTCACTCTGTCTCAATGCTCCAGTTACATAGTTTCCCCCTTGAGAATGTCTGCATTTCATGATGCATTGTTGGGAAATCACGCCCTTTCATGAGTGAAAAACACACTGTAGAGGTGAGACATGTCGAACTCCAAGAGGTTAAGAACCAGACAACTGGACTGTCTTTCTCATCTAAGAGGATTCTTCTCTGTTAACTGGCTGCAGGACAAGTCTGGAATCTTGTCTCTGAGTGGGTGAATACCTGAACAGAGAGCCGTTAAAGCAAAACAACGGTGGCGACCAGGCTTGAACCACTGGCAGGAAGGTTCTAATCCTGATTATCACTCAAAGCACAGGTTCAAGACTGGAATGGAACCAACAACCCTCTGGGGGTAAGACAGTTGCAATACCTACTGTATGATTTCCCTCTTCATGGTCAACATGACATTTTCAACTAGAGACAGATCCAGACTACAGCAGGTCAGCCAGGCAAGTGGCAAAGTGAACTCCTTGTCATTGTGACACAGCTCACCACTGCACACAACCAAATGTGACCTCTCATTTTAACGCATCACCACTGGGCAGCTTTAAGGGCCAGGGAGCAGTGTGTGGGGACGGAGCCTTGCTCAGAGCACCTCAGTGGTAACTTGGCAGCTGGTGGACTCAAACCTCAAGCCTTCCGAACCCAAGTCCGCTTCAGTAACCACTAAGCCACCTTTACTCTTTAATTTACCAGTAGCCAGTTAGAACTGAAGAAGACTTTTGGATGTACATCCCAGGTCTAGCAACCATACCATTAGGTCTCTACTGCTTCAGATAGAATAAATAAAAAATACAATTTTGCTGAATCATTTCACTGCCTAAACATGAAGGATGTAGATGTTTGTATTATTCTACCACTTTGATTCAAGACTCAAAGGTGATTCAATGGACTTCATCTGACATTTTCTTAGGTTGTTTTTCTCAAACTCTACACTTGAACACAGGCCCATTCTGGACTGCTTCTTTTTTACTTCACGCTGTGTGAACCTCATCTACCCATCTGAGTTGTTTTTGTGTGATGACTCACGTGACGGCCAACGCGAGCTGCTCCTTGGTAAGGTTGAGAGGGTGATTGGACACAGAGATGCCGAACTGGCGGGGATTCTCTCCCGCTGGCAAGTTTCCCCTCAAGATGGCATTGTTGGCCACGCCGAGGAAAGACACCAAGCTGTGATACGCCTGGTTGTAGAACCACACCTGCCGAGGGAGAGACGAGCAGAGGAGAAGTGAGTGTGGAGGCCCAGAGGTTTGTTTCACACGTCTCCTAGCAACTGTAACTACTGGGGTTGAGCAAGATTTCTCAGAATAAGTAGCAGAAAAAGAGTTTCTGGTAATGTTCCTGTTATTTTGTTTTTAAGAATTAAATATTTATTTTTATATGCCCCAACGTTATCCCATCTTTTTGTTAGAACTTTGTTGAGAAGAAGCTGGTGGTGAGATTGGAAGATGTTTTTTTAAAAACATTTTTCAGCTGAAGACCAGAAAATTTCTCACAAAAATTAAGCAAAATCATTTTTTCCATGTCACACCAGTGAGCCACAGCTGGTTGGGAAATACTGAATTAAGGTTTGCCACATAAATCATAAATTGCAGTATTTAAGGTTGCAAACAAAATGCAAGAAAGAACGTTTTAACAAGGTCACCTTAATCTAATATTATTAACTTAATTAAAATCAAATTTTTCAACCATGCGGTGCATATTCATGCAGATCATTCATGTCTCGAGTTTTTTTTGTTTTACTTTTCAGAAACAGTCCTGTGAGGTGCAGAGTCGTTTTTATCTCTGCTGTAAACAAACAACAGGAGGAATTTTCATTTTCTTTTCTCTCTCATCTCTCTGTTTATTTATTTGCCTATTTTTATTCACAAACGTGCCTTGTTTGCATAGGAGGGCATGTGACTAAAAAAAAATGATGGAAAGAGAGAGAAAGAGAGAAAGCTGTTTACATGAACTTCAACTTAAATGACAATTGTCAAATAACATTGGTGCTGGAAAGAAAGTTTTGTTTGCAAATTTTATTGTGATCATGTCTTTGTTTCTATTATTCGTGTCCATGACAACGCAACTACGTGAAGGCAAAGAGTGAAGCCGTTTTACAAGAAATATCTGTGACAGAAAATAAACAACAGGAGGGAAAGATTTTTTTTCTCCTTTCGGTAAAAGATAAAGATTAGCTGCCAAGTGCAAAAAGGAACCAAAAAAAAAAAATGCAGCATGTCTTTTTTTAATGTCAGGGATTCTCTGAGTCTGCAGCAGCTTCAGGTTGTGGGAGGTGTGGAAAAGAAAAAGGAAAGAATGGATGAAATGAAAGAGTGGGAGGGAGACAGGACTCCCTGCTGATAGTGCAGCGTTAATTAAGAGTGGGTAGCGTTTGAGTGTCAGCCAAACATAACAGAGCACCACCACGGAGGATGCAGAGAATCTCGAGTGTGCACACAGATGTGCACAAACACACACTGCTGCTGCTGCTGCCTGTTAGTCTGTGGCTGTAGCTCAGACTTTCAGATTGACACAAACGTTGATTGTGTTTTTCTTATATTTCCTTCATCCTAAAAACCTCTGAACTACCTGCAGCTTTTTCCAAATAAAAACACAATTTGTTCACTGTGATGTGTTTTTAAGATGTGTTGAAGATATTCAGAGGTTGAATTCATATCATAGTTAAAGTGAAATTATGTTCAATACAGTTTAAGATGGGCCTAGTTAACGTAATGTTTTAGCGTATAAGAAATAATAACAGTGGGAACACCACACATTTTGTGTTTTTAGACACATTTATAAATGTTGCCAACAACACGAGTCAAGGGCAGAGGCAATGTAACAGCAAAGGTCAAACTGGTTTCACTGGAGTAGAATTTACAAATCACAATAACAAGGCATCAAATTAAGAAGTGTCAAAACATCTATGTTGGTAACAACCAAATCTTTATTCTAAGTTAAACGTAGGAGACAATTTTTTTTCACTGCAGAGAATTTCTGTCGTTAAATAAATTTTTTGTGTGGTGATGCGCTGAGGGATTTGTCTCCCGATAAGAATAACCATTGAAATAACCATTGAAACTGAAATAGAATAACCATTGGAGGCAAAAGCCCAAAGGTTAATTTTATGTCCAGAAAATCAAATGTTTAAGTGCATCACCAAATTTTAGATTTTATGCATCATAAGTAAGTCAACTTTTCAGAAAATGTAGTTTATATTTTCCCTCAAACCTCTGACTGGTGCTATTTTTTTTCCCATACACCACTTTTTAATCATACATTTTATTTCTACAGTAAGCAAAGATAATACAATCATTAAAACTCTATTCCACCAGCTTTAATTTCAGCCAATTAAAACACTACCTTAACATTGTTCTTGGTGCCCAGCTTCTTCAGCAGCTCCTCGGACGTCTGTAGCAGCCGATCAGTGACATTATTCTGGAGAAGACGAGGAAAACAAGAGGAAGAACACTGAGCTGGAGACTTAATTGGATACACTTGGAAAAACAGCAGCACACACTTTGAAATGCAAAAACATGAGTCAGGAGGAGAGGCGAATGGGAACTTCTGGACGGTGTTGCTGTGTGCTGAGCCACTTATTTCCCAAGGGCCAGAGTGAAAAATGTGTCCTCCCCTGATGTCTGTTTCATTAAGTAGTGTGAAATAATTAATAACAAGAGAGGCAGGAGAGAAAAAGAAGCAAAAAAAAAAAGGACGAAAAAAAAAAAAAAAGAAAAACCAAATGTGTCAGTCAAATTTTTGGAAAAAAAAAAAATCCAAATGTTGCAGACTGTAATAATAATGATATATTTAAAGGGTGGCTTTACTATGACAGGTTGCATTAAAACTCATCTCTGCTCCTGTCATGTGCCTGTGAAATAAGTCTCAGGATGAAGGCTTGAGGTGACGGGCATTTGATCTCCAAACTGCCATGTTGATACCATGCTGCTTGGCTCAGTCATTAGAGCGCTGAGAACATTACACATGTGATATAAATGCAAATGGACCTCCTGCTGGACCCGGCCTTCATAGTACTTCTGCAGGGAAGGAGAACGGAGGAGAAGAATGGTGGGGGAAAAAAACAGAGGAGGAGGTGAAAAACCGCAGGTGACAAGTGAGGAGAGATACATTGGAGGCCAGCACTGAAAAAAATAAAAGGAGAAAAATCAAGAAAGACATCCCAAGAATGCAGGAGTGTGCTCGGGTGAAAGTGCTTGTCTGAGCTGATAGGGGGAGTAAAGAAACAGACAGCAGAGCTATCTGTAGCCCTCAAGGCAGTTAACCAAGGACAAGGGACCCAGGCTATCATCACATGTCTGTTCTTCCTTTTATTTCTGTGCCAGTGTCTTTTTTTCTAACACGGTCGATCCTTCTATATATACTCTCATAACCTGTAAAATCTGTAGAATACAGATTTAATGCACAGCCATCATCACTGCCACGCAGATTATAGCAACATTAGAACTAAAATCTCATGGAGAGGGATCAGGTGGGGGAGGAGCCCAAAGATACCTGAGGGTTGAGGAAAGTGCTGACATGTAAAACAGCTCAAAAATACTAATGTTAATGACAGATTAATTTAACAGATGTTAAAAATAACAGCATATGAGTTCTTTCAGATGGGTGTCAAAGGGAGCTGCAGGTTTTAGTGATTTGATCATAACCTGTAAAATTTGGAATTCTTTATGTGTTGACATAAATCTGGTTTTCTCCTTTGACATAATAAATGTTTACACATCATTTCGTCAACACAGCATGAACACTTTTTCCTCCTTCTATATCACGCCCTGACAAGAAGGTAAAAAAAACCCATAGCCCTCTATCTACACTGACAGGCTTTTTGTGTTAAAAAACATAGCGTCCGTTCCAAGTCATTAGCTATTCATACAGCAGGCAGAGAAGACACTCTTGTCCATGATGCTGCTGCCAGAAGAAGCGAAGGAATCCATGCTACAGTTGTGGCTTTCACCTCCTTCTCTGGTTTGCATTGTTGCTACAGGAAGTGGAAAAAAAAACACCAGAGACCTTCCTGAGGATTAGCAGATGCGATGAGCAACTGCAGCTCTCTGAGCCTAATCCTCAACACCCCCTCCGCCCCCCTTCCTAGTACAAGGGCAATGACGAGCCCGCTATGAAGAGCCGAGCTGCCCATTGCCACGGCTAACTGTGCGACAATAAAGCCACTGGAGTGTGTGCTGACATTTTTGGCTGGTATTCCAGAGTGGCCTGCACAGTTCAGCGGTCGTGTTTCCTGTGCGTTGGGTGTGCTAATAATATGTGTCTGCAGCTGAGTGGAAGCAACAGGGAAACTTAAAAATAATTAATTTTTGCTTCCAAGGTGCCTGCTGCACTGAATAATTTAGATAATTAAACCAAAAGGTGTTGCAGAGGAGCTTGCAGACGCATTACAGGGCCTGGAGTTTTGGCATTTTTTGTCACTTTCACATTTCACCACACGCCACATTCTCAGCTATTTTTAAAATAATTAGTACATATCTTGCATTTGGAGCATACATCCTCTTGTGCTTTTCTCTTGTTTTTTTAACAAATTTTACCTGTGAGACAGAAATAATGAGAACGGATAAAAAAAATAAATAATAAAAAATAATGAAAATCTCAGTTCTGGCTCTGGTCATGATACCAGCTCACATCACCATCACCACATCTTCCAGAACCAGACATTTCCCAAGGACAGTGTACCAGTTTAAAGAATACAGATTTAATGCACAGCCATCATCACTGCCACGCAGATTATAGCAACATTAGAACTAAAATCTCATGGAGAGGGGAGATCAGGTGGGGGAGGAGCCCAAAGATACCTGAGGGTTGAGGAAAGTGCTGACACGTAAAACAAAAATGTTAATGTTAATGACAGATTAATTTAATAGATGTTAAAAATAACAGCATATGAGTTCTTTCAGATGGATGTCAAAGGGAGCTGCAGGTTTTAGTGATTTGATCGTAAGTGATAACCAGTGAAAGCCTGTTGCCATAGACACAAAAAAAGGACCTGAAGATTTTGAACCTCTCATGACTTTCTTTTGTTTAAAAGTCAAGCAAAAATGACATTACCTGTATCCGAGATAAGCGAGTCGAGCGAACAAAGAATGTTCTGCTCCAATTAGGAGCCATGTGCTCACGAGTGTGTGTGGCCGGCACACTGAGTAAGAAAAAAGCAGCTTTTAAACCGCCGGCGACGAAAATAGTCAGTGTGTTAACATGGACCTAAAGAAATGTCACAACTGCTTCAATGGCCAGAAATAATAAGGAGTTTTGACCTCAAAGCAACTGTCTCCTACCATCAACAAATGGGAAAATTATAGTTTTATAACAGAAGAAAAAGAAAGTAGAGAGTGACTCAGATGGTACGAGTCATGACAGCAGTCACAGAGGGGGAAAAAATGTTAAATTACAGACAATAACTGTCACTGACACCGCTTTGTACGATTCTCCACTTACAAAAACTTCTTTTTACCAGTCGCAAAGTCTCTATAAAAACTTTCTTCAAGGAATGTGATAAAAAAAAGAACCTAAAAATTGTATATTATTATATTATACATTAAAACTTTTTTTTAATAGAGGAATAAAAGGTAATTTTTTCTCACAATAATACAACTTTATTCTTATAACTCCTTAATACTTATTTATGTAAAGTATTATTCCCAAGTAACTTATCAGTAGTGTTTACAAACCTCAGATGATCCCAGGAGCTCCTTCAGATCCACAAACGCTGCCTCGATGTCTTCTTCAGTCATACGGACTTGAGAATTGACTTCTCCCACAGACAAACCTCCGTACCTAAGTCATTAAAAGACGAAAGTATCAACATTATGCGATTACACCCATTTAGCCTGAAAACACTTACTTATTTGCCGCTAATAATTTGTCTCTGTATGCAACAGTTACAGGTAGAACAATTAAATATGCTTCCACAAGGTGACTGCAGATGGCTACAAACACAGAAAGTCTTAATGTTTCTTTAATTCCTGATCATTTTATCTCAGTGTTCAACTAAACAGGCACAGTTTTCACACTCAATTAGTTATTTTTTTACCTAAATTTGCCACTTTTTTCAAAAGTCTTGATCAAGAAGTCGGTCATGTTCCGTCCAGATAGATCCTGCAGCGTGTCAGTGGTGTTCTGGATCCTCTGTTTAAAGGACAAAACAAAATTTCATGTTGGTTGAACATTAACAAACACTAGACATATCAGTTGAAAGTTTGTCAAATTAGCCCAATGTCTTTTAAAATTATTATTTTTTCCTAGTAGGAAGATAATTGGTTGATACTAATTAAAACTGATGTATTGTCCTAACATTGGTAAATGCAATTTGGTCACAATGGTTTGTTAAGAATAGTTAAGAACTTGTTGAAATACAAAATAAGCAAAAATAATGCACCCACTAAAGATGACACACATTCACATTCATCATATACAGCATAGACTCACCACTGGGCGGATTAACTCCAGGTAATAAATAATCAAACATCTGCCTCAGTAAACACAATCTCTGTATATGACTTCATTTGATGCAGTTGTCCTCACAGTCTGGGCTGGAGGTAGAATGCTTATGCAGTTGGGTGAGTAACATTTCACTATTATCATTCTTTGTGCCACAGTGGGAAAAAACACTGAGTTGAAAATGTGCTTTTTCAATGAGAATAGCTTTTAGAACAATTGAAATTGAAGCCATAGCTGTAGAAAGGTTGTGTTCTATAAAAACGTGGTGCTGGTGAACAGCTGTAAAGCGGTTTAAAATGTTCTTAAAATGTCAACATTTTCAATTCATTTAACCTGTTAACACTGCTGCCTAATACACAACTGAAGTCTACACATTAGGCTAACAGAAATATCAAAGGTAAAGATGTTATAAATCATAATCAACAATCTCTACCTTCCTACAGTTTCTTAGTCAGTTTTCTGCAGCTCGTATGCCACGAAGTACATAATTACGCCAGTAGGGGGGAATGAAACATAACACTATATAAATTAGAAACCGTTCAAATATGTATTTTATGTGGTAAATGCACCTGCATCCCTGGATTTTGGATGGTGGAATGTTTATGCAAGTGCAAAAATAAGTATTTTTTTTTATATGGTTTAAGGAGATAATCAAACATCTCCAAGTGCTGCATGTGGTGCATTTGTCAGGAACAGAGTCCGACCACCAGCTCCGGGGGATCCAGCTGCTCAGTCAGTCGTAAAAACTTCATCCAGACAAAGAGGAATCAACCGAACATCAGAGCAGGAGCGTTTTGCAGGTGGTATCTGTATCTGTTCACAGCAGCGTGAAGTATATTCTTTCAACCCTTATGATAATAGTCAATTAAGCTGGGATGAAAACAAACCCCCGACAAAGCTGCAAAAGCTGTGTCTAATGTCAGAGGACCCTAATTAGAGGCTCTTCTGTGGATAAATGGGTACATTCAAACATCCAATTAGGATAGGGTGCGACATAGTGCAACGAACACACTCCACAATTTGTAGACTGATACTTCGCAGTGCACACACACGTGGCCCAACGCGGAGCTGCTTTATCCCTGATTATTTAGAAAAGTAACACTATGTTAATTAGCAGAACGATCCTTGATAGAGTGCAATTGAGACCCCCGACTGCACCCCTCTGCTTACAGCCCTTATCTACTCTTGTGTGCAAACAGACTGATGTGAAAGCTTCGGGTAAACACAATATGTTGATTAATGGGCTGCTCCATTACATTTTTACAGTTTAAGGATACTTGTCACAAAATCAGGGGGTAAACATGACATTGTGCATTTTCGTTTCGAGGTTTTAAAATGACAGCCCTTCTGTATTGATAAGATGAAAATGAAACTCCAATCTGTTGCTTGGTTAATCACTTGAATCCACATTTTTATAGTGCAGATTGCACTAATAAACTAAAAGCAAGTTGTTCATGATTAACAAAATTAGGAATTGATCTCTAAGAACACTAAGAGTGAGAGTGAAGAGGTCGTATTTCCAACATATATGAAGGTTTTTACAATCAGCTAACGACCTGCAGCAGGACGGCGAGAAATGAGATATGACCGAAAGAAGCATCAACAAAAGGCTCGGTCTAAACTGCAGCAAAAGGAGTAATGAAAAAGAGGAGAGAATGTGACCTAGTTATAAAGTAGACTTTGCCCATCGCAGTGTGATGCAGCCACTTATTCAATACAAATGTGTATTTTCAAAAAATATGAAATGATTAACTGTAATTAATATAAATAACAATTAACCCTGATTGCAATTAATCACAATTAATCGTGGTTACCATTGTAAATTTGATCACTACTAACCAAGAAAATCATGATTAATGCTGATTTTATGTTAATAATTTCAAGTTATCATGATTATTCCAGCGCAACCTTTGACAGAATGAAAATAGTTTGACAGCCATAATGAAAACATCATTGATGAATTCAAAGAGACACTGGAAAATACACATGGAGCTAGAAAACTGTCTAAAGAGTTGCAGACGGAAAGAGAAAAAGAAAGAGGAGGAGGAGGAGGAGATAGAGGAGAAGGCGGCTCATGTGGTTTATGAATCAGAGATAAGAAGGACCGGTAGCGCAGCAACCTTGGCTTATCTCTGAATAAACATGCATGTCTTTTGAAAAGCCACAGGAAACTTGGAAACAAACAAAACGTTAAAAAAAGCCTTTACACTCTGCTGTCTGCACAATGAGTTTATACAGAGGCATCCAGCCAGCGTGCATGTAATTATGTTGGCCTTGGTTCACATCCAGCATCAAAACACTGCAAGGGGAACAGTATGCGATGAGTGCGATACCTGGGCCTCACTGTATGTTGTGCATGACATCAGAGCTGCAGCACACAGTGGTGGCCCGAGAGCCGAGGAAGCAAACTGAGGTGAGAGAGGTGTAAATGAAGCAGAGGCCCAATGTGCTGAATGAGCTGGCACAGAGATAAGACAAGACCCTGTGTTCATTTCTTTCCACTTCTGAGCCAAATTTTATCTGCTCTACACAAAGAAAAACCATTTCTGGAAAGCAGCGTCTGCAGCAATTAAGCATGGCGCGTTAAGCTGCATGGTCACTTGTCTGTTGTTTTTTTTTTGTTGTTGTTGTTTTTTTTCCCACAAGAGATGACAGGTTAATTATGTCTTTCTGTAAGAGGTTCCTGCATGTTTTGGAGCTGCTGAGGACAAAATTATTCATCTGGGAAAATCGAATTCCTCACTTGAGCGTATTCCACGTTGCTGTGTGATGGTAGTCCGTGTGATCACACGGCATCCATGGTTTTAAACAGTGCCAAACTGTTGTTGTGAGTAACCAACAACTTCTGTCATCACATAAGCCAGTCAGCTTTGACGGCATCTCCTGGCTTCTCTCTGGTCTGAACATGTCATTGCACACCAAATCTGATCTGCAGGTGTTCGGAGCCAAAGTGAGAAGTCAGCGAAGGCTAGCAGAGGAAGGATTGGGGCATAATCTGGGGTTAGATAGATTTTTTTTTTTATCCCCAACTGCGGCCAGAGAGGAAGCCTGGTCTCAGCCTTGGTGGTTAGAGCTGAGCTATCCAGACTTATCTACGTGCAGGAGCAGATTTAACAAAAATAAAACTTCAGGTTGGACAGAAATGACATAAAAAGTCAGATTTTGGAATAAAAAAAAGAAAGCTATGACAAGACTCAATTTCACTTTGTCTGAATAAACAGAAAGCTATGACAAGACTCAATTTCACCTTGTCTGAATAAACACAAATTATATTGAACAAAAACATTCTAGGCATAAAAGGAAATAAAATACTCGCCAGGTTATAGCTAGTAATTGTTTGCCACAGAGGTAAATGTATTCAGATTTAAATAACCTCCACTTTCACTACTGTTAGGACACAACATACATATTTCAGGTAGAAAATGATCATGGCTTTATCTGATGTAATTAAAGGCACTTTTCTAGAAATAAAGTCTGAGACCAAACAGTTGTTGTCTTTAAACAACATCTTCCATTTTATAATGGTGATTTCAGAGTTCCCATTCAGAGAGATTGTTTTTGTTTTTTTCTCCACCAAACTAATCAGTGGCAAACTAATGTCCAAAAGCCTGAAAGACAAAGCAGTGCAGAGTCATTTGCTGCTGAGTTGTAGTTGGACCGATCTCTGATGATAAAAGCATCAATCGTTGCACGAGGAGTGTCGCTCTTTATCAATTCCCTCACATGCGTGACGCGCCATTCATCTACGGAGGTTAAATATCAGCAGTGAACAAGAGTCAATAGAAGAGAATTGATCACGGCCTTAACTGCTGCGTGCCATTTCCATGGTAACAATAATTTCACACTCTCTCCTGTGGCAAATGTTTTTTTTTCCTTTCTTTATAGTTTCTCAAGGGCAGATTCAGAGGATGGGCATGAGTGAAGATAAAATAGAAAATTACAGCAACGCTTCACTTTATCATGATTAATTCAACGCCCAGGACTTTGGGGTCAGAGGGGGCACCAGCCTCAAAAGTATGTTCAGTTTCGTCCGGTGGTCGTCTGGCCTGTCCTGCCAGCGTCTGCAAACAATCTGTGATGATAAATGCACACGTTTCCAGGCACGAAGTACAGCTCTGTTTGACAGTGTGTGCTGTTTATTTATTTGTAACTGTGCAATATTTATCCTCTGTGAAGTCAGCCAACAATGTTCACAAACCTGCAGAATCCATCCTGTGTACAGTACAGTACAGTACAGTACAGTACAGTACAGTTGGGTTGATCTGAGTTTGACAACTTTACTTTGTGTGAGTGTGTGTGTGCACCTAAGTGTGGGCTGACTGAGAAGGTCGGAGGTGAAGACAGTGTGTGGTTGGCTGGATGTTACGCATTTATATTTATATGAACAAGCTATTGTTACAAGCTTTAAAAAAAACTCAACGAATTCTAATGAAAACATTTGAATAATTTACCAATAATTTGACATTAGTCAGATCCTAGCATTTCACACAACTGAATATTAAAACTAAGAAATTAATAAATAACTTCTGAGGTTTGGGTTGGATTCATATCTCAGAAGGATTTTTTTTTTTAATGACTTATTTTCCTTTTTTCTATATTTTTTATACTTATTTATACTTATTTAGTCAGGCTTTAAAAAAGGAAGTTTAGAATCGGGGTACTTTTTATTCTGAAAGATAACCTAGTTAAATATATATTACTAAAACTACAGAACCACTGCAACTCAAAGTACAGTTTGAGTTCCTAATATGCAGAAGGCAACTGGACTTGATCAGGTTTCTTAAAAAAATATTCTGGTCTTGGAGGCTTGGTTCAGTTATTGGGCCAGTCAGAAACGTCCACTCTAAAACAGAATTATCTAAACACATTAGTATTGGACAGAAATCTGCATTTATTATTTAATCAATTGTGCCCTGAATCTTTAACTTCTATCTTTTGAACCAAGTTGATCAGGATTATGAGAGGCACTTGTCTGGTGGCCCTGATTTTTTTCCACGCCAAATTTTCATTTTCACTGACTTCTGGTGAACTGTTTCCCCAGCGATGACCCTACTAGACAGATGTAAGTGCTGCATTACGCAACACAAAAAGATGAAAAGAGAAAAGTTCGGCTGCATATTAGCATCAGCAGCTCCTCATTTGTCTCCTGCTCTAACCCCTCTCACCACTCTTTGGCCTAATTTTAAAGTTCCTCTGGCAATGATCTTGCTGCATGATAATAGGTCTCATGTCCTCAAGGTTGTTTCAATTCAAATGAACGTCCATTAAAAATCTTTTAACGGAGCCTGGATTGGAACTAAATAATAATGTTGTAAATAAAAGGAAAATGATGCAAGTGAATGTAAGAGGATATGCCTTTGTTAATGGCCTTTTTTAAACCAAAGGCTATGTGCATTGAAAGGAGTAGTCATTCACAGCACTGAATAAATAACGTAGAATGAAAGTGGCGAAGAAGACGAAGCAGTTTTTAAAACATACGGAAAAAGACAGAGATTTAAAAGGTAAGAAGAAAGATTTAAATGAGAACAGCAAGTGCAGAGAACAAAGACAGTGATAGAAAAAGGAAGGTTAGAGGAGAAGAGAGACCTTAATGGCCCCGTCGCCGGGGGACACGGGCAGAGACGAGTGGCTCCAGAACAAATGGGAGACTCTTTGACAGTGCTGTCATAACCCGGCTGAACATCAGGGAGAAGAAAAGGTTACACAAAGGGCACTTTTCCTGTTTGACTGTCTCAACAATCATGGTGTAATGTGATACCTGGACAGTGGCTCCGTCACACAGGGGCCTAAATGGGCCTGTCACAGGAAGCTGCACACAGCGGGAATCACACACAAGTTCAACAAGGCATTACGGCTTCTCACAGGGTGTGGAATGGAGGTGTATGTTGGGGAGTGTAGGGAGTGGCAGGTGAGTACTCTACTAGGTCAGGCCCTGTTCACTGTGCTTTATCTAATGTTATACTGAGCTAGCAAATGAAAAACCTAAAGCTGAAGAAAAATAATTCAATTAAGTTATAAACGGTTATCTTTTTGCCTTTTCAAAAACAATATTGCGTCATGTGCCCTCAGGTATACAGTCGGCTCACAGTCAATGCGTCATTCATTGGCTTCTTTCAGTTTTGGCCAAGAAACGAGAAAAAATCAGATGGAACTGGCTAAAAATCTGTTGGATTGTTGAATGATTAAATCAGGCTTTTCAAGTTTGGCTGAAATATGATATTGTTTTGTTTTAGTTTTCAAAAACCTGGTTGTATAGATTTTTGGATGTACAACTTTATATTTCAATTTTGGTAAAAAAAAAAATGTATTCCTCAATTTAAACATTCTATTGCACTGGGTTTATCACCTCGCATATTTAAACCATGCTTATAGCACCCCCTGTTGAAGTGATGATTGCTACACATTTTGCTAAATGTCAAATTTTAACTAACCTATTTTTGACGCACATTTCTGTTGATGTTGACAGAATGCAATAAAATAATATATGATCAAAATAATTGTTCAATAATCATATTGATTTTTTATTGAGTTTCCCTCAGAATTTTGCCGGACTGCCAGTTTTACGTTTTATTCACTGTTACTATTTATTTTATCGGCAAAGGCTTTGTGCAAATTGGATGAGGTATATGTCATATTTCTATCCCTCACAAATTCACCAAATTGTTTAATGTGTTTTAGTCTGTGAGCTGCCAAATATAAATACTGATCTAAATTTAAACTCCAAATTAGATACAATTGTTTCCTTGCTCGCTCAGTCAGAAGGCGTTAAAAAGCAGGTCCTATAACTTTCTTACTGATCCTGGATCCAGAATCTGAAAGGCAGCTCTGGAGAAATTGAAGGTCTATAGATTGTTTTTGACTCGAACAGGAATAGACAAGAACCTTGGACTTATGATGGGAGCAGGGGAGGTGTCATCCTTGTCAAAGTCTGCTGTACACACTGCTGAAGTCCTAATGAATACCACAGGGCCAGGGGTGGATGTATGCAGTATGGAGAAGGACAAAAAAAAAACATCTCTGCAGATCTACAGCAGTCTTTCACAGCTATGGTAAACACACTGTACCAGAGGTAAAAGCCATTTCTGTGTATTTACAGTGAGAATCCATTTAGTTTCTGCCTTCATGCATCACATGCTGCTTCACATAAAGGACGCACCAACAACGCGCTGATTTACATTTTGCAATGTGCCGCAAAATCCTTGTTAGTGCGTACCTTTACATTTTCAAATCAGAATGATGCTGACTGGCTCTTTCTCCCTGGAAGCCAAAGCCTCCATGATAAGCATTTCTTATTTATTGTGTTGCTGTGTCACTGATTTATTTATTTATCCTCATCTTCACAAACCTCACACTGCGGTTTTCTTCCGCCCGCCTGTGTTAAAACCCATTTATTTATTTATTTATCAAGTGGACTGACCTGAGGTGGAGGGAGACCTCCTGCACCGGGCGGACAGCGCGGTAACATGGTAACCAGCTGGGGAGTGCTGCACTGGCAGGAGGGGGAGGGGTTGGCCATGGTCCAGTTTCCGTTGAGAAAGATGTCCATCACAGTCTGATCCACGGGCGGAGTAAACCAGTCGGTACCACGGGAGGAACAAGGTAAATTCCTGTACAGTAGAAGAACAATGCCGTCAAATCGTCATCAGCTACTGCACTTGGACAGGAATCATGATCACCAGATACAAGGTTTAAACAACGTCAAGTAAAGGAGTATGAAATACACTTGCACTGCAAATTTTTTTTTTAAATAAACACATATGGAATATAGATACCTGATATGGGGGGTGGAGTTATTATCAATGAAATCTAAACGGCTCATTCCAAGATTTTGGAAGATTACAAAACATCCACATTGTGGCACAGGCAGTTTCCTCTGCAGCACTTACAGTATCGGGTCTCCTTCCATGCAGCGGGTTCCAAAGCCGGGACTGTTCACCAAAGATTCCACCACCTGGGACACCTCCGTGTCGTTTGGCATGTCATTGCTGTACATATTGGAAAATATAATTAATGCAAATACACGTGCAAACAAATTTGATGAGCACCGAGATTTGAAATGTTATATCCCACAGCAGGCAGACACCAGGCTAATCCCAGAGCAGCAGCCAGTCTGCCATGATGTCAATACATCAGAACAAATGTCTAACTTGGGTCTAAAGTTCTGACTGAGAAATCAAGAAAAAAAAAGAAAAGAAGAAAAGAGAGAATCATTTTTGCCACATCAATGATGAGGCACTAACTGGCCATTTTATTAGGTACACATCTATAGCTGATGTTGATGAAGCACATCATTATCACTGCTTTACTTGAAGTGGAATACTGCAATATGACAGTATTATTTCAAATATGCGCTACAACAGTACTATTCATGGAAGTATTCCAACTGAAATTTCCTATGTGATGTTTGTTTTCTCTGTTTAAAAACATTTCTTTTTTATTTATCTCTGAACTGCACCTTAAGAGTTGTTCTGTTGATATTTTTGTTGTACCGTCCTATCCTTGTCCCATCTATGAGGATCAGGATCTTTTCTTCTCACTCCTTTAAGAATAAGTAGTTCTATATCTTATGTTTTAATGCTTTATTATTATTATATTCAGTACCAGTTCAATCAATCCACCCATTGTTGAACAATGAGTATAACAGAGCAGACAGAATATATATATATATAAATGTTGATGATTACCTGGTGATTCACTGTCTGATGTCTACAAGGCTTTTTTTAACCTTTACTACCAAACAACCAACACTGGGATAACTCAGCAAGTTATGAGACAAAGCCATTAGGTTATGTCCATGTTTAACTGGATACTGAAATAACATCTTGTCTCAGTTTACTTCAACGGTCAACATAACAGACAAGTGAACAATCAAGGATCTTTGAGATTTTGTAGAAACAAAGGTATGTGTCCTGTGCATTTGCATCTTATCATTATGAACCTGAACATCTAAGAGAAAACCAGGACCAATCTGGGACTAACAAAATCTTCCCCAACGATGTGGATTCCAATTACAGATTTTGTTGAATGAGAAAGAAGGAAATAATCAAAACATCTTCTCTGTCATTGTTGAGCACTGCACACCATAGGACAGGCTTCAAGTCCCTGTGACTATAATGAAGGCTCGTCCGAGTTCCTTTGTCATTCTGTTAGCGACAGTGCAGCAGTCCCCACCACGAACAGCTGAACTAATTTACAGCGCGGCCTCTGTGGCCTCAATTATATCAAAATGCTTGCTATTCACCATCAGTCGTCACCGGGATGGCAGATTTCTGCACAGAAGACTGGAAACAGTCAATAAAATGTGAGTTTATATCAGAGTGAAGCAGCGGCGGACGTTTCTCACTCTTGACCTCTATATACTGGATATCTCTACTGCATCAGCTAATCATTTAAATCTGCCATTTCCATCTCTCTCCATCTCTTGTCACAACTGATTAAGACTTTACATGTTGGTTAACCTGTCCTACGCGATGGTCATTAATCTTGAACGTATCTGGACTCCCATGTAGGCCTGGGAGGAAAGGAGACGTGCATCAAGAGACCAGCTGTGAAGCAAACTCTCAATAGTAATGCTGCACAGCACTGGAGCTGGTTTAATCAACAGTGAGGGGAGAATCGTTGCATTTACCAATTCCTAACAAAGTTAAAAGTCCAGAACTTCACTCCACCTGGTATTGAGTGTACTTGTCCTGTTGGTTTGGAAATCAGCTGTGTCCTCATGTGTTCTCGCTTGTGCATGTGCATACTAATCGCAGCCTGTTCAGGATTCTGTGTACAGGCACTTCACCATTATCTCTCTGTCCAATACATACGCGAGCCCCGAGCCTTAGTTAAACAATCTTCCCATTTCATTTACATCTTTATTACCGACTGGACACACACCCTTCCTTTTTTATCTGAACACTGCTATGGGAGTTAAAACATAACGTTTCATAAAGACTATATCCGTGGCTCTCGGCCAAAAGTGGTCACAGTCCAGCCAACCGTTTGGATTAATGCAGCGTTCATTGTCTCATTTAGAGGCGGCTCCATGAAGGTCGCCTGGTCATTTCCTTCTTGGCCACCAGTGAGTGTGACTGAAGTGGTGCGCTTGTAAAAATGGATTATGTGCAGCCATCTGTTTTGCAATTAACAATGGCTGGGTTAGCACGTTATTCAAGATAATAAAACTACTGGACAGTTCCAAAATGAAGACTTGTGCATATACACAGAAATAGTGGAACTAATGAATAGTCCATTTAGTGGAAATGAAACACCACGGACGTAAGAACATAGACAATAAAATAAAGTAAATGAAGATGGCATAATAACATGGAAAATGCCCTTTGGAGGCTGTGGAACAATAGAACGCTGAGTGAGCCAACGCAAAATGTCTTCAAAATTGACATCTTTATTTATGGTCAAAATCCAAATATATTGCTCACATGTGCTAAAAAACATGTATATATAAATATATATGAAAAGAAAGATAACATCTGAATGTGGTCAATCATTACCGTTAATCACCTTCACCTAAAATGGATCATTGGCATTTACGAGGTGTATAGTGCACCTGCTGTTAACTATGGGTGAAGAGGGAAATGATAGCAGAGCTGCAGTGCTTTTAATCACACAGCCATCATCATCAGCCAAGTACGGCGTCTTAAAGACAATGTTTAGTTATAATCAGTGGTGGGGAATGCCATTAAAATTAACAGCACCAGTTTTAAAAAGTGTCATGTTGGAATACTCTTAAAAAGATGAGGGTTTTACGGCAGAGGCGATACTATGGTTCATGCTTAAACAATGACACACTGTGGATACCTTCATTGTAACCCCTTGGTTTATGGTTCATAATATGCATGGGCAGTAATAAGGCAGCACCTAGGGACCAATAATGTCTAAAGTTGTTTGGTGGTTGTCTTAAGGTGGAATGTTCATGTTTTTCTGAAACATGTTTTTGAACAACTTAAAATATTAAATTTAAATAAAAGAAAAATAAAATAGACATTTCCAGGCTTTTTACATGAAAACACAAATAAAACAAACGTTGCCTACTTCTTCTTATAGGTCTTGTGTGTAAATTATAATGACAAGTCAAGGAAAAGCATGCAGTGCTCACATTAAAAACTGCAAGAGCCAGGAGACTGGTTTCAATGTTTCAGCACCATGGAGAGAGGCAGGGCATTTCTAAATGTTTTAACACCATGGACAGAGACAGGCACAGCCAGAGCTGATTTGTATGTTTTGGCACGTTCAAAAAGGACTGTATTTATTTGTTTTTGAGTACTGGATATAAATACACCACAAGTTTGTCCATGAAAAAATATTGTGAAAATATGAACTGACCAAACAGCTTATTGTTAAGGAGTACAAGTCCAGAAAAGTTTCACCATTCTGGTAAATTATTTCTTACAGCTTCTGTTACAGTGTGAAGGTAGAGGCGGTGGTGATGGTGGTTAAAACTGTCAAGAGAGGTGTGTGGGAGAAGGTCGAATTTAAAATCCAGCAGTAAAACAGCTAATTATAAATATGCTAGATATAGTGAATAAAAAATCTTAAAAAAAAAAAAAGATCTCAAAGCAGAATGATCCTCACCTCACCAGGATCTATCTTATGAACATTTCTTAGTTTCAAAATTGGTTTAACATTTTTACAACATTTTCACATTTTTACCGTACCTGTCATTTAGCAATTAAGAGAAGATGTCTTATGACCAGGAGCTTTGGATAAACTTTAAATAACCCAGTGTCTCAGAGAAGCTTTTTTAATTTGAATTTTTCAAAATAATGATGAGGGAAAATGTTGGCGCTTCATGGTACAAACAGTCTGTTTGGTGGTGTTTCGGACAGATGTTGATCAGTGATGCATATTATGACACATTTGGACTTTTAACGAAACTCTTGTTACTGAGAACAACAGACATATGATGCTTCTATAAATGTCATTATACCCATAAACAAAGATTTATTTAACGTGAAGTCCCATTCCAGGGTAAAATACACACATTCTTATGGACAATAATTTAGCATCTGGTCTTGGATTGTCAGAATTTGGACTGTGATCTTTACTGGCATCTTATTAAGCAGCCCACAAATTGATTATGGCTGTGGTGTTGTTTACCTTGATTTTATGTCACTCACAATTTTACTCCTGATTTGCAATGTCAACCTATAATAACAGTAAAAAACCTACAGTAAATGTAACATCTACAGGGGAATACATACTGTGTCGAATCTGCTCCAGTACTGCTGCTAAAGTACACATCATTTTACTCTCTGTTACACCCTGGGATATTTACAGCTATTCGATTGCGTCTATGAAGGTATGTTAAAGAGTTAATGAAGCTCTAAGGTGTTTTCTTAGTCCATGTTAACTTGGAAGCGAGCTGTATCGTACACGACTGTGAGTAAGGGAAACAAAATAAAACTGACGAGGGAAAAAATCATCGGATCGTCCTGATGTTTCATCTCACAGCAGAAACACAACAGAGGGAATCTGTCAAAAAGCCAAGTCTTACATCTGTCACAGACCATAATCTCACAGCATCAAGTCTGACAAATGTTTACTGTCAGAATAAATAATTGTTTGAAAAAGAGCAGACTCCCTACAGATAGTTAGTCGGCTGATAAGTGGACCAACCAAACAAAGATCCCAAAAGCTGCCAAATATTATTAGGTTGTCAGACATTCGTAGTTACTTAGTTACGTAGTTTACTAGTTTTACAGGTTGATATGTGAGTAACAGCTGAGTAAAACAAATTCATTTACAATAAAACTATAAGAAATAAAACAAGCATAAAGTAATCGTTTCCTCTCTTCAACCGTGCCTTTGTTCTCTGCTTTTGTTGACATTTACTGTTTATTCTCTCAGTGTCAGATTAATTTAAACCCAACTGTAACGACATCGTCAGTTGTTTTTTTTTTCACAGGATGTAAATGTTCCATGAGGTTCACGAACAGGCAACAGAGCTGGCTACAGTTTCTTGGAATTTCTTAGTCTAAAGTTAAGCTTATCAGAGCAAAATAGAAGAAATACTGAATTGTTATGGTGAAAAAATAGAGCTGTCTACAACCTGACTCATTTACAGGATGTTGTTTTCACCTGGGTCAAGGTGTGAAAGGAGGGGGAGGGTTCCTTTGTTTGAACTGAGTAAGATTGGCTCCGTGTGACATGGGGGTCGTTGGTTTTCTCTGAGTGACACAGACGACTGTGTGCAGCCTGTTTGTGTGAACTGAAGAAATGAAGTGTGTCCATCTGCTAGAAACCTCAGCTCTCTTTTTGTTGATGAGGCTATTGTTCTGCCCCCCCCAATGGAAACATTCACAGCTATTGCTTGAACATTCTATTATTTTTCTCTTTTTTAAAAACACCAAACATAATATATATATATATATATATATATATATATTGTCAAATATAGGAAGTTAAATACAAATTAGTATTTTGTGCCACTGTGGCACAAAAAAAAATATATATGTATATATACGTATATATATATATATGATTTTTATTTGTCTTGCGGGACTCTCCCAGCCCCCCATGCAATAGCTTTGCCCCATAAACCATTGCCATAAAACAACCCTAGTGACTAAATACTATACTGAGAACTAAAGATACCCTTGATCAAAGAGGGCGGACAATTAAACTTTAAATAAATCTGATAGATTTTCACACCACCTGCCATCTGACTTGATAAAGTACAGTATGTGTATAGTATATGTATCATCACAGGTTTACCTGAAAAAGGTGTTTTGAGGCAGACCATACATCCAGGGCTGCAGTTCCAGACTGGGATAATCAGACACAGATGGGATGATGAGCGTGAAGATCAAGGACAGGCAAACGAAAACGGGTGGCAGGATCATCTGGAAAAACAGACGTGTTGTCAGTCCAATTCAAAACTGAGATGAAAAGTTTCCTACACCACACCACTGGGGACCAGTATCGGGCCGTGGGTCAGTTGGTACTGGGTTGCACAGAAGGAAAAAATGTTGTTGTTTTTTTTTAATAGTTATATATTTTGTAATAATTTAAATTGAAATAAGAGTTTGGTGTAGTTGAAAGGAAACAAGATCAGGTCTGGAATGGTATGTGTTACATTATTACTTATATACTTTTATAACAATGTCCTAGTAAAATAAATGAAAATACATTGTAGAAAATAAATATATTCACTTGATATATAAATTGAATTATTTATGACACATGTACATGTGTTTTCATATGCCTTTGCCACACTTTCTCTCTCACACACACACCTGCCACTTGTTCATGGAACAACTCTCTTCCTTAAAACCGCTGCATGGTGCAAAAAAGATTGAGAGCCACTGCACTAAAGTGATGGAACAACCACAGCGGGGCGACTCTAATACACTTTCTGTGGACTGCAATGCAAACATAGATGTAAAAACACACCAGTACACTGTAGCTGCACATGTTGTCGGATGATGCAAAAGCAGGTTCAAGCGGTGAAGCATCAAAGCCCTGGATTCACCGCCGGATCCGTTTCATCACAGCCCTCTTCAGGCCCTCCACCGTCATTACGTTACTACAAAATGACTGATGCAATCAACAATAAAGCAGGACCACTGCGATAATGTGTGCACATTAATATGCTCCCCGCCAACTTGTTTGGGCTCTTCTGCATGCTTTATGAGTTTGATTAAACACTTCCAACACTACCACCACCATCTGGCCACTCAGATATAATTAGTTTCTTGCTATTCTCTTGTCTTTTGTTTGTGTGTCTGTGCACGCATGTGTGTGTGTGTGTGTGCAAGCTTGTTTTTATTTATAAATTTATAACAAACCAGACTCTGCTAAACATCACCCGCCCAACCCTCTTTGTCCCACTCTAATACATTTTTTTTCTCTCCCTCCACTCTCTCTCTCTCTGCTGTGTAATTTTCTGCTCAATTCATTGTTACGGCTGCCATAGAGGTCGGTGGGAAATATGAGCGATAACTAATGTTTAATCACTCGTAGGTTGGAAAGAACGCCGAGGTTAAGAAGAGGTTTGCATACATTTGATTAATTGCAGGGCATGCAATTTTTTTTAAGCCAATTCAAGAAGCTGCGAAACAAAATGAATTTGCTGCACAAGCTGTAAAAATGTGCTTTGGAGAAAGATAAGAAGCAGCAATGAGCCTGAATAGCTAAATGACAAGCCGTGTAAAAATTGTATTTATAATTGTTGTATTGCAGACTCTAGTCTGTGCACGCATTTCTCTGTCTCTCTCTCTGTCTCTCTCTCTCTCTGTCTCTCCCCCTCTCCACTGTAATTGCAGGTGACAGCTGGTACTCATGCCATTGAGGGAGATCTGCAAAAAACCAGGGTGAAGTCATTACGTTCACAAAGCCAAAGCACTCCAGTGAACAATGCACGAACGCATGGCATTCTGAAGTTTAGATGGGATTTAAAGGAGAGTGAGAGTTGGGGGAAATTACAGTATATGAAACACAAGTAAAACAACAGGAGAACAATGAAAATCTCTGGAGGGTTAAAAAAGTTAACAACACCATCGTGTCTCCTCTAACATTTCTGTCAATGCGATCCTACTTGTGAAAGCATCAGCCTCGTTGCTGCAGCAAATTAAAACACCACCTCGGAAAAGTTCGCCAATGTGGCTGTGCAGCTTCTTCCTCTGTGACTGCCACAGCCATTGTGTTACCCGCTGTACTGCTCAACAGCGACACCACTAGTGCTGATAATCGGCCTTTTGTTTTGTGAGCCATTCAACTAGTTCGCTGCAACCTCACTGATAGCTGTGTGACACTGCAACGACTGGCCTCGTCTCCAACTTTCACCCTCATAAATCACTGCTTTTGTGTTCTGGGCCATAATCTCTGTGATATTCTGCCAACTGCTTGTATTTCCGGTGAGATTACCTCGCTACACAATCACGTCTGTCGACAGGAGCCATTGTGAGGATGTGGGAAAGAAAGGGAAAAATAGAAAGCTTTAGCTGAAAGAATAAATCTCTCTCTGTCTCACAAAAGGACGGAGTTGTGTTCACACACACACGCACACACACATCAGGATGGAATCCTGCAGAAGAGGGATGTGTGAGATTGACAGTGACTAATGGGGACCGGTACTGCAGCAAATTACTACAACAATCTATTCATAATACAGAGGAGAAATACTGCTCACTCTCCCTCCCTCTCTACCTCTCACACACACAGTGGTTTTTGTGAGTCCCATTAAGGACAGCATGTCTTCACAAGCACTGCTAAAGCAAGATGAAACACACACTGAATGGACGGACTGTGGGTGACACTGTGGGTTGGACATCTGTGATATCTGATGTCACAACATGATATTTACCTCCACCGTCAGTCCAAATGGAAGGTGTTTTCAATGTGTCAACACGATTAAAGTGAATCAAACTTGCCAAGAAAAAATAATTCAGCTGTTACATAAATAGATTTGGACTAGTTTTAAATCACAGCTGGTGATTAGTTTTGACTTGTTAAATCATTCTGATCAGCAACAAAATAATATAGATGTACATCTAACCAGCTAATAGCTGCCTGTCATTTCAGTTGACCCTGCGGTCAGTTCCAACATGTCGTTAGCTCGAGGATATGATTATCATGGCAAAATGAAAGAAAAACAAACACACTTCTCTAATCCGAGACACAGACCCAAGAGATGAAGTTTGTACACTGATGTATAGACCCTGTTCTGGCAGCTTGATGACAAGAGGATGGGACAGGACTGAAAGTAAAAATATGACGTTTTTGCAAATATATTTTCTGGGTATCTATATTCTAAGAAGAGCTCACATTGTTGTATGCTGCACTAAAAACAATTAAATATGAAATATTATAGAAGCAAGCCCAACAGTGCTAGGAGCAGAATTATTACCAGCCAAAAGTGGTTTAATTACAAAATAACAGAAAGCAGTGGTGTGGGTTGACATGTTGCTGCTCTTAACCTCTGAACTTAAAGAAAAACAGAAGTTCATTTTTCAGATACACTGTGGAGGAAAAACTGTCCAAAAAGGTTACTGAACAGTGTTATCACAATCATCCCATGTTTAAAAACTGGAGTCACGACTATTTTACAGAAGCTTTAAAGACGTGGACCTGGTGCAGAGCAGTGCTTCACTCTCCACAGGTTTATTTTACTGATTGATCACTCTCCACAGGTTTATTTTACTGATTTTAAACTGCACTGACGTACAGTTCAGTCCCTCTGTTTAATAAGAATGGAGATAACGCCTGTGTTTTAAATAGAGTTCAGTGGACGTGTTGACGTGGCTCAGCTGGACAACAGTCAGATTTACAAAAGCACATGTACAGTACAACGCTGCACAATAGTTAAGTAGTGCACAGTTCCTGAATGGAGCTAGTCGGTTCAGAATGTAACGTCTTTATGAAGCACTTTTTATTTTTAAATATGATCTTTTACTCACTGCTCAAGTGTGAGTTAACTGACATAGTTTGACAGTTGAACTAAAGTTGTTGAATTCTAAAGGTCTGATTTTAATAATTAAAACACGTTTAGACACTCTCTCTTGGGCGTCATTAAAAACGTTATCATTAAAATTATGTCAAGAGTCGAGCTGCATTACCTTTTTTCCATCAAACAGAACTATTTTTAAAATCTGTCCAACAAAAAGAAAAACTTTCACAACAGTTAAAGCTCTGTAACATATTTTGAGTTAATATCATCTGATTCCATTGTTTTCTCTAAAAGAATATTTTAAACAAACTGCATTTCAGTCCTGAGACACAGAAGAATGTTGTGTTTACAGCTTAAATAAATAAACTGCTTTGTTAATTAGTATAATAGTATAAATGAAGGAATTTTTCAATGGTATTATTTTTTTAATTCAAACTGGGAATTTTTGCTATCCTACGTGAGACCTTCGGCTTTATGTTTTCCCCTCAGGTTTCCTCAGGTATGAGTCAGTGTTTCCTCTGGGAGGTAAAGCTGATTAAAACAGTGTGTGTGTGTGTGTGTGTGTGTGTTGTCACCATGTTGCATCAGTGTGGCTGCTGCTCTTCACTCCGGCACCACTTCCCGATGATTTTGAGTCAAATTCAAACCTTCCATTTCCTCTCCAATTGTGTTTGTTTGTTTTGTTTTTTTTACTGCAGATGTAGAGCTGGTGCAGTCTGTCATCCACATGACATTAACTGAATTTGAGAGCCAATGTGCATTTTGTACAATCTGGCTTTGATGTTCCCGTGCAACCCTTTAGTGCATCCCTTCAATTCATCACGGCGACAGGCCGAGGCCATTACCTGGCCGATGATTCCCTTGCGGCTCCTGCGGGCGTGGTGGAAGCGTTTGATGAAGAGTGCGAGGAACTGCCTCCTGATTAGCTCTTTTCCTGTGATGACTGTGGATCCCCTCCCCCCGACACTGGTGTTCCTCACCACGTCTGGAATTCACACAAGCTCAGCTGTAAGTCATCACCAGTGCAACGCTAAACACCTCAGTTAATCATTCAGAACTTTGTGTGTGTGGGTAGTAACCCAGCTCAACACTTGGTATAAAGGATAAAACCGTCAAACATCATCATATTAGATATAGCATTGTAGCAGCGAGGATACAGGTGACAGACCACAGATTTGTAAATACAAATATTTATGTCTGTTTGAGTTGTGCAAAAGGAAGTGTCACACTTTTCCCAGCAGTCATTAAAGTCATAGAACATCTTCTGACAACTGTCACTTTATTTATTTTTATTGGCGTTGCCAAAATTGAAAAGATGAAAAAAAAAAAAACAACTGCAATACAAAGTTGTCTAGAATCAGGCTGGGACTTCAGTTGGAAAATTGTTTCTCAGGACGATGGAGCTCTTGTTTATGTCCGCTTTTAAAAAAGGCCACTGAAGTGAAACAGTCAAATTAAAGTCAAATTAAATAGAGGGAACAAATAACGAATAAATGGGTGGGTAGAAAAAAACAGACATTTAGTTGTTATAAAAGAAAGAAAAGAACGTCATCCTACCTTGGACTTTATTTGTGAGTTTTTCATGAGATTCTGCCAAAAAAACAAACAAACAAAGGAAGCGACAAAACTCAGAACAGAAAACGAAATCAGCACATATGGACTCAGGGTCACTTTCAACACCACAACATTTCCATGAAGAAAGTTTATTCAAGACTCATATCTAAGACCATAATGGTAAGTGGAGACTTGTCTCTCATACCTGACACAGCTCGTGACGCACAGACGCTGGAGATACTGTTCCGCTTCGCTTTCTGGGAGTTTCTTTTGTGGTCTCTCAGGGCCCTCTTCTCTGTTGCTATGGAAAAATCAAATGTGAGACTGTATGTTGTTTTGGCCTGACCCAATTTTTGGGGAGTTATAAATAACATTAAGAATAGCTATCTAACCTGCACAATGCCTTATTATGTTGTGTGAAGGTGCGAATGCAGGTGTTTGAGGAATGCGACAGAACCATGTTTTGGGATAAAGGGGAAAAGTGAGGCTGTTTTGTGTCGTATAAAAACGCCTAACAACAAAACTAATGACCTCACGCTGTGTAAGTATCTGAGTCAAGTGTACAAGTCAGGATAGACCAGGCTGCACTGCGACATTTAATGACTAAAGCGATGTTTCAACACAATAAAACACTGGAGAAATCTTATTTACTCACTTTGAATTTCCACGTCCACTCCTGTCTCTTCAGCAACTTTAAGGAATATCTGTCAATACAAATGATTCATGATTAAATCCTCTGCTAACAACCACAGTAGTACAATACTGCGTATCAACATAACCAGCAGGCAGAGAAAATCAGTCCCACTGAAAAAGTTTTTGTGCAAATGTTTTGGGACTAAATTGTGATCAGTAGTTCTAAGTGCAAAATGACCTTCACCTGCCCTTCCTGCTACGTTCCATTAGTGACAAGGTGACATATGAACATAATATACATCCATTCATTGTTGGTTTAGCAAATGCAAAAAAAATTTGCATTTTCCAAACCTGCTGTTTGAACTGTTTTTAAACTGATCACTTTTAATTGTTTATGCTGTAGCCTTATATCAATTATAAAGTATTTCCACTGTTATTGGTGATAAATACATTCTATTACCAACTGTCACTTTTTTAATTGTTATTTTAAGGAAAAGCAGGGATTGTTTATTGGGAGTTAAAAAATAGTATATATTTTGTCACATCTCATCAAGTCATACCACGTTCTTATATTATACTAGGTCATGTCATATAATGTCATGTCATATTATATCATGTAATACCATTCCATGTCATGTTATATTTTACCATGTAATCAACATTATACCATGTCATGTCATTTTTCATGTTGTGCCATATTATGTCATGTAATATTACACCATGTCAGGTTATGTAACATTTGGTCATGTCATGATATCTATTTATGTTGTGTTTTAATCAGGGACAGTTTTTGCCCAGAGGACAACAAATAACAAGTAATGAGATGATTTTGAGCTCCCAAAATAAAATGTTACTCTACCTCCGGTACACTGTGTTAAATATATAATGTCTATATGTAGGACCGGTATTTTAGTGGACGTAAACCTTGAGGAGACAGCATGCTGTGGTGATATAACCTCCTCGCGTCTCAGTAATTCACAAAGAATTATTCAGACTGGCCTCAGGCAGCCAGAGTCTGATTCATATTTACAGTAGCTACATGAAAAGTATAGTCTAAGGTAAAAGTCACTTGGTCTTATGGTCTACAACTGTTTTCAGGAAAAGGAAGTTGAAGCAGAAAATGCCTTATTGGTACTATTACAACTGCTAATTCAAACTGTTGTTTACTTTCTAAAAATACCATAACAGAGTAGATCACATACTTCAGGAATTGAAGATATTTTTTGCTTGACAGGTGTTTTTTTTCCCCCGTCAGTTTGTTGACCTACAGTCAACTATCTCTGTTATGAACTGCCCTTAAAATACCTAGAGTTGTGCAGAACCTATGAAACTGAGGTTACACACACACACACACACACACACAGATTCTGAGTACCTAGATTCCCTATGTCATTTCAATAACGTATAATGTGACCGCCATAAATTCAATTTTGTTTTATATATTTTTATTATTGTCTAATATGTTGTGAATAAAACTGCAAAGCAGATTCATTTTTTTAATAACAGTTTGTGGTATGTATGGTTTTTTAAACCTTGATAATGTTGTTTGTGACTCTGTGGCTGTAGATAAACGTTAATTAAACATTAAACACTGCTCTGTGATAAATGTTTCTCTGCCGCTGACTTTCTAACTTTCAGGGTCAAAAACTGTGGAGTTATCTTCTTCATTAAAATGATGACTTCCAAACATGAAATTAAACAAGCTGCGTTCCCATTGTCGGTCTATATTAATGACTACATTTGACATAAACAAAATGATTCCTGAAATGGTGAGGTGATAATCGCTGCAGAGTGTTCTCCTTGTCAGAACAGGATTCATTATTGATGTGCTTCAGCAGCAACATGATAAAAAAAGGGTGGGAGAAGAGTTGTTGCTAATTTGTAACGTAACGTTTGTAAAGTCCTGTGTGTGTGTGTGTGTGTGTGTGTGTGTGTGTGAGATATATTTATGCTTGCAACTCTGTTAAGGTCTTCTGGGCGTACCTCCTCCAGTGAAGTGTCAGAGATGCCGTAGCTGGTCAGACCGAGGTCGGCAATGGACTCGTCCAGCTCTTGGAAAAGAAGAGCAAAGGTCCCGTCTCTGGCAGCGCTGTAGGGCAGGACGTAGGTGATCTCCTGACCGATGCTCTCCAAGAAGACTGCAGCGGGTACATGGCGGCGCACCAGCTGACCCAAAGCTATCAAAATGTGCCAGAGAAATAGTGAAAATAATAAGAATCCTCAGTCCAAATCTTAAAGGAAGAAAAGAGTCGACATAAATGGAAGGAACCAACATCCTCCAGCTAACACAACCTTAAACACAGTACTGCAGATAAAAATGACACACACAAAAAACAGCAAGGTATATGTGTACAATGTATTCTTGTATTAGAGTACTTGTTTTCTCTGAATATTTATACTCTGTCTTCTTGTATTGAATGTCTAGACTCTTATTAATGCTCTAATGTCTACATTCTATCTTGAGATTTACATTTCTGTTCAACGATGTACATTTTCTCCCTGTGGTTTGATTTTATTGAAGTTTTATTTATTTCACTGTGACTTTTATATTTCGGCTTTTATATTGACTTTTACGTCTTTGTTTTGTTTACACTTCCTTTATTGTTTACATTGTTTTGAATTTCAACCTTGATGGGTACGCTTATATATTCATTACATATTAGTAATTATCTTGTGACTCTTTTGTGTACTAAGTACCTCTTCTGCAATCTAGAAAAATGTATATTACTTTCTTTAAAATATCATCCAATTCAATTCTATTCTATAATCAGCAAGTATCAGATGAATAAACCCCATTTCCCGACCTCTTTTTGCATAGTTACGTGGTTACTTTTATTTTCAGAGAAATACAAGATGCTAGAATATTTTAAAGAATAACTACAACTGGAGAGTTTTCAACGTGACACAAAGACACTTCACATTTAACCTTGTTCTGATCACAACACCTGATGCTCTAACTGTCCAGCAGAAGTAGACGTCATCTACCCTTCTGCCCTCGTTTCTCCCGAATCGAGGTCGTTGTGGAGAATATGGACGGTGTTTCAGAATGAACGTCATTCCCTATTGATCGGCGAGCTCTCGTACGTAATTACCGCTGTTCAATAACCACGGGTTCTTGGCTTCATGAAGACGCACATGCATCTGCTCAGCACATCAGACGGGATTATTTAGTGAAGACGTGTTGTGTGGTGGTGATAAAAGAGACCGACAAGGTCATGTTTATGCTGATGTTTAAAGGTAATGTTTGAAGTTTTTTTTTTTAAAACAAGAATATCATTTCTTTTATTCATGTTTTCATAATTTAAGTACTTTTTAAAAATACACATAGATGAACAGAGAATCAAAGTTAAATCAACATTGTGACTTCCAAAACTCTAATTAAGGAATGCAGCTTAGCATAATCTTGAGGTTAATTACACCTAAAGCACCTAAAGGTGTGTGAACAGCTTTATTATTTTTAATTGCATTGACCAGCTGCTTTCAATAATGATCAATAAACTGAGTGATTAGTATTGAAGTGATATTCAATATCGTAGAACTAACGTCTACGCTTTAGAGGACTGAATATACAACCTTTTTTGCCGACTATAGAAATACAATTAGAGTTTTGTTAATATCGTGCAGGGCCTAAAACCCATCACCCAACAAACAATCAATCAAACCAATGCTAACTTAAGACTGAACAATATTCCTCCGTTTCCTCCAGCTCTAACAGAAAGAATTTCCTCAGGTCTTGGACTGGTGTGTTTGCTGTAACAACAGTAACCACTCTGGACATGATGGAATGACAGAAATGCTGCGGCTGACTGACATAAAAAAAAAAAAAAAAACTTTTACAATTACCCTTAGCTAAGAAAAAGTAAACGAGTCCAATTACCAGGATGACACGATGTGTTTTCTTCCACTGAAGAGCGAGAGATCTAATGCTGTAGATCTTAATTAATTTCCCATTCTCTCAAATCTGACATTTTAAAAATGTCTCATTTATATTCCCATCTTGTTGAATACCTGAACCCATGAACATCTGCTCTCTGAGGTTTAAACTCTGACAGTGGCATCTGTTATTTGACTTTGAAAGTCTTGTTTACATTTCATTGAATTTCTTTTGGTTTACAGTAAGATGGAGTTTCAGAACTGATTTTTTTTTCTTATCATATATGAAAAAATGAAAAGTTCTAGTAAAACACAAATAACCTGGAAACTAAATAAATCTTGTGAATATTTGTTTCCCTTTCATTTAACATTCAGTTAAACACCAATAGTAAAGTTCTTCTCCAGTGATCTTGAAAAATACTCTTTTGTAAATATGTATTGTCAACAATAACACTTGTTAAACAGCTCAGGTATACCGTCGATAATATTTTGGGTTTTTTAAGATGAAAAATTCCAATTGAGTTTTTAGATTATCTGTAACCCCAAGGGATAAATCCACAACACAGAGAGAAACGACTGGAGCACGGGCTAGACTAAACGACACAATTTCTTGAGGAATTGCATCAAAACAGTGACCTGGTGGCTGAGACACACAACTGTTTACTAATGGGAGAGGATTAAGCTGAAAATAGCAATAACAGAGTTCCAACCTGAGGGATCCATGAAGTTCAAGGTTTGACTGCCAATGCCGTCATCTGGGCTGTTCTTTCCAGAAAGATCCTTCTCCTGTTCACCAAAAATGAATAATTAAAACTTAAACATTCAATCAGAAGATAATTACAACATTTAAAATAAACCAGTATGAGTATAGAACTATGGAACTTTTCATTCCTCAACTGACGCCACATTAGAAGATATAGGTATACCATTAAATCTATAAAATCTAACCTATAATCAGGATTAGATATAATAATAAAAAAATATTAAAAATAAAATAATAAAAATACATTTTCTTCTTTCTTTCCAGTAAACAAAGTGTCACTTCAGCTCTGTAGCACTTTAGCACTTACCCTACCTTAGCACTTTTTCCATGCTGCAATTACAAATGAACAGTGTTTGCTGAATACTTCTCACAAAAAAGTGAGTCTCTGAGGTGAGGAAAATACATGCACTGAGCCAATAAACTGAGACGAGACATCAGTGTTGTGGATCATGACAGAACACATCTTTCAGTGAGTCTATCTCCTGTCTCTACGTGTAAAAACAACAACAGGTTTATTTGCTGCACCAAAACCACCATCATGTGTCCCAGCTCATTTTCTTATATCGACTGTGTGACTGACTCAGCCCGGTGCCATCCCTAAAAGTGTATGCTGCTCTGATCGGCCCACGAAGCTGTTTGTAAATGGCTTGCTTTATGTCAGAGAAACGACTGGGCTCACCTCAATGAGTCTGCAGACTAATGGTAATTGCCGTAGCCCCGCTGGCATCAGTGCATCTTGTTCATTTGCTCATATTGATTAAAACTAAGTGTGCGAGAGACCAGTGGCGAGAAAATGCGAGAATCACCCCCTCTCTCCCCGGTGACAATTAGTATCATCCAGCACGTGGGCGTTTGCCAATTGTCATGCTGGGAGAAACTAAATACAGATCATTACAGAGGGGGAGGGAGGCAGGGGAGAAGATGAGCACTCTGGGAAGCAAGAAGGAGCGGTGTTCAATACCAGACGAAAGCAAGGTTACTGTTGTGTCAGAGAAGGGCTCAGAGCTGGAGAGACTGATCCTCGAACCATTACTACACATCTCTGATGGGTTATTTGGATGAAAAAAAGGGGAAGACTGTGTGTTGAGGCAGGGATCCTAATCACCAAGGACTGCAGATAATTAGACCACACAGACAGTGTCTGTCAATCATCAGCTGTGATAACACACCCTTGAGGGAAACAATAAAAACAGATGCTTCTTGTAACCTTATTTTCCCATTCTGCTGTTCTAATTGGTTTGAAAGATGTTGAATAATTTACCTTAGGAGTAACAATTTGACTAAGAAGAAACATACCAATTTGGTTTTCGTAGTAGAAGAACATGATCATAACAATCTTTTTGTATAACAATTAAGGCTGAGACTTTGACATATTCATTTATTCATTACAAACACAATATTTAACCAAAATAACACTTTTCATTACACCTCCCTTTGTTCTCAAATTTCTGGTACACAGGTTCTATTGATACTCCAGCCCACTATGTGGTGATAACGTGGTAAGACAACCAAAGCTAGCCAGCTGCCAAGAAAACGCAACTTTGATGATGTTAGATATTCATTTGAATTGTGTTTAATATTGCAAAAGAATGACCAACAATTACCAATGTTTTTTTGTTTGTTTTTTATCTTTTTTAATTGTATCCATTTTGTTCAATCTAGAGATAGCAGATAGTTTATTTGTAATAAACAAACTGCTATGTCTTGATTGGACGAAACACATGCTGAACTTGGAGCAAGAAGCAGGACTCGCCAGATATCTTTTAGAGGAATTGTCAAAAATACATTTAGTTAAATTGGGCAAAATATCAATCAATCTGTATTTTTTATTTTATTTGCAATTCTATTTATTTGTTGGATTAATTCATGAAATAAATTAATGTTATTAGGATGTCAACTGTAGAACTGTTGCTGTTTAATACATTTTTTAAAAACAAATTGTTATTAGCCCCCACTGATATGAATTGCTAATGAACACATATGGCAAACGAGCTGCAAACTGAACATTGGAAATGTAATCGGTACTCTGAGACTACTCGTGTGCTCTGTTCATACCTCAGCGGCTTGACTTTGGATCATACCATGGCGCTGAGCTGCCATCTTTTCCGTCCCATCTCGAACCAGAGTGAGGTAGTAACCACTGCCGAAACATTTTTTGAGGAAAAGTGAGGAGCCGCAGCAGCGCATTCTGCCGTGGGAGATGATGGCGATGCGGTCTCCCAGGATGTCTGCTTCGTCCATGTGGTGCGTTGACAAGATGATGGTGCGACCTGACAGGAAACAGAAAGATGTTTCAATTATGAAGGCATATTTTCACAGTCTTATAGTGATTAAACTACATAAGTATTCTTAAACTATGAGATAAAAAAAATATATAAAGGTAAATTGACAAATCTATAGTTAGGCATAAAACATCCTAAAATTAAAGCTGTAGTAAATTTAAGATAGTTACAACTATGAGATCCACATGAGATTGATGGTCATGGTCATTAGATAAACATTAGATTTATGGGATAAAATGTCAGAAAATGACAGGAAAGGAAGTGCAAAGGGAGTGAAAATCACGAGATAATTTGTTAAAATTATAAAATTATACATTAAAAGTGTAGGTTTCTTAGAAATCAACCCATGTGGAGTAAAAGTTATTAGAAGAATAAAAAAATTTATCAGAGAAACACATTACTAGAATATGAAATATAATTAAAAAATCAAAGTAAAAAAATGGAAAACAGGACAAAAAAGGTTAACCTTAACCAAAACAATAAAGTTGATCTACAGTAGAGATTCACATGTAAAAAACTCAAACCTGAACCTGTTTTTTAAAAAGACAAAACAAAATGTTACACCTATTTTAGAGGCCTCGCTTACGTTAAACCTGCCTCATCAAGTACAGGTCAGTGAGTACATCTACAAACGACAACAGGATTGTGTCAGACTGTGAGATCCAGGGCTTCAATAAAGTTTCGAAAGTAACTCTCGAAGCAAACTCTATGAAGCGAGGATATGAGTTATGATTTTACATATTTTTACACATTTCTTCTCATTAACAATTCCATCATATGGTTAAGTCACAGAAAAGAGTGGAAAAACACATACATCTTCCAGTTGCAGTAGCTCTGAACAAACCCACTGTTCTCCCCAGCCTGTGTCTCTGATTGGTATTCTTTACCCAGCTATCACCAGCCAACACAGCCAACTTCTGAAAAGTGTTTGGGTGTTAAATATAGAACAAAATTAAAACTTACGACAAAGGCCACCCTGAACCTTGTTTTCAGCATTTCTGTGTGATCACACATTATTTTGGTCCTCTGTCTTTTTTTTAAATATTATTTTGGTTCTGCAGACCGTTGGATTCAATTTGCATCAAGCTGAGCACAATGGCAGTGACGACTGCAGTTTAGTAGGAACCGCAAGGTTATTTGCAGGTTTTCCAAATCCTTGAATATCACGCTGCATCAGATAACACATATTAATTATCACATAGCCCTAAAATCAAAATAGGACTGGATCTACAGAGAAGTCACAGCATGGTCCTATCTCAGCAGCTAGCACTGGAGATGGAAGCAGTAACACAGAATACACAGAGTAGTTGGAAATTATCCAAACATCCTTTCTGGCGTAAGATATTTTGGTTAATATACAATATTTATTATTAAGTGACAGAAAAAAAAGATAAGAAGCATCCTTGGGTATTGGAATGCATGAGTGTGTCACAAAAAAACAAGAAAGCTAAACTGGTGGCTCCGCTGCAGGCTCCTCAGATGACACCTCAGCTCCCCCAGTGCTGCATTCTGCTCTTTTATCATCCATTTAATGGCTTAGCGGCCATGTTTACCGCAACCAATGAGTTAAAACATTCATATCCCTCTCAGACCCAACTCTGCTTCGTTCAACTTTTCTCTGTGACATTAACAGGCAGAAAAGTACCCTTTTGTGTCACTCAGTACTTCTGAGTGAGCCGGTGGCGTGCTGTAAAGTCATCATTTTCACAGTGAGAGCCAGATCACAGCATCTCCCTGCAGAGATGACAGGTTTGCCGTATCATACATATTCATCTGAAAACATGATAAGTGGATACAGGCTCAGTAATTATGTGACTGGGAGGAGGTTTCAGTCCCTTCTCCACTGGATTTGTCAGTGTTTACGGCGAGCGCCGCGCTGCTGAGCCTGGCAGCTTTTTTTGCACTGAGCTTGATAAACTTGTATCTGCGCAGGTCGTATCATTCCAGGGACAAGGACGCGGTCGCTGAGGTCATTAACTGCAGCCATTTTGCTTGGACGACTATTTCTCTCCCACTCTCCTCTGACCCTCTCTCCTCCCTCCCTCCAGATTTTTTTTTCACCAGCTGAGCTGCTGAACTCATCCCTTCTCTCTTAAGTATCGCTGCCTGTACGCTAAGCAGCCCTGGATATATGTCCAAACTCAACAAAAAGCATATGTAGAATAAATGCACCGCCAAGTCAATTTACCTCATGGAACAACAGCTAGCCTGAATGCAGCTTTCAGTATGTCTTTTTCCATGCAGGAGATTTAAAAAAATCCTGCGTTTAAAAGACATCTGTGGTATACAGCCAGTTGTATTTTTAGAGGAACAGCTTTTTGTAAGTTAACTACATAAGTAATTAAAATCCTAATAACCAACCTGAGATGAGTTAATGTGATTATAGAGCTGCAGACGCAGGCAGAAAATGAGAAGTGAATGAAATAAGAAAAAACAAAATATATATATTGCAAGCCACAAGATATGCCATTTGAAACACATGTATAAAATTCATACAGGGAATTTTCACTGAAGACAAAATGATTGATTTCTTACAGATACAGATAAATAAAGATATAAACATTTATATATATATATATGTAAACAGTGTATATACAGTATATGTATATATGTATATATATATATATATATAAATAATTTATTTTCCAAAACTTTATATTTGTCTGTAGACCAAAACACTGCCCATGGCCTTTTTGTGATTAATGACAAACCTCAGAATGACTGTGGTGCAAATGAGACTGTGAGAGGAAAAACATGAGTCACCGATGCAGCCAAAATGTGGGTGTTCTCATTAGAACAGAGTTATCTCTGGCTCCTCATCGGAGTGAAAGGACATAATTAGAGAGTTAGGGAAGCCGAGGACACGGTGAGGGTGGAAATGTCACTCAATGCACATTAAACATTTAGACATCTGCTAAAAGAATATGATAAAGCGTGTCCTGCTTTTAGCCACGAGCTGCAACAACACACACGAGGGCGCAGGAGTGTCAAACTGGACGGAGTTGAACGGTAATGTGGATTGAAGTGTTTTGGATTCACTTGTCTTCACACGTCTTCTTCCCCGACAGGAATTATAATTTCTCTTCACCCACAGTTAAGTGTCACACCAGCAGAGGGAGAATAAATTCTGTAGGGCGCTCTTGTTGCTTCATTACCTTAACAGCTCCTCTACCTGATTCAATTGTGTCTTATCATTCAAAAGTTCAACTGCAGACGTGCTCAGTTTGAGAAAAACTTCCAGGGTATAACACAAATCAACACACACACACACACACCCTTCAAAGGCTTTCGTCAGGCACTGGGTCTTAGCCCTGATCTCGTACCTTGTTTGTACTTCAACAACAGCTCCCAGATACCCCTGCGGGCGTATGGGTCGACACCTGCTGTGGGTTCATCCAAGATAACGATTTTCGAGCCTCCAACAAATGCTATGGCCACAGACAGCTTCCTCTGCATACCACCTAAAAACAGAAGGTTTACAGGGCTTTACGTCAATGAACAACGATAAATGGAGTGTGTGTGACGTAAAATCAGTGATCTGCACTCAACAATTGATGCATTTTCAAGAAATGTCCTTAATGTTTTAGATCTTTGCTGCTGTTAAAAAACAAAAAAAAACACAAAGCCTTATTTTTTTTATGCAGGAAACTATAGGGCCTGGCTGCTTCACAGACAAAAACTGTTAGGTTGACTGGCCAGTTGACAGTCCAGATCTATACTGTATACTACTGACACTGAAGTGCACATCATGCATGGTCAGGGGAGTTAGACAGCAGCCGGGGTATCTTGGTAACAGTAGCACAGTAAATGAAGTCTACTTGCAACACTGTGACCATAGTAACTTTAGTTTGAAGGTGATAACAAAAATCAATCAATCAGGAATTTAGACTTTTTGTAGTTAAGGACGACAGCATACACGTCACTAGAGTTATTCTAGTCTTTATTCATGGAGAGCGCCTCAAATGCATCCAATCTAGTACTAATGTAGTGGAAATGTCAACATACATCAACCCTGAAAGTCATATTTCAGGGATTTTGCACAGCAGCAATCCATGACTGGGGACAATTTATCAAGCGACAGACCTGCTTATACCCCCTAGACAATGAATTACCACCTGTGACACACTGGTGACATACACACCTATATGCACATCATCGTCTGTGTGTGTGTGTGTGTGTGTGTGTGTGTGTAGTCTGTCGTTTGTTTTTAAAGTGCAAAGAGTGAATGAAAGAGTAGCTGTGTAATATAAAGAAAGGATCATTTACAGAGATAATACCTTTCCTGGGGAAATACATTAATCAAAGACACAAATGGACGTCCACATCAAAAATCTACTCCACATCTGGAGGTAATTTTCATTATAGACATCAACACAAACACACCTGACAGGTTCTTAGCCAGATCCTTCCGTTTGTGTGGCAAACCGACGTCTATTATCATCTGCTCCATCTCCATTTCCACTTCCTTACGGCTGAGCCCCTTCAGCCGGGCGTAGAAGTAGATGTGCTCCTCCACCGTCAGCCTGAAGAGGCGGAAATCATGTCAAAACATGTTTGATCGACGTACATGACGACAAAGCGGAGCATTCCTGGTGCCGCATCTTCACGTGTAGTCTTTGAAAAGCCATTGGAGCGTTTTATTAGATGATCCACTGCACTTTAGGGAAGAGGAGGTAATATGATTTAATTTTTACCTCAATATTTGCATGAATATTTTAACCCGATTTAATATAGATGCTTTGACTGTCTTGGATTAATATTAATACCAGTAATTTGCAGGTGCTAAGCTGTAATTATGATGTAGGACATGAGCTCAGGTTGCAGGAGTTCTTCTGTGCAGACAGGAACAGGAGGAAATTTGAGGTGAAATATCGCACATTGGCAGAGAATGACACTATTAGGAGAAATTCCTTGACTGGAATGTTGTGTTCGTGTCATTTCCAAGTATAAAAGCATAACAAGAAAAGATAATGATGTGCTGACGTGAAAAATAGACTGAGACTGAGCCTTCATTACGCACATGATTAAATTGCTCTGTGATGACCCCCCCCTCCCCTCTTTTTTTTTCAATAAACCAGAGGCAAAACATGATTATAATAATGGCCAGAGGAGAACATGGATGGATGGCGAGCTGTTACATTCACTTACTCATTGAATAAAACATTGTGCTGCGGGCACATTCCCAAATACTTCCGGATGCTGTCCATGTCAGTGTGGATGTCATATCCATTGATGAGCGCGGTGCCTGAGGTAGGGGTGAAGAGTCCTGTCAGAATTGACCTGGAGAGAAGAGGACACGAACAGAAAACACACAGGACCTGATTACATATTACACATCACCTGAAGGCCCTTTTAAGTTATTATTAGGGATGATTACATTTTGAAATCTAAATCGTGAGATGGTTTGACTCGATGTACAGTGGGTGTCATTCTACACATGCTCTAAAATGCAATAAATAAATTAAAAAATCAAAGACCGCTAATTAATCTTTACAAATCTGAGGGGGAAAAAAGCGTTGATTTCGACAGCCCAGTTATCATGATAATAAAACACTAGCATTAAGAGAGAGATGAGGTTCGATTAGCATGAACCAGTGGCTTTTTTTAGCGTTGCTATTCAATGCACTGACTGTCCACGATATCTTCATTAACTCCACTCAGTTTTGAGTCATTAATATTTCATTTGCAGCTCAGCCGGAGAAGATAAACACACAGCATCATAAAAAGACAGCACAACTGTGCTTGAGAAAAGAGAGAACAGCACCGGCTCACACAGTGAGTTACATCATTCAATCTCACTGACGGACACGTATCTAAAAAAAATCCACCAGGAAATGTATTGACACTGTGCTTCAGAGTGTGACCGTCCCTTGTCCTCCTCTCTGCTCTGTTCTGTTTTGCTACAGCAGATTTCTCTCCTTCAAACCTCAGTCTTGCATCACTTGCCTCTGCCGCTCATTCTTCGTGGGCCACTGGTTTTCATTCATTTGCTGTCGTTGCATTCTGACCCTTTCCACTATTTTTAAACTGCAATTAGATGACTCTTACTATCAACACAGCAGCTGAGGGGCTGTGATAAATGTCCTTTCAGGAGAAGCAGGTCCTTCGAAGCACTGACCACTGAATTAATGCGGCTACGCTACAGCCTGCATTGTGTACAAGTTAGATTAGTTGCACCCTGTGAAAATCACATTAACACTGAACACAGTGTGGCAAAACGTGAGGGGAATGGAAAGTTCCACTCACATGGTGGTTGTCTTTCCAGCACCATTGTGGCCGAGGAAGGATGTGATCTGGTTCTCGTAAAAGTCAACGGTCAGGCCATCTACAGCCAGCTTGTTCCCAGTCTTGTAGATCTTGACGAGGTTCCGGACGGAGACCCCCGCCCTCATATTGGGTGGTGGTTTCTCCAGGTATCCTTTATGAACACCACAGAAAATGCAGGTTGATTCATTTCTCTGAGAAATAAAAACGCTGTATGCAGAATCATACAACCGTTAACCACCTTGTCCTCCCGTATCCTTCAGCAGGTCGGGGTCATCTGAGGTTTTTTTGGTGGGTCCACACCAATACAATGAAGTAAAGGGGAAATACCATGGTTTTGGAATCCCATATTCTCCTGTGATGTAGTTTGAACATAAATAGCAACATTTTACAAAAGTTTGGCTCCAGAAAAACTGCATTTTACAGCATAGATATTTTTCAAGTTCAAGTCTTACATTAACTAGTGTTGGTAAAAAAAAAACATTATTACCTGGAAATACATTCTCAATGTACCAAGTCAATGTCCAGTATAAAACTGCATCAAAAAGCATCATAATGATGGACAGGAGGAACGTGAAACGCTCTCCATCTTCAGGACTCTTGTGCATGTTGTGCCACTGAATGCCGATGCCTTGCTCCTCGTACTTAGTGAAACTCTCACAGCCGAAGCCAAAGGACACACAAGACAGCACACTCTGAGGAACACAAAAAAGGGAACACCCTAAAATCTATGTTTTTGACCAACTTAGCTTAGTGGTGGCTTCGTTGTCCTAGCACAGCACACTGCTATTGCTGACTGAACAATTGGCATTAAAATGGGCTGAATGGATAAAGCAGGGACAAGGACTGATCTGATTACATTTGTGTGCAAATCACATGGGAAGGTGCTGATCCAAAGGATAGAGACACTACAGGGATAATAGATGCAAACAACATACTGTACAGAAAAAAACTGCACATCCTGCAAAGTAAGATTCGTTGATATGTTCATACAGAAGGAAATTGCGACTGATGTGTTGCCCGAGAGGCGTCATCTGCCACGGCCTATCACTCTGCACTGCGGCGTTCCCTGCCAGCTGTTTCATCACGCCTCATTTGCTCACAGTCTTTTTTGCTCCGACAGAGGCTGGTGCTGAAGTTTCAGAGACAGATCACAGTGCTTGCTGTCTGTCCTCTTGCTGCATTACTGGGAATGGAATATGAAAATCTAAATCTGAAGCCACGCCAAAACAGTCAAGTCTGACTATTAACACTGATGGTAACTTCCTGGCTCGTCTTCCCCAGAACATCTTCTACAAAGCAATCAGTGGTCACAAAGTCTTGACCTCTGCAAGGCATGAGTGAATAGGTGGAAGTGAGCACTTCTTTGACTTTGGACATGAAGATATTTCTTGACATACTTGACATGAAGATATTACTTTGGACATGAAGAAAGATTACTGAAGATACGTCAACAACAGATTAGCTGACATGAGTTTTTTACCAAAAGATTGGAAGAATACAAAAACTATATAATGAAACACTGTGATCACTGCATAGCTTCTGGATTTCCTTAAGATTTTGGCTGCACCTGTCATTACACATGTCATCCAAGAGGCTCCAGGTGAGGAGAACCATGACTTGCCTGACTGAAATCCTTACAGAGAGGAATGTAGAGAATCTGACCTAAAACTGCCAAGTGTCAGTCTTAGATTCAACAATTTTATACCTGAACATTTACCTTTGGACATATAGAAAGAATAGAAATGGTTCAGCAAGAAATTGGACGACTCGCTCCAACGAACAAACTTAAAAGAAGAAAATAAACATGACATTACCCATGTTCCTTTAGCCTTAAAACACAACCTTAGGGTGCAATGACAGGATTGGAACTTTAAAAAAGACACTAAATAATCTCTGTAGGTTTTAGGATAATTAGCTGCTATGATTATTAGCCCTGTTGAAAGACAATGTTTAATGTTGACCATCTTTTGAAGTCAAGTATATAAACTGCAGGGTCTTTCTGGGGTTTTTTGCTCATTAAAAACCTTTAACTCGAAGCAAAAGGAAAAGATGAGAAAACAGTGGAAAGGAATCGGGACTGTAACAGCAGCTGGTCTAATTCTGACAGACATCACTTGAAGCTTTGCCTTAACACAGATCTGAAATCCACCAAATGTTCGAATGAATTGAGGTGATCTTTTAAAATTCTCTCTCGATTAAAGACTTCATTATTGAGAATGATGTGGAGGCAGACTTTCTATTCCACTGCACGCTATGGATCTGCAGAAAGGAGGGTGACTGGGGGGGCACCTCAATGCACACATGCACATCTTTGATAAAGTGTGGGGATGAACTGGATAGTGGTTTGGTCAGAGGAACATTGCTCATGCTAATTAGGTAGCTGGAGGGCTATCCATCTAGTTGGAGCAGTAGAGAAAAACCCCGACGCTGGAGGAGAACCTGGCCCTGGCACTTTATGTCGACCTACAGTATATCTAATGTTTCCTATCCAACCTGGGAGCAGCCTGTTTAAAAAATGATGAAACATTTTCTGAAGAGCAGAAATGAGCATTAACTTCACCTGATATATTTCACATTATAATTGTGGAACGTGTTGAATAAGAAACGTCACTAGAAATGACTAAAACAGGCGCTGATGCTAGATGTTTGTTTGTTACTGTTTTTTTAGGTTTGATAAACATGAAAAAAAGACAAGAGTTGCATACTTAACAATTATGTTTTTTTTTTTTTTTTAAAAAAAGAGAAAATACTGACAGCGTGCTGAAAAATGACAGTGGTACCAACATAAAGGTCATAGAGAAAGGCTACGGTGAATGTTGCGCAATGGGGCAGTTTGATCTTTCACCACTAAGGGAAAGCAGAAAATCCCTCACTTTTAAAGTTTTTTTTTTTTTTTGTCAATATTTTTGTGTAATATATTTGTATATTTCATGTCACCTGTTTCCACTTGCAACTTCATGTTGGTGCCAAAAGTGTGTTGAAACCAGTGGAGGCTTTAATAGGGAAAACCACTTTTTCCTGTTGCAAATTCAAATTCCACTGGACCCTCAATTCATCTTTGAGACACTTCACACATTATTTATCAGGAGACTTAAGAAGGCAGTAGCAACACATCTATGACAGGTATTAATGGCACTGGGTGAATTTACTTTGCTCTGAAACAACAGGGGAATGGATAAAGAACAAGTGACTGTTTTTGTAGCGGCACAAACACAACCGGGTAATGTAGCTGTAAAACTGAGCCAGCTATTATGTATGATAACAACAGGAGGAGAAATAAAAAAAAAAGGTTGTCAGCAATAAAGAAGGACTTACCACAGCAACCTTGACCGGGAAACCTAGGACGTCCCTCCAGGCGTTGAAGAAGACATGCGGCAGATAGAGGACAAAGTAGATGAGGCCACCGCACGCCGCCGCTAAGTTGGCCTTAGAGAAGAAGACGCTAATGAGGAAGCACTGACTGATGGTGACCACACAGTACACCAGCAGGAAGACAAAGACCAACGAGGGGTCGCTGTACCGCAGCAGTTTACCATACTGTGGTGGAAGACATTCATGTTAGGTGGGGGAAGAACGAGTTTTCATTAATGTCAACTCAGAGAGAGACAAGGAAAACAACAGAGGAAAGAGAGAAAGAGAAGCCAACAAAAAGATTCAGACATGATTAGTAAATGTTATGATCATGTTTTTAAGACACCACAGGCAGAGTAAAAAGAAGCCTTCATTATCCTACACTAGAGCAGGTGCAGTAAAACCCATAGCCATAACCATAACCAAACTTGTGTTGTGGGCAATTAAGGGAAATTCTTTTTTTTAAACCATTTAGAGTTCACTCATTACCACCTACTGACTCTTTACTAAGTAAACATTTGGACACAAAGGTGTCCCACATATATTTACAAAAGTACACTAGACTTCTTGTTGGTAAAAGCCAATTTTTTTATGACCCACTAAAATTAATTTTGTGAGTAAATGGTTTATTTTTCAGGATATTCCTTTATACCGTTAAATATCAGCAGTTAAAAGAGTGAAGTTCAATATTATTAACACAGTCATTAAATGTCACACTTTTTTCTCTGCCTGTTTGAGAGAGAACCCGTGGCTTATTTTGAAGAACTTCTTCAATCCGTTCTCCAACAATACCCCATGACCCTGATGGCTGTAAGGAACCAAATTCAAAGTGGTCCTCCGACCATCAGGGTAATGGTGCAGAAATAATGAATGCAATTATAATCAAAGAACTGTTACATCATACTGCACTTTTTTTTTTCTTTTTTTCACCACAGAAAGTCTCTTAAATCTACACCGTCTAAATGAACGCTGAAGTGTAACAGTATCAGATTAGCAACTTCATCAATGGAACGGAAACTTCACTGAGGACTGGAGGAGACTTAATGAACAGAACTCTCCAAAAATAGACTCGGGTTCTCATTCAATGACTGTTTAATGATTCCCAAATCACCTTTAGGATCAAAGTCAGGAAGATTGCACTGAGAGTCAGAGGATAGACACTTGACACCGCCCAGCTCAGCCAATAGATTGAACTTCTCAGGCCCATGATCCTCACTGTCTCCTTCAGCCTCGCCTCTTTTTCCCCAACAATGCTCTTTATGATCATGGCCACTGAGTAGATCCAAGCTAATGTCATGAACAAAGGTAGGGAGCGCGACAAAGATCGCAGAAACCTGAAAAGACACCAGTTGGACAATCAGTCAACATACAAACCTCTAATTACAATACATGACATTTAAATATATGTATATTTGATAATGCGTATTTTCACGACTGATGTACACCCAACGTTCCTGCTGCTTTCATGTTTGTCAGCCCAATGTCGTGGATGTGACGGCATTGAGCGTCACTAACCTGTGTTACTCCGTCGACACTTGCCAACTGATGGAGCCAAGCGTAGGGAATAATGCAAATATATCAACCTGGTTGCCACATAATGAATGCATTGCCTTCTCCATAATAGAAGAGAAAACATGTGTAACCCGACAGAGGAGTCAGGTGTGGGTGACAAAACTGGTTGTCGGCGCACTTAATCCACAGACAGCCTTGTGATAATTAGCGTTTGATTTGCTATTATTATTAATGTGCTGAAAATGGCTGTGAAATTATCAATTTGAAACGGGCCCGTGATCTGAATACACATTGTGCTGGAGCTGGCTCCTCCAAGGCACTTCACGAACTCAATTTAAGGTTATTAATGTTTACACATTGAAGATGGTTCGCAAACACATTAGGGCTGAAGGGAAATTGCGTCTCATCCAGCTGTTCGAATATCAGCACAAATTTACCAGTGACAATTTCAAATTGAATTTCCAAAGAAATTGCTGATCTACAAAGATAATGGTGTACACCAACAAAATAAAAAAATATAATTTATATTTTTGTTTTGTTACAATACTACAGCAGGACTGCACGTCTTAACTCAGACCAACAGAACAATGTTTAATGTTTGAATTGCATATGTTATATTATATGTTAGATATGCAGCATATGCTAAATGGTCCGTACTGGTCAGTCTTGATGACCACTCATGGCATAAAACACTTTAGGAGACTTCCTGATGTTCAGGACACTCATTAGTGTTCTAATTACAGGACCTAAAAAATAACCTTTGATTTATATTGAGCTTAATTACAGGTTTGTTTGTGTGCTTAATTAATTACCCCAGGACTCCCAATTTGACTAATTAGAAGTAATAATTAGGAAAAGTTATCGGTCATGATTGGCTATAGCATTGATACCAAAACACTGAGCATGAACACCTTTCATTTTCATTAACTGAGATGCATGTTGGGATTGAAGTTTATTGTATCTACAAATTAGGAACAAATATGCACTGCATTCTGGTGTTGATGCTTTGTGTTTTGACACTGATTCTTTTTGGGACTTTTTTTTTACTGACCTTCAGCAAGACACTGATGAGCAAACAGGGAACTGTGAGCAAAACAATGTTCTCTGTCAACCTGGCCAACCACAGGGAACTGTTATGAACGCCCACAGCACGCAGCACATCCTTCAGCCTGAGCTCCTTCTCAAGCACCAGGTCTTTGATGGTCATGCTCACGGTGTATATAAAGGCCAGCACGACTATCAAAGATATCATGGTAGCGATTTGTTCAGTGAAGCTGGTTGTTGAGGAAAACACAGGGATAGTTAGTTTGAATTAAATGGAAGGAAGTAACTGAGAGATATAGAGATATATGATTTTTTTAAATTTATTTTTATTTTATGAACTTCGCACAGTAGGGAAATTCTGGTGGTAACTTGGAGGCGCAAGATTTATGTATAATAATAGTTAATAGGTCAAATGAAAATTAAATGAATAACATTTGTTATTGTGATGATCTTTATTCTGCAGAAAAAATGGCAAAAAATTGCATTCTGCTATCTGTTCTTATTGTTACTGTCAGCCAGCCTTAACGGGGTCAGGGCACCAGTTCAGCCAGACCTTTTAGTGCCGCACTTCGAGCCAGAGATGATGTATGATTTAATTCTTTTACAACACAAAGAGGTGATATTAGAGTGGCTTCATAATGCCACCAAAATGCCATGTCAATATCTCCTCTGTCAATATAGCAAAGTGCTGCCTCGCCTTTATTGGACAATGAAGGAGGGATATCAAATGGATCCCGACAGTATGGATTTCACATATCACTTATTAGGCCTACATTAAATAAATAGCTGGCCAAAAAATGCAACCAAAGCATAGCACAGAGCAGATATGTGGATAAATGTGAATGTTATCGGCTGAGCACATTAACCACACACTGCTGATTAAATAATGGCCTCTTCTCCTGTAATTCTGACCAACTAATTATGTAAAGGTCTTATTGAATTCTTGTCATGTGAAACTGTTCAACTCCAGGATTTTCTGGGCTTTAATTGCCAACCTGTGCAACACATTAACTGACTCTGACACCACCTCTAATTGTGCAATTTATTGTTGTTTTTTTTTATGCACAACCGTTTCCAATAGAGGTGAAGACAATGGAGGTAAAGACAAACCAATACCAAGCACGCAGGGAGTTTGCAGTTTCAAATAAAGTACTGGATTGTCTTACAACAACAAGCATGAGATTTAATTCCACTGAAACCTCTGAGGAAGTTCTGTCATATGAGAACCTGAATGAATGTCTCAATCAGGCTCAAATTCAAGGACACACTTCTGTCCCAATGATTACGCTGATGGAATGAAGCAAAAAACATTAATGAAAATAAAAATCTGGGAATAATAAAGTCTTCTTTCAGGTTGTAATCATACAGATACAGTATCTCTCAATCTGACAGACAAACGTATATGAAATGTTTTAAGTATTTTCAGAGAAAGATGCCCAGTACTAAGACTTGTTCATCTGCTGCCAAATCAAATCAAATATCTACGTCTATATTTGTAAACGGAGCCAGTCGTGGATATACTTCTTCTTTGACTTCTACAACTAGACAAGGAGAGATAAGTCACGCCCGATGTTTTTTACACCGACAACCTCACCGCCAGATGCTCTTGAATTATACATTTGCCGATCGTTCAGGGCTGCTTAAGTAACAGAATTTCATTGGAGGGCTCGGGTAACACTGGCAGCCTGACCTAAATTTAGGGCAGCAGGGAGACTGATTCCTATGTAAATCAAGAGATGGAGAGCAGCCTCCCTAGAGGTTATCATACGATTCCTTAAACAAAAGCTCTCTGTCTACTTTGGAACAAATGTAGTGTTGCGTTCCTCCATTGTCTGGTGGAGATTAATTCCAGAAAATGAATACAGTATATTATCCAGACAGGACTCACTGTGAGGATATTGTATTACTGTAGGTCATACAATACAATGTTACAACAATAAAAGGTAGCTAGATAGAAGTTGGTGCTGCAGAGCGACCAGAAGGCTGCTGCCGTCAGCATCAGCGCCATCTTGACTTCTGACTTAGAGATACTTAGAAATAGAAATACATAAACCTATTGTTTTACATACTGAGAAACAATGTCTGCATGCCTCAAACACCTCAAATGCTAAGCTAACATAACTATAGTAGCAGCTGCCACTCTGCTAATGCCATAAAAAATTCCAGGTCCTAAAAAATGTCACCCAGGACCAAATGAATGAATAAACCTACTGCTTAATGTGTGTCTTAGTGCACACTCAGCTCCAGCACTAATCAAAGCGTTGAATGGTTACACACCAACACTTCACATTCTGGCCACTTAGCAAGTTAATGGCCATTGGGAGACAAGAGAAAAAAAATACTGCCTATACTTTACATGCACATGCTCCCTCTTGATGTTTATGATTATTATGTGAAGCTGGAATTGCAGCATATTTATCGCAGCATATTTATATATTTACCAAATATATACATAAAAGGGATTTTTCTTTAGCTTTCATTTTAGTTTATTACAGTACCTCACCAAAAATGTGAACCCAAGCAGCAGATTTTTCAGTCCTAGCCTCAGATGTTCCAATTATGTGAATCTATCACAGCGCTCACTCCATACAGCGTACACAGTGGTTTAATTTAACATCCAGGCTGGACAAAAGGGCATCGCCTCTCACATCCTTGAGCTCATTTCTATTTTTTCTGTTCAGCAAAGACCTGTGTTATGTTTGCCTAAAAACAGCCTCAGATAAAGCTCATGTAAATGAGAAGGTCCTATTGATGGACAATTAGGGCGAGGGAGGGAGAGAGGGAGAGAAAAAGAGAGAGAGAGAGCACCGGCCCTGAGATTCCTAGATTCAGGGGCCACAGAGACCACTGATAAAGCACTGGTCATGTTCTATCAGGACCCGTGGTGTTGAAGCCTTATGACGTGTGGCCCTATCACAGTGTAGAAATATAGACGGAGACAGTGGGGGCCGATAGAGTTTGGTCATCTCACATTCAAAATACCAACTGGGTCAGTTGGAGATGTAACCCAGATGGACCCAGAGGATCATTGTTCATAGCCTTGAAGGCGAAATGAGTTGTGTAAAAAAGACAGTTATAGCAAAAGACTGCACCGATATTAGCAAGACAAGGAAATAAGGGTCATAATATAATTAAATGAATAATTAATTAAACATGACTTAACATAAGGATAAAATAATGATAAATAGCTGTTTTTACAGAAATACCTCTACTAATAATAAAAATGCTGCGGTCTGAATGTGAAGCATTGTGTATTTTCATCCTGTGGTCTGTAAACTTTTTGTCAGTTTGTTATTTCGCTCCACCTTTTGCTCCACCACCTACAACCATCCAACAGGTCGCAGTTGTTAACCAACAAGTTTTGCTGTGGAGTAAAAATAAACACAGCAGCTGCAGTGACGGGTCAGAAATGTTTTACAGACTTAAGAAGTTTCCACCTTTACTATATATGGATATATATATATATATATATGTGTGTGTGTGTGTGTGTGAAATGAAAATGAAAATATTGCAATACATTTGAAGTAGCCTTTTTAAGGAGGTATTCTTCCTTAATATTAGCATTAATTCAATTGGTATATTCCTGGAAAAAATCCATCGGAAGACAAAGTGTCATTTAGTATTCCCATGAGGCCATGCAGACACTTTCTATTCAAAGATATCAGCAATACATTATTCATGTCACAATAACAGAATTGTAAATGTATTCTGCATTATTGATAGAAATTGTAGAGGTATCTCAAATCTACATTTTAAAATCTGTTTTTTATTTTTCCTGCAGACCCAGTTTTTTATTTTTCCTGCAGACCCATAAACATGATTGGACAACGGTCTTGTATTTCCTTTTGGCTGAGGGTACAGCTCCAGTACAACAAAAAGAAAATACCCCCTAGGTTCTTACCCATCATGCCTCCCTGTGTTTTAGCACGTTGTCTATTGTGTGATTTCACTCTCAATTATTAATGAATGAAATAGCCGTTTCTAAATATTTATAATTCACAGAAATGCCCAAATGGAAAGGAAGGCTAAAGAGTAAATGGTGGAGGGAGTGCAGAGTGTATTGTGGTGTTTTATGGTACCATATATCTTCTGTAATTATTAATCCTTTTGTTTTAGTAAAAAGAAACGTGTGTGACTGGTCTAGCACGGAGCCAGCTAACTTAACTGATCTCACAACAATAAAAAGAAACTGAAATGCAAAGAAAAGCTTTTTTCAATCCTGTGAAAGAATCCAGTGGTGCGGTTGAGCTTTTCCTATCTGCACCAAGTCTGCTACCAAATGTGGGCGATGTTGTGGTTGAGTTTAATTTGAAATGACAAGATTAGTTTCTGCAGAACAACTCTACTGGGTGCAGTAGTTAGTCCAACTCTTTCTAATGAGTACAGCCAGAGAAATTCATGTTTACTACAACTGCTGCAAAAAGCATGTATTTAGTCGTAAATTATCAACATGAAGAACATTAAGGATGAAATTGTCTTTCCCATGTGAGATAAGGACTTGGAAAATATTTCAAGTGCATTTAAATTTAGGGGTTATTAAAAGCTCAAGTATATATTCCATATAGTCTTTTTTTTTTTTTACTTCAAACTAAATATGTTAATCCCAATACTTCTGGGAGATGTATTTACAGTAAACTACGTGCTATCCAAAAGTACATAATGTTTTCTAAATTACTTTCCCTAATCTTTGGGACTGAACTCCCCAGAGAAACGAATATTCTGTTTCTCTTAAAAAGGAACACATTGTGTTTTTGGACTGAAATCTCATTGTAATTATCTTTTCTCTCGATGGCATCAGTGGGCTTTTCCATTATTAATGGAGATCATAATGATGTCTGGATGGGAGTAATTTTCCCAGACTCTGAGGAAATCTTGGCTTTGGAAGATTTAGAGTGATACCACATCATCTGTGTCCCCAGGTGAATGATGGGACGTAGAAGAAGCACATTCTACCGCTGGATACATTAGGAACCCATATGACATGCTGCGATAAATCTGGTGTGTTGGAGCTACAGTAAGAGGGATTCTGTGTGTTTACTTGATCCGGAGTAAAATGCTCCAGAAATACACCAAAAGAAAAAGGACGAATGTCAGTGACCTCAATAATCCAGCAGCCATGAAGCGTTCAATAATTTCCTGTGTTCGACTTAAATCAATACTTTTACTTCTATTTGTTTACTGTTTATTCTTCTCAACCCCCAACACATTATTGTCTGAACTAATAATGTTTTTTAAATTGGTTAACTGTGTCTACTCATCAGAATGCTGAAAGATAAACATTCCCATGCTCACCTGTCGTTCACGTAGCATGGGTATGGCATCTGTTGGGCGAACACACCGAGGGGCTGGGTCTTTGATGTCTGCACTTGGATGATGCCATGGTCCATCATGTCCTGCAGGTAGACAAAGCCTCCCATGACATATTTGAGGTCGCTGTAGGCGTTGTCTCTAGCCCCGGGGGACCATGACCTTATTAAAAACACAGACACAGATTAGTGAAAGGAGTTGTAAATAGTTAATGTCTTTGAAAATAAGTTATATTTTCAGTTATTTATAGACATGGGAACAATATTTGTCTTCTGTACACAGAAAGAGCACAGTTAGCAGGATCTCACGGGACTGTGTATAAATAAAAAGCCACTGTAGCAGAATAACATTTGCTTTAAAACAGAATTTGACAGAGATACATACATTACACAGCCCTAATCCTGCCTCTTTTTTTTTTTACCCTGACTCACCCCTGGAAACCAAGTCACCAGAGGTATTTAACCAGGGGAGATCAGATTCCTTGGTTTACAAACCAATACCAGTGCCAGTATTTTAATTTGAGGAGTTGCCAAGACCAAGTACCATACTGATACTCTTGGGTTTGGTTCTTAGGAGATATGAAACAAAATTAAGGCTGTGTTATATAGGTGGTGCAGTTCTGTGGGCACTATGGTGATGTGCAGTGTGTCTATTAATAAAACTATCTCTCTATCCATCTATCCATCCATCCATCCATCTCTCCATCTATCTAGCCATCCATCCATCTATCCTATTCACATTTATTAATATTATTATTATTATTATGCGGAGAAAATGTTTTTTTTTAATACGTGTTGCTGGTCATTAAGTTGTGTCGAGAGTAACGTCAATGAAGAGGAAGCTGATAATATTTTCAGTGGAGTTGTGTTGCCTTTCGTTCACACACCTGTGTTCTATATCGTCTGAATGCTCCACATCATTGGTATCCATGCGGATTTTGTATTTGATATGCACAGGTGGGACGCTGGAATTTGGCTGCAAGTTTTCAAAGACCACACTGGCCCAGTGGGAGTCATTGTTTACGAGATCCAGTGCCTTAATCACCAGGAGGTGTTCGGTGGAGACGGCCTGGAACTTGTTCAGGTCCAAACACTGTAAACAGACACAGAAGTGTTACATAATAATAGTCTTTCTCTAACTAAACCAAATGATTAACCAACAGATGGATAATAGACAGAACTTCATTAATCCCCCCAGAGTTCCCTTTGGATAACGAAGGCCATTAAAGAGGAAGAACAGCAAATGGATATTAAACCAACAGTATCACTCTGCCATTCACCATATCACTCAGTGCTGGATGACCAGAATAGCAAGGGGACTGGGGAAATGGTCTGGGCTTTGGCAGAGACCAGTGAATGAAAAACAGCCTCACTAGCACCCCCTGTCCCTGAGCCTCTGTTTCATGAGAGGATAATGAGTTGACCATCCGAGGAGGCAGTCAAACCTGACAGCTGTCCACACAGCTCAATGTTGCAATAGTTTTGTCATTTCCCAACAGCACTATCCATTCCGTATTCCATATCAAGCATCGATGGGGAGCAAACTAACATAACATCATTTGTTCCGGACAGGACGATGACAATATCACAGCAGCATGGTGACATGATCTGCAAAAGTTTGGGAAAAGTGCTGACCCAAACTTGTGAAAGACAAGTGCTTTGCATAAAACAGAGATGGAATTCTCATGGTGTTGGTTGCATCAAATGTACAAATGTATATCACAATAGATGGCTTCACAGAGACAGTGGGAGTTTTCAGTTTTACTGACCCAGTATTTAGAGCAATGTTAGATGTTGGAGTTAAGAATGACCTTAAAATGTCGATATTATTTTTGGAATATTAACTTCCTACTTCCTAATACTACTTCCTGTTACAATAGAAGCTGTGCTTGTGTCATTTGTTTTTGTTGTTTTTGTTTATCTGGTGGACCAGCAGCTGCCGTACAATCAAAAACAATGGAGTTTTTCTTTTTGGGGAGTGTGGGGGGGATACAAGTAGAATAATACAAGTATAACTGCAGTTTTCTTAATGTATCTAGAAAAGGTTTCCGCTTCTATATTTCTACTTCCTGACTAGGAGGTGAAACGTCCCAACATCAGCTGAGAAATTAAGGATATGGACGACAGAAAACCCGACATGCAGTTGTGCATCATGTAGCACACTGAATAATTAATCACTTAACTATAGCATTTAAAGTATGTGTGTTTGTGTTGTGTCTGTTAGAAACTATATTTTTGGGAAAATAGATTGTCAAAAATACTCCTGTTGAGTGGACACTTTGGTCTTCTGGGGACACTTTCCTCTCGTAGGGACACCGTGCAGGTCCCTATTGAGTGTAAGTGTAATTGAATGTTTTGAGCTCCTCATCCTTCACCATTCAATTATATATTTTTAATTTTTTTTATTTATAATCATTTGACATATGAAAGTTGTCTCTAACAATAGTTAGCCTAATGAGTGTAATTAGTAATAATTACCAGGTAAATGTTTCCCATTAGGATATTGTGTAGTGCCGGAACTTCAGAAAGCACATGTGGCTCATCCCAAGGGTCCAAGCGACAACGTCTGCCCACTGTATGTGCGTTTGTGTTTTCCTGTGTGTGGGCTTTGTACACTCACACAGCAGGGGAGGAATAGCTCTGCTTCACACAGTGCTCTAATCAATATATCAATGTCAACTGTGTGCATGTGTACATCCCTACATTCAGGAAATGAAATGAAAGAAATTCAGAAGAGATCAATACTTATTCACACTTATTCTGTGTGAAAGAAAGGGGAAAAAATGTATTCTATCCAACAGTGTGCTGCATTGAATAACTAACATAAAAGTAAGAGTATGTACAACACTAAGATGAAGAAGCATTGTGCTCAGCATGTGTGAGATCAAAAGCACCTCATTTTTACTCATTGGCAGGTGTTCTGTGTGTCCTGTCTTCCTCTTGAAGGTTTGTTCAAAAGGAAAGTTGCATACACAGTGGCTTAAGACTTATTATTATATTTAGAAAATACCAGTTTTTAATGCCGTATCATTTTATTTAGTTGTATTTATCCACCACACCCTCAAGGCTGGTCCGTGAAAAAAAAATTGAGACATTTAACCGGCCCGAGGCACATAAAAGGTTGGGGACCGCTGCTCTAAAACATTCAGCAGAGCAATACCACAGGAAATTATCGGGGGGGTTGCCCACTTGCTAGTGTGTGCTAGTCAATAATAATTGTGTTTTCAGCTCTTTTCTTTTAGAAATTGCCATTTCCTCCCCACACTTCATACACATCAGTATGCAAAATCTAAACGTAAATCCATCTCTCTGTCCAGGGACAAAAAAAGACTTACACTGAGGAACTTAGACAGAAATGTCAGTATCCGATCAGTTGCCTGATAAACATCACGCCAGTCATATGTAGGCATGCCAGGAGGTCGATCTTCAGGAGGCCCGTTGTACAGGAAGTTGGCTATCAGCTCGGCTGTCCATCCTGTGCCTTCGAGACGCTGGTCCAAGACGGTTGCAAAGACAGGGTTGGCCAACAAAGCCTGGAACATAGGGCAAACATGTTATAAAGTGGTGATTTGGACAGTCAACAGCAATAAACTATAAAAATATAGCAATGAATAAACATAGGAATGTTTTTTTTAAACCATTCTGCATCTCATCTAATATGTATTCCTAATTCTGAAGGTGAATGTGAATGTGTTATGAACAAAAAAGGTCACAGTGTGAAATCTTGGGCTAGAATTGAGAAAAGCACAGTATCACCTGGTGAAAACTATTATTCAATAAAGAAAGAAATTATATTTATAATTTAAAGAATGTAGTTTCAATCCTGTTTCATGCCAACCCGCTGAGCTGAATAAGTATGTTGAGACTTTTTTTCTCCTCAGGTACAGTTAATACTTCAGTGTTACATGTCTGTAATTCACTGTAAAAGGCTTTTATTACTTCAAGAATTACAATAATTTTCTTTCTTAACAGGCTGCAAGAGCTGCATTAATCACATCTAAATGCTGATGAAAGCTGCTGCTGCTTCACACCCAAAGTGTTTATCTGATGAAACAAGGTGTGTTTCAGGAGATTAGTCGGCGGTGACTGTCACTATTTCTTAAAAAAGCAGCTCAGTCTGATATTTAAAATGAATAGTGGGGATAGAGAAGTGTTAGTCTTAGAGACAACTGTAGACTCAGGTCAAACGTCCCCAAGCTGCTAAAAACTAGTTGTGTGTATTAGCAATACAATACAGTACATATGATACAGGGGTATAAATAAGGCATATTTCAATATAGTACTTTTTAAATTTTATTGTAGGGACACTGTCAACACAGTGAATACACATTGCTGTTACATGCTTAACATCAGGTTACGAATAGAGGGATCTGCATTTGTATCGCTAGAGAAGAATAAAACCAAAATACAATGAACCAACAACATGAATGTTTGCATGTCAATTGTTAGTGAATATCAATATAGTGCTGTGAAATATCGATAATATTTCAATGTATCAATAATGTCTTACATCCCTACTCAAAACAAACACTTGGATTCAAACTAATTTCTTATTTTCTGAAAAAACTAGGAAAATATATTATGCCAAATCTTGTTAGTAGAACCACAAGTGTTTAGCGTACAGTGCCGGGAATTTGGTGACCTTCAGTTACCTCTAAAACAGTGAAAGATGAACAGATACAATTTTTTGACCAACTAATATTTCAAGTCATATCAGAGGTGATGTCAGTCTTGATGTCCTCCTCCCCAGACGTGTACCCTAAATATCCTTTAGTCTATGTGTAGTTGCAGAAGTGACAGGCATTGCTTTATCAATGTATAACACGTCTGCAACCTTCAAGGACCTCTGACGATGACAAAGCTTCTGAAGACACCGTCCTCAGAGTGAGAGGAGAGAGGAAGAGAGACAGACACAGGCTATAAGGAAATGAAGACAAAGGAGGACTGCTGGGCCATTTGTGTAAAGGTTAGGGCCGGGGTAATGAATACGCCAGCTATATGGAGCGACCAATGTCTGTTTCCCTCCAGCTGCCTATAAGCTCATTTGGAGTGACACTGGAGTAATGTCAGTGTCAAGGAAATGCAGTAGAGAGAGGAAGTGAGATAGAGAGAAAGAAGAAGGAGGGATGAGAGAGTGGTGGCAGAGTCCATGTCCTCTACCTGCACAGATAATCCTGTCTGCCAGGTTGAAAATTAACCTGCACTTATCCATAATTACCTTCCTCCTCTCCAAATGAAGGTGCCAGAATATATTTAGTGCACCTCCTCCTGTTGTTGTTTTTGTGGTTGTTTTTCTTTTTCACCTCAGAAAACCAGGACTTCTGAGACATTATCAAGAATTTCTATGTCTTTGTGCATTTCACAAGGAAGTAGTTGAGAAATGATGAGGAAAATGGATCAGACAAATGTTGATGTGCCCTAAATATAGACATTAACAAAAACAAGATAATAAAAACTACAGGGCTGCCAGACAACTAACAAAGACCCATAATTCCCCATTAATCCTCAACTTTTCACACTTAAACAAATTCATAATCAGTGATAATCAAAACCAGATCTTGTGAAGATCTAACTCCAAATGGTCTGATTCCTTGGAACTGTTATAACAATGGTGCCTTCCCAATACAAAAACCAACTGGCTCAATGGGATATTTGCATTATGATGCAAATATGAATCAGAATTACAACCTGGGAAGAAAGGAAGAAGTGGATCGGAAGTAAAAGAAGCGTTTAGGAAAAAAAGAAACTGTTTTAAAAAACATGCAGAGCTTGAAATTCCGGGTAACAAAAAACTCAAACCAGTTTATGTCCTGTGTAATTGCTAGAGCTACTCATCAACCTCTTTCACTATAGTGTACGAATAATGGACACCTCCTCTGAATACATTTAGATAAAGAGAACAGGTCTGGGCTGCTTCACTGAAGAGGGATCGTTTTCAGAAACTAAAACATCAAATATAAATGGAGCATTTGCTGCGTCCCCTATTGCACAGTGTCAGCCATGTTTAATAGCTGTCCAGCACTGACGCAGGCTAATTTATCCAATGTCACTCAAAGGCTGGCCTCAGGTCCCGCTCAACCACACCGGTGTTATTAAAAAAAAATGGTAATAATTGCAGGCAATTTTTTTTTACATGAAATTGTTACCTTTGAGCGATTCAAAGCAATTGCTTTATTTGATTTTTTTTTCATAGTCAAATGCCAAATATGAATGTGGACCTTGTACACCAAAGAGTTAATGATCGAGGATCATTAATAAGATAAAGTGAAAGGTTATTATTGTCACTGAAGAAGAGCACTCCACTGCCCACAATGAAATGTGACCTCTGTCTTTAATCTATCACCCTGGTGAGCAGCTCAAGCTGTTCGCCGAGGAGCAGTGTGTGGGGGACCTAGTGGCTGGTGAACTAGAACCCTTACAGACACAAGTCTGTTTCCTTAGCCACCAGGTCACCACTGACATCAGAAATGGACTGGATTTCTCATCTGTTTCCATCCCTAATCATTAAAAAGCAAAATGTTGGGTTACATTTAAATTAACCAAAAAGATAGTCGAGACTACATTGTGAATTGTGTGAACTGTCATGTATTTTAAATCATTCTTACCCGTATTGTGTTGACTTGAGTGCCATTCTGAAAGAAATCGTAGACACGTGGCCCAAGTTCCACCCACATGTCAGCCAGCTCTTTTAACTTGGCCAAGGCGTCCAATGTGCTATTTGCCTAGAAAGCAAAAAATATAAAACAATATTTTAATAATCACAGAAAGCACATCCACTGTGCCTCTTCTATTTGCTCTGAGCTAATCCAGACATGAAAGTACCTCAGTTCTTTACAGCTCAGCTAATCCCTGGAGGAACTCATCAGATTCTAACACTGTCAGCCCCACAGAAAACAAATGCAAATGGGGTTATTTACCCCTGAACACCGACTGGTAAACAACACTACTGTGTCTCGTGTCAAGTAGGAAGCTCGCTGGGAAGTCAGCAGATTTTGGTGGCACTCATAATACATTCTAACTGCGACATCCTCACCCCCTGCCTGTTGTTTGTTTTGTGTGTGCAGCCATCACAGTGTTGCTAATATCATTGGGAAATTTCATGACATGATTCAATTCACTGCATTAAGCCTCCTGACTAAGTATTGTACTCTCTCTTTTCCTTCTATTCTTCCCCAGGTAGTGCACTCACTTTGCTCACGATGAGGCGGCTGACAGGTGTATCTGGTGTGTAGAGGATTTTTCCCAGCACCAGTGGCTTGAAGGTGGCCCAAATGTTGCGCAGACCAGGTGTGTTTTCCAAGGTGTCAATGAAATTCTGACAGAAATCATCTGTGCAGGAAAATAAGGGAAAGGAGGTCATAAGGAACACAGGAGGTCATGTTGAAATCAAGACGATGAGACCATGTCTTTGACACGCACTGATGAGGAAAGACAAGAGGAAAAGCTATGAATTTAGAGCATAAACATGGAAAATGGGTGATAGTTTCATAAAGTGTATTATTATTTACACACACTCCATATATAATGGATTATTCATTACTGATCCACTTACACCGGGTCAAACCATCTCAAATTAGCTCCATCACTTTATCTCCCCCCTGTTCATCCATTCCATCCCTGTCGTTCCTGATGACAATTACTCTGCTTCTTCTGAAGCTCCGCCTTCTCATCTCACATCCGCTCCAATGTCTCCACATTATACCTCACAGCAGATTATTATAAACTTATATAATAGTCTAATTGGACTATATTCCATCGCTCACACATCCCCGTCGACGTTCATCTCATCTTCACCCACTCCCCCCCTTCACCTTAGGCCTCACGTCATTAATACATGTCTATTACTTTAAATAATACCCAGTGTTCTTTTACTGTCTCTACTTCATGCACCACCCTTCTTTATCACAACTATGTATTGTGGCCTGCTTTACTTAACTAAACCAATCAAAAGCCTCCCGGATGACGATATAATGTAGATATTGATATCTAATGCCTCATGAGTCGCCAAAGCTGCACAACTCTTCAAAAATGCAAGGAAAGGTTGATAAAGTAAAAGAACAGATGCCTGCAGAAGTCAGAGCAGTGTAATAAGAAACAGCTTTAATGCAGCTAAGAGACAAAAGTCAATACGCTCTGCAGCGGAACAATCATTACTACTTTCACTTATCTGCCAGTGTGAATATTGCCAGGTTGATAAAGCGCTAAAAAGATAACATGAGGACTCAAACCTCAAGGACTGCAGCCTGTGTATGTACAGAGCCTGTCCTCAGTTTGTGTCCATGCACCTAAAATATGCAAAGCCCCTCATGGCGATTCAAACGACAATCACGACGATCAATTCGGCATCTCATCTGTCAGTAAATACTGTAAATTTGTTTGACTATATGATCTGCTATTTAGTGTTCTTTTGGCCAGACACCTGTCATGTTTGCAAAATATTTTACCCTTGTCAAAAATGCCACTGGATCTCAAAAATATCCTCTGCCGCTCACCTCCACCAAAGCCACCATTTTACCCATCAGGGAGATTTTAGAGGCCATTTTCAGTGCAATTAAATGTTAGCCTTTCCGCCTGCTGGCCATCTTTCACAGGAGCTCCTTGGAGGCCTGTGTGTGTGTGTGGAGAGCTAATGGCCAGCTCTTAGTGTGAGTCTGTCCAGCTGTTTCCTCTACGGGCTGCACAGATGTGATTTTCAGCAATCATAACACTTAGAAAAAGAAAGGAAGGAAGAAAGACTGATAGAGCTCAGTTCTTTTTGGCCCGTGAAATCGAAGTGGTAAAAAAAATAGCAACAATAAATTGCTTTGATTTCTGCTCCTGAAAAACACTGAATTTTGGGTAAGAAACTGGGGAAGAAAAAAAGCTGAAATATGCTAAATTAGAAGTATTGTTACTCCATGCACAAATGTGGACTGAACTTCACAGTTAAGAAAAAATATATAGCTTAGACTAGAAAAACATTAGTATATATAATTTCTTGGATATTTTTATACAATTTTAGAAAAAAGTAACTGGTTTCAAGCAGCACACACCATTACAGGAGAAATTTCAAAAAATAGATAAAATTGATAAATTCTGAATGGAAAAAAAACCCTGCAAAATCAAACTGGGGCAGAAAATGAACATTAACAATTGTCAGAATTTTTCCAAAAATGTCCAAAATTGGGGTAAAAAGCATTAGCAAGATGTTCATAGTGATTGACCCTAACCTATCTGGAGAAAAGAACAAATTGTGTGGCTTAAATAAGATGAAGACCTCAGCAAGTTGGAACTTAAAAAAAGGGAAATCTATTTCACTAATTTCCTGAAGGTTTACTGTGAAACATTCACACAAAACAGGGTCAACAAAAGTGATACAATAATGTTAATGCCACACAATCTATAATTACAACAGAAAACTGGAGGGGTTACTGTGACATTGTTAATTAGTCCTGTGTTCATTTGTAGCAATTCAGTGTTGCATTTAAAGCCACCCTATCATCAACATGAGATCAGCCATGTAATCTGTGCTCTGTGCTTTGTTTTCATTGTGTCTAACAATGGACAGCCTGGACAGCCAGCTCACACAACAGCACAAGAAAACAATGTTCAATTATTACACAGGACGTTAGCTACTGTAGCACTGTCAAATGATCTATTCTGAGTAAAGGTCTCTTTATTAGTATTTCTGGGTTCACACTTATATCACAATTTGATCAGGCTAGAGATTCTCCAGAGCTAAAAAAAAAAAAGTGGATTTTTTTTTCTTCTATTTTCTTTTAAACAAAACTGTTGAAATAAGGGAACAGTAGATTCCGTTCTTTACACCAGGTTCAGCTACAGTCAAATAATTGCTTAGAGCCTCAAGACAGCCCCTCAACTTACCTGGCAAATTTAATCAATTTGAGCTGCACCCGAGAGACGGGCTCAATTCAGCGTTGCAGTCAGACGCTGACACTCACCGCCTCGCTTGCACATGCAATCCCATGAGCGTCCACGCTCGGTACACACACACGCAAACACAGCCATGCAGAAAACGGGTTTTGCCTCATAGATGTATTTGAAGTATTTTACATAATGCAGAGTCCGACACAGACATGCATGTAGAAACTCAGGCAAACGGTCAAATGGAGCAGTTTCATATGTGAAAGAGGACTTTCTTTCCACAAGAGCGAATCAAGCGCTACTTCCCACCATTATAAAAAGAGATCAGAAAAACATGTCAGAAATGTTGAAAGGGAAATATCTTAGGCTAAACAGAAGTATAAAGGTATACTGTGTAGGTAAGTGCAACCCTGAGTTTGAAAAAAGTAACATATTTGAGACAAACTAATCATCTGTCAACTTTCCTGCCCAGCATGCCTTTGGATGTTTCTTTAATACCTGATCTTAATGGCCTGTTGTCAGCCCACTAACTGTGGACCCAAAAAGTGTCATTTCTCTGGTCTTACTTTGTCTCCTTTCTTTGTGAAAACAATATTTTTTATCTGAATGTTCTGCATTTACCTTTTCTTTTACTCTGGCTTCTAAACATGGAGAAAAAAAGATGTTCGCATTTAGTCATTCTTAATAACAAACACAATCAAACATTTCACATTTACATGTGGCTGTTGGTTCATTCAAGCTTCATTAAAAAAATCTCTACCATACATATCTGCTTATTGAAATTGAAAGCTCACACACTAGACCTTCGACATCCAACGTCTTTTCACTTCCTACGTCCGTCAACACATGAAAGCCTATAATGGCTCCACCAGTTTCACTATGTGTAGGAAAATGAGAACTAATAAAGAGATGGCAATTACTGATTTAAGTAAATAGTCAGAAGGGAAAGTGTTTTGAGCATCAGAACAAATAACCGAGGTATGTTATTCTGACAGTTCAAGAGAAAAAGAATAAACGTGCAAGACTGCAGAGGTAACCAATAGGCAGAACAATAAAGAACAGGTCGATCAAGACTAAATTGTTGTGAATGGGTTGTTTTTGAACCTAGATTCTGCCCAGTTTCTGTGTACAAAAACGAGACAAATAAAAAGTACTGAAAGCAACAAAACCAGCAAAAAAATACAGCTTTTTCACTTCAATGCACAAACGTGTAATGATCTATGATTAAAATAAAAACTCATCACCCTGCCCTTGGTTTCAATGATTTTAAATTTCAATTGATTTTAAACGTACCTCTGCTGGTAACAATTCATCAAAAGGTGAAGCATAACTGAGCTGTTAACAAAACAGTTAAAACAACGTTAGCTTTTACTGTAGCTATTTGGTGGTTCCAAGGTGTAGCAGTTATCACGCCTGCCTTACACATCTGCTTTACATGCAGAAGGTCCTAGGTTTGAGTCCCAGAGGAACCACATACTTAATGATGCCTCCCATGGTAGCCTGTGTGGGATGCAAAGAATTATGGGGCTTTCACACCATATGCCATAGAGGCTAATTGAGCGGCAACTCCTACATACACAATAAATGTAAATGTTGCGATAGCACACAATTTATTATTAGGCGATTGCAGCATCTGACCTGACGCAGATGAGTATATAGAATTTCCCTGAAGTTAAGCAGAGGAGTTTGCAAACAATGGAGGAAAAGCTCAACATTGCCAGGTGTCCTTGGGTGACTATGAAATAAAATGTATTATTATGTGGGCACCTAGTCCTCCATAACATTACTGCTACGTTTTATCGGGACCGGAATAAAAAAAGAAGTGGCATGGGCCATAGTTAGCCAGGAGGTGGGACTCACTGGTAAACTGTGAGATTATCTGTGACTTTTAAGATTTTTCTTAAAGTTGCTGGAACAAACAAGAGTGTAAATCAAGTTAATATTTATTTATACTATTTTTTCCTTTAACATAACCAAAACATCTACCAAGGATCAATGTAATAACTTTGGAACTGGATCATCTTTCAAATGCATCTAAAACTTAAAAGTGAAGTTACATAACCTTCAAAATGAAGGGCAGATTTAGGAGGAATCAGTTAAACAGTTAAGACACCCTGTTTATTAGAAGCAATAGATTTATCAAGAAATCTCCTGATTTTACATGACATAGATACAAATAAAGATGAGCTACGTGAATTATAATGTTGTCTTAAGCCATAATGCACCCCTCCTGGTGAGGGACTTTTAGAAAAAGATTAGATGAATACAATAGATGTGTGCAATCCCATTAAATTCTTTTAAATGTTCATTATAAAAAACCCATCATTTTGCACTAACTGTTTCTTTTTTTAAAAAACCCATCATTTTGCACTAACTGGACTGAGATTACTTCCTAAAAGAAAAATCTTAGAGATAAACTGCACGTAACACAATAACTTATTGCAACTGTTGTTTTATTATTATTTGAGCTGCATGTGATGGACACCTCACTACTTCAGTCTCGCCCCAGGCCTTGACAACTGGCCTTAGGCAGTAGTGAACAGTATTGCTGACAGATAAATATTTGAAATAATTTACCTCGTCTTCCTGTCCTTTCACTTCTCTCCTTCCTTTTCTTTTGTTCTTCGATTAAATGTTTATTTGTTTATTTTAAAATAACTTACGTTGTTTTAAAGATATGGATGTTTTAAAAAAAACTAGTTTAAAGACATAATCTTAATAAATACCGAACTTATTTTTCCTTTCTGCAGTGCTTTGATGTTAAAGTCCTCAACAGTTGGATATCTTTATGCATCAAACACACATTACTTCAGTAATACATGGAAGGCAGAGTGCATGCTGGGTTGGATCAAAGAGTGTTTTATATCAGTGATCCACAGTGTCATGTTCAAGTGCTTGTAGAGGCTTTAAAAGAATAAAATGATGGAATCGGTTAAATTAATAATTTCCCTTCAAGCTCTGTGACTGTAGGTGGTTGGAGTTTTAAACCACAGCGGATGTTTTTACACCATGATTAATATGTTCTCTATTAGGCTGAATATGTAAAGGGTCATGCTGGAGTGTTGATGCGCTGAATGTTACTGGGAGTGTGTGAGTGTGTGGGAAAGCACAGACAGGAAACTTTAGCCTCGACTCTGTTTTTACTCCCTTCTACTCAAGACTGTTTCATGTAATACTATGCTGTCCTTTAGTAAAGATACTGTATGCCTGGACTGCTGGGGAATCTCCCATAAGGCACTGCTCACTACATTAATTTCATTATTTTTTTGTTTTTCAGTTTTTCACAATTAAGACTCTTGTGTACAATTATACCTACTGTATACAGCAGCCAGGAATGGCACACAGATCAAAAACATAATCAGCTTTCCTTCAAAACTGTTTCTCAACCTCTTAGATTCTTGAGCTGTTCTTTACTCTGGCTTCTTCTCTTAAATAGAAAATCTGAGCCATGTTCAGTAAACCCACCATTTAGTCATCATAGATATTTGACAAAGAAACAACTTACATAACTTCCTTTTTCTTCTAAAGAGAGTTTCTGCAGGTACTAGCAAGTCAATCAATGCTTCTTAGTGCCATTTCAAACATTGTAATGGCCACGATTAACTGCAAACACTATATGTGAGCATGTGTGTATATTTTCTAGATGGATGGATGGATGGATGGATGAATAGATAGATAGATAGATAAATAGATAGAAAATAAAAATAGAAAATAAAAAAAGAATGGTATAAAGAAACTTAAAAGAATCACAAGATAAGTAGGTAGGGTGCAGCAGCCAGATGATGGTAATACGTAATACTGAAGGTAAGAGGTTTATGTTTCTGTTATTAAGCAGTATATGGCAGTATATACAGTATATAATACACAGTAATAGTAACAGTATGCAGTATTTCTAATAGTAAGATGAAATAACAGTATAATAATGACAGTATTTAATAAGAGTACATAGTTATGGTTATTGTACAGTGGTATTTCTGACAGTCACATCTGCACCCCAGAATCCAAACCCCAGCTTGATGTGGATTAGTTAATGCGCATTGGTTGAGGAGTGAGCATTACTCTGCAGTGTGAACAAAAACAGGCTGCGAAAACTAGTGTTGCTGCGCTGCGAATACCATTAAGTGCCAGTGTGAAAACCGCAAAAAAAAAGAAAAAAGAGAGAGGTAACTGTCAGCTCGTTTTATTTTCACCTAATTCATTTCAAACAAATACTAGGAGTTGTTTGTGTTTGATTTTAACCTTTAGTTACTTTACATGAATACGATGACTATCTATTGAAGGGTGACTGTGCTAATTTTTCTCAGAAATAAAAAGTCTTTGTTCAAAATTAGCATCAGCAAAACAGCATTATTGACATGGTTATAGAGAAAATGTAGAG